ACCCTTGACGTCCTCTAGTACCTTGGCCTTTTCATCTGGAGGAAGAACGGCGATGTAACTCTTGCTTTGAGCGCGATCCGTAACAATCTGTTCGCTAGCAAGAAGATGATATGCCCACTCTTCCTCCTCCTGAGGATGGAACAAGGAAGTATACTCAGGTGTAGAGAACGTCTTTCTCCAGAGACCCAGACGAAATTGGGGCGTCCCTTTCTCATGAACTTCGATGCAGTCACGGAGTTGTGCAACCCAACCTGCACCATCCCTTCAACAGCGTCAGAAGAATGATGCAAAGAAATAACAGGAGCAAACCTGTCTTCAAGGTTCCAGATAAACACAACTGCGCCGTCCTTCTTCAAGATACGGCCGAATTCAGCCGATGCTTTCCCATAGTCGGGGCACCAATGGAATGCCTAGAAGTCCGATGCGGTAAACAACCCTTGTATCGACAGTACTACTTACCTGTGCGATAATGACAAGGTCTGCCCACCCGTCTTCCACACCGGTGGCATCGAATGTCCCTTTGACAATAGAGCTGCGATCGTCGTCGACAGTCTTCATCCACACATCACGCATGCCGTCGCTAGGTTCGATGGCTCTCAGCGCACCAATGCTTGTAGCCCACTCAGAGTGAGCCAACAAGGCACGTGTGAAAATACCAGTCCCTGCCCCAATTCTGAAAACCAATTGAAGGAAGAAATAGTAGTGTGTGCGACTCACTCGACAATGTTCAAAGGTGCCGTGCTCTTGGATACCTGGCGAATGTACGAAAGACACTCCATTGGGTATGAGGGGCGAGCCCTACGTTGTATTAGCATATGTGGATCACGCGGATGATAGTCAACTCACCGATCATATAGTTCGTTCGTCCCAGTGCCGAATCCTGTCTGTGCAACAAGGTGCACCTTTGTCGTCATGGTGCGTACGTGCTTTAAACTTGACGTAGAGGAAGCTAAAGCGAATCGCAGAGATACGATCATGGATGGGGAACCAATGCAGAGACGATATTTATATGCATAGCATGCAAGTCGCCTTCGGGGACCCGGCGGGTCCTAGTGTTGTGGGCAGAACTATTTCTACTCAGCGCAGAATCACGCGCTAGGGGTACTAACGATCCAAATTCAAACTCAACCAGTCCTGAATACACTGTGCTTGTGTGACCAAGCCGTCGATAGACGGACTGGTAAATCTGGGTTTGAATTTGGATAGTGCGCGCTGTAACGTGACCCGCAGCCAATCCGAAAACTAAAATTTTGTCGATGACGCGAGTCAAACGCGGTCGCGTCTGTATTTACTCTACAACTCCAATGGACGTGAACTCGGTCATCCAAACTGTGCGGGAAGAATCACTGGAAGGACTAGACTTATTTTCTCGCTCGCTGATACAAGAACGGCTCCCTATTGACTACATCGAAACCCTCAGTAGCCAAGATAAGACGGACATCAGTTACGCAAAATTCGTAGATGCAGGGGGATTGTCTATCATAACGACCTCTTGCTCTCCTTGTGCGACCTATTTCAGATACGAGGACAGGACTTCATGATTGACATACAGTTTTCTTGGGTTCGTGGTGTCTTTTGGCGCATTCTTCCAAGCCTGCGTCGGAGACGCAGCCTTTTGAGAGTCATGCATTGTCCGTTTCGGTCACGAAATACAGTGTTTGTTCTAGCTCGCTCGTTTGCTATTTGCAGAATCGGTTTTACTCCTTTTTCTCTAACGTCGTGCTGGTTAATTCTTTTAGGTATTCTTTGGCGTCGGATATGTGTTAGTACTCGCTAAATGATTAATTCTTTCAGTATCCAGGTCTCTGTTTGAGTCGCGCCTCGATTCTGAGACGTCTGACATAACTCTACAGTAAACTCCGTTACCGTATTACGAATATCTTCGAGTCAAGCAAACTCAGCACCAACCACGATGCCACTGGGGAGTCTCTCAATTGAGGCCTCAGATACCTGTAATTCGACTCGTTAGGCGATGTACGTATTGTGAGAGGAGCTGTTCAGGAAGCACTAGGTGCCCAGCCACGAGCACTATGGCACGATCCTGGCCATGGTGAAAAATGTCTCATCTTCAGAACGAAACATAACCTTTTTGATGCATGATGCTCAACGTATCTTCAAACTCAACGCAGTAAATTTTCTCTCAAACATTCTCAACAATAGTGGATATTTTCAAGATCTCCTCAACTTGTACTATTATTGCATCGCTAAGTCTTCAAGGCAGGTTTACTGTTCATTGCATTGGTATGTCAGCATCGTGGTGTCAACTGATGGTCAATAATACTTGCCACGCTTCTTCTTGTCCACATCGTACCACTCCTCGCCGTAGCTCGAAGAAGCCTCTTCTGCGGCCAAATAGGTGTGTCAGCATCGTAGTGTCAAGTGACGGTCAATGATACTTGCCACGGGCCACATCCTCGCGCTTGGCTACGGCTGCATGTTATGTTAATAACTATAATGCTACTGACATCATGAATACTCGCAGCGTCCCATAATATCTCCTGACATGGGGTATGCGACTGCCAGAGCCACCATGGAGGCAAGTGCGTTAAGCAGGAAGAAACGCTGCATGTTTGAAGTTGAGAGGAGTAAAGTTTAGAGCTTTGTCAGTACATACCTCGAAAATCAGGGGTCCTTATACCTTGTTGTAGGTTCGCTTAACTAATCAGACCTTGTTAGAATACGACGTGGCACGATATGATGATGACAATGCATTGTATCCAAATGAGTTTTTGTCGTGAATGACTTGGACTTGGATTCATGAAACATGCGCCACCTCGTGGGTTGCCATCACGCATGCCGTCGCTAGGTTCGATAGCTCTCAGCGTGCCGATGCTTGTAGCCCACTCAGAGTGAGCCAACAAGGCACGTGTCTCCCTGCTCCAATTCTGAAAGCCAATTGAAGGGAAGAAATAGTGGTTTGTGTGACTCACTCGACAATGTTCAAAGGTGCCGTGCTCTTGGATACCTGGCGAATGTGCGAAAGACACTCCATTGGGTATGAGGGGCGAGCCCTACGTACAGCTCAGTATTAGGAATGCTTTCTTCCCGCACTCAAAAATGTCTCGTTTTCAGAACGAAACAGACCGTATCTTGATGCATGATGCTCAACGTATTGTCAAACTCAACGCAGTAAATTTTTGCTGAAACGTTCTCAACAATAGTGGATATCTTCAAGATCTCCCCAACTTGTACTATTATTGCATCACCAAGTCTCGAAAGCGGGTTTACTATTCACTGCATTGGTATGCCGCTAATTGTTGACAACTACATGAATACGTGCAAGATGCTCGTAGCGCTACTTCCTGTAGTCGTCGTCGTAGCTGATAGTGAAGTAGACCCCAGCAGCCTCGTGGTGTCAACTGACGGTCAATGATACTTGCCGCGTTTCTTGTCATCATTGTAGGTAATAATATCAAAGTAGACGGTAACTCCGTCTTCGGCTAAATAGGTATGTCAGCATGGTAGTTTAAACTGACGACGGTCAATGATACTTGCCGCGCTTCTTGTCTTCATTGTAGGTCTAATAGCGGTACTCCGAAGAAGCCTCTTCTGCGGCCAAATAGGTGTGTCAGCATCGTAGTTTCAACTGACGGTCAATGATACTTGCTACGCGCCACATCCTCGCGCTTGGCTACGGCTGCATGTTACGTTAATGACTGTGATGCTACTGACATCATGAATACTCACAGGGTCCCATAATCTCTCCTGACATGGGGTATGCGACTACCAGAACCACCATGGAGGCGAGTGCATTAAACAGGAAGAAACGTTGCATGCTTAAAGTTGAGAGGAGTAAATTTTGAAGCTTTGTCGGTGCATACCTCGAAAATCAGGGGTCCTTCTTATACCTTGTCGTAGGTTCACTTAACCAGCCGGACCTTGCTGGAATACGACGTGGCACGATATGATGATGATAATTGTGCATTGTATCCAAAGCTCTGAAAATGGGTTTCTGTCATGAACGACTTGGACTTCGATTATGAAACATACGCCACCTCATGGGCAACAGCTCGTTGTGGGTGCATGACGGCCGAAGCTGTAACAGCATTGTCTGACGAGTAATATGATAAGTGATGCAATCAATTGGCTGAGGGGCTTTGAACCTTGACGCGGACGCCTCATGTGACGATGCTTAATTGAGAAAGTTTCACATTGTCAATTTGTCACCTCAGGCCTCAGATCTCGGATTCTGTCACAGATCACTCTTTCTCGTCATGGGATAGGGTGCCAGCTGCTAAGGTGGAGTACCACTAGTAGTGGTACTCCACTCTGGCCCTCCACGTTTGCAGGCACCATTTGCTTGCACATCGAAGCAGTACAAAGGGGGAAAGAGATCGACACACGAACCTTTTAATATTTTGATTACATGACCGCGGAATGTCAATATGCCATTTTGCCAGTCGGTTTGGCAGAACTGGTTCTGCCCGGCAGATGACAGAGCCCGGCAGAATGTCAAACTGCAGGGAATCTCAGCGAGAGATGTCCTAATAGCTTATATGACCAGAGTAATCTCGATCGACTCAGCAACTGCACTTCCTCAGTACCTGTAGAGCAAAGAAGAATTTCAGTTGTACTACGTCGTAACATAGACGATCATTAACCCGAAGTGTTCAATCAAGTCACTCCAGCTTGAGTACTTCTGTTCTGATACTTTGTTCGCAGTAGGTGGGGACAATAGCCTGTGACGCACCCTTTGTGAATGAGTGAATGTCTCATTGTCATCTTGAAGCTTTGATTACTCATCTACCAATTATTAGCTGGGCTTCGTGAAGTTGTCATTGGCCTCGCAGAACTCCACCTGAGAGACAAAAAGTTGTTGTGCACAAGTATCTGCGTCGGCAGTAGTATGAGCGCAGCAGGCATCTTCGTAAACGAGGCACAACCATTTTGTTGAAGCGAAGTCATGAGTTCCGGAATTGTTTGTACTTGATCGAGGTGTGGGTGTATTGTACATATTCATAGCGCTGTCTCGAACAAGTCTCGAAAAGTATATCTCGAACTTATTGGGCCGCGGCCAGCGCCGCATCCACAATTTCTGTCATTTTGATGACCGCTTCCTCCTCCAGAGTCCGACCGACAAGTTGCAAACAGACAGGAGCGTTCTTGAATTTCTCTGGGTCATCTGAATTAATTATTGGCATCAGAAAATCACCGATCAGCTGATGTTCAGTGCTGGCACCACTCACACATTTCATAAATGTCCTTGTCGAAGTCATCATAGAAACTATGAGGAGGTTTCTTCCCATCAAGAGTGGGGTCGACGGTAGTCACAGGGAAAATCGCAGCAGGATAGTCGAGTGCATTCCAAACGGTAGTATAGTTGCAGTACCTGTACACCGTCTCATTGAGAGTGCGTGACTCTGAAATTACAAAAACACTCGCGTGAATTTCCCATGGGGAGTTGCAGCAAACGGTGCGGCTGGACAAATGATAGCATCGACGGCACGTCCTGTCCCAGTCTCAGAAGCAGTTGCGTTCCAGTGGTCTATATATTCTTTCCGTATAGTCTGACGCAGCTTTTGCACTTGCCAGAGCTGATATGCGGTGATACCTACCATTTTTCGGACGGAAGGATGGCGTCATAGCATGTGCGTCTTCCAGCTCCATGGTGGAAATTATTGGCTCCCCTGTGCTAGAGGTCGTGATCATGAAGTCCTCGGCAGAGCCGGCATTCCAGATGTTCCCCTGCACGGTGCTAATAGATCAATAGATCAGCAAAGTAAAGGACACACCTACTTACCGCGATCTCTTCGAGCAATTTGTGCTTGATGGGTTTCCAGTCAACAACTGCCACTCAATGAGTACAAGTTAGCAGAGGGATTAAGTAGACGAGAAAAACCTTTGTGGCCAGCCTTCTGGAGAGCCGCTTTGGTGATTTCCAGAGACCTCTTGATAGGTGGGTGGGGAACAACAACGCCATCGTCCCACATGATCGCAAAGCACAAATACTTGCCAGAACCGTGGTCCGCGAGTTCATACTCGTCTTCATCCCATTTCTTTCGAACTGCAAGAGGGTCCTTGAGCCACGGTTTAGAGTTAGCGACAGCTTTCATAAAGATCCTGAGCCCGCGGAGACTGTTTGACATAGGACCGAACACGGAGAGAATAGAGTCTTCGCCCTCAAGTGAGTTGCGAGCACCACAGTACGGTACACGCCCATATGATGGCCTCAGACCGTATATTCCGCAGAATGCAGAGGGAGCACGAATAGAGCTGTCAGAAGGCCGTCAGAAGGCTACTACCAATGATACTTCTAAATTATTGACTATACCCTCCGATATCAGAACCGACTCCCAATGGACTTCCCTTTAGGGCAATCAATGCACCCTCTCCTCCTGATGACCCACCTGGGGTCAGGGAGACGTTATATGGGTTAGTTGTCCGGCCGAAGATACTATTCAAGGTTTCTGGCCACTGAAGATACTTTAGCACACGAGTAGGATTCGTTTTCAGGGCGCGCCCACCATAAGTGTCTGCGGAACGTTGGTGCGGACGAACGGCACGGCTCCGCACTCAATCAGGATATCGACCAACACTGCATTTTTCTCCTCATACTGCCCGATCCACGAGACATAACCTCAAACACAGTGAATCACAAGACATTAGGTCTAGGCCAGGATTAGACTTACCCATAGTGGTTTCTAGTCCTTTGATGCATAGTTGGTCCTTTAGAGAGATGGGCAGCCCGTGAAGGGGACCAACCACCTTCCCTGTTTTCTTCAGATAATCGTCGAGTTCAGCCGCTCGGGCCAGTGCACGATCAATGAAGATTTCCGTCAAGCAATTGACCTCGCCAGCCAGTTAATACCACATCGTCGAACAAATGCCTGACAACTCGGCTTACAAGCTGATGGGCAACAATGGCCCTCTTGGAAAATGCGGTGGTCACTTCTACGGCTGTCCATTCTGCAGTTGCAAGTTTCTTCAATAAAACATCCACCGAAGTATTGGTGATTTTAATTTCTCGGGCATTCAGAAGGCCACACGACTCTGGAAAACCAGTCACATCCAGAGTAGAGGGTGGAGGCGGAGTCACAAGCCACTCCTGTGGAATGGACTTGAGCTGCCTCTGTTTCTTCTCTGCGACTAGAGCAGTCCAATGCGGCATATGGATAGTGAGTTAAGGACGAGAGATGGCGGAGGTCAAACACTTCACAGTAGATAAGACACACAACTTACAGATAGAAGACCGTGACTGATATTAACAGCGAGATAAGACTGTTAAAGCGGTAATAATAATTGACTTGAGGGTCAGATATGCTGATGGAAGAGAAGAATGTTGGTCATGCGGATTCATGTAACTAGTACTCAGTGGCATCAGTGACTCAATTGATGAGACCTTGATATTGTGCCCGTGCGAAGTGGCCCGGCGCCTCAACTGTAGAAAAATATAATCCTGCTCCTGCTAAATACGATCATCTTAAATAGCGTCAAAAATCTGAGTTGTAGATACATGCCTGAATCCAGAGCAAGGCACGACAACACAATGCCATTTCTGCATTGCAGTCGATGAGGAGTGGTATCATACTGGTGGCAATCATTTTGAGCATCGTTTTTATGACCTCATCCAAGACATTCTCGTGGGAGGTACTGTCAGTACTCGTCACCGAATGTAGAATAGTGTGGAACTTTGTAACAAAGTCATGACCTAAGCTGTATCGTTAGTCGAAGTCACGGACTCGGACTTGATGCACAACAACTTATCAGGAAAAACCTCCCCAGGGAAATTCCTCTACACTATGCTAATTGTCTTCACTCAAGACCTCAGGCTGTCACACAGCACTAACTCCTTTCCCTCAGCAGCAGTCCTGCTTCACTCGTTGCCGAGCTCCCGAAGCCAGCCAAACTGGCGTTCTTTGATGTCTTCTTGTATCTTTGGGGCGACGGAAACGGGGCCGGTCACACTGACAACACCATCCATGAGCTCGAGACCATAATACTCTGCCAGCCTCTGCAGCAGCGTTGGCCTGCGCGATCCAGAATGCAATCCCCGAGCCTCTGGCCACCTTCAGCAAAGCTGCAGTCAAGCCGTCAGGCAGCTCGCAGATGCTCTCCATTGGTCGAAAAAAAGAGGTGTCAGAAGCAGCCGAAACACGTCATGACGGAGGTGGAACAAGTTTTATTTGCAGTTGTACGGACGGAGAAGCGACGCGGCGAGAAACCCACGACGAGTTCAATGACGTTCGGTTCGACGAAGACACGCTGCGTGATGCAAGACCACCCGATTTTGTTACAAAATCGCACGCAAATTCTACATTGAACTCTAAGTGCGATTAGTAGGCGGCCTACATTACATGGTATTCCTACTGTGTACCTAGTACTGTAGGAATCAACTCAATTTGTGTGAAAAATTGACGGTCCTGCGGCTGGCGTTTGCAGTCCTCGCTAAGACTGCAAACTCGACACGCGACAACTCAGTCACAGCGCTCGCTTCCTTTCTTGGGGCTCGTTTTGTCAATACGCTCCACGTGCACCTGGACCTCGACCACCGACGATCGATCGACACCGTCATCCGACGTCTCGCGGATCGAAAACCAGCCCGAGAAATGGAACGTCGTTTTCTGCCTCAAAGGCACCTGCAAAGACCACTGACTTTGAAGAAGCAGGTGGACCCTGATACGGGGATCTCCAACAAGGCCAATGATGGCCATCCTGAACTCATTTGTCAATGATATCTTCGAACGCGTCGGTACGTCCTACCTCTCCGTCAACTTACTAACTTACTTTGTCGCAGGTCTAATTTGGCTGCAGTGTTTGAGGCAGGTGCACCCTGATATGCGCCCATCTCCAATGGGACCGCGGCCATCTTGAACTCGTTTGTCAACGACATCTTCGAGCGCATTGGTACGTCCTCCTACTTCTTCGTCGCGGGTCTAACCTCTGTCGCAGTGTTAAGGCAGGTGCACCCCGATACCGGGGATCTCCAATGGGGCCATGGCCATCTTGAACTCGTTTGTCAAAACGATAAATCCGTGCGCACCTGTGCGCCCTGACAGACAATGGGCCACGGATGTCGGATAAACCACGAGTAGATGGGTCTGCCCCAACGCGCGGCGTCCTGGTAGTTTCCCTGAAGAAAATCGCCGCTGATCCAATCAACTTTAGGTATGAACTTCTATTGGACGAGTTTTCTCAATTTTCACTCACTATCGAATTATAGGGAATTGCAAGCATCCAGAACTCCATCTTGAACTCGTTTGTCAATCACCCCGATACCGGGGATCTCCAACAGGGCCACGGCCATCTCGAACTCGTTTGTCAAACGATATCTTCGTGTGACGGGCATCTCCGATGGGCCGCGGCTGTCGGATAAACCACGAATAGATGGGTCTGCCCCCAATGCGCGGCATTTTTTCTATCACCACTTATTCACTAGTTGAGACACGACGAGACATGTATTGCAAGTACTTATTTAACCACAATGGCAAGTCCTTCCGCAGCTATAGCAAGGGTCACAGCCTGGCCTGTTTGGGTTCATGTAATGTTCGCGAGCCTCTGCTGGATTGTCATTCCAAGACAAGAGGTACTTGAATATGGTACCAGGGTTGTCGAAATTCTCAGCCCACCCACCCCAGTCGCAGATCTTCCGAAACGACCAGCCTCGCACCGTGTGCAGAAACTGACAACCGCCGCGACGAAACGAGTGGGTACCATATGGGCGCGGATCAACACTAATGTCGAGGAGATTATTTCGGAAGCATTCGAGGAAGGAGTCCGAGGTCTGAGTATAGCATATCAACTTTATTCTCTTGATGACTACTAACCTCGAGCTCACCATGCAGTCCGTCAGGCTCACACTAATGCTGTCTACACCAATCTTTTTGCGAAAGATGAACCCATTGAGGTCTCTGTGTATCTCGCGAGCTAACAGCCACCAGATAGCAAACACTTGCAGCAAGCACATCCACGGCCGGTCAGGATCAGTGTATATATAGAATGGGGCTATGCCTGTGGGTTCGAGGTTAGCCATAAGGTGGGCAACAGCCCATACAGTCACTGACCTCCATACTGATGTGTCTTTCGAAAGGGTAATTCTAGCTTCACTCGGAACTGTGCAGGTTGGTAGCTGACCTGTGACGTGAAAAGTTCAGGAGTCGCATCGAGCCGGTGGTTTTTTTATCAGTAAGTCCTGAACCTGGAATGTGACATCGGCCCAGGTGATCCGCAATGCTTCGTCGTAGCGGAGCAGGCAAAGCATGGAGAGAAGGTAGAGTAAATAAAGCATCTGGCGGAGCAAAAATCCAGCCCATTCAGATGGATTTTCTGCCTTTCGTTTGCGCGAGATTGGGCCAAATTCTTTTCGGTCCATGGACCATGCAGATTCCCAGAGCCTCTTCATGGTAGGTTCGTCCATGGCGCGAGCACTCATTACTGCTTCACCTGCTCGGATCTATAGTGTGAAATCAGCACCGATGCCAATTTTCATGATGCTAAAGTCCAACAATACCTTCCGCCGACGAAGACTGACCATATACTGTGAAATGGTCACTGAAAGTGATGGGTTTCTGACGAATCTGCCTGGCGTGGCTGGGTGCTCCAACCATGGCTGTGTTCCAAGCTGGTAGTCTCTGCTGAATTTGTGGCTTATGGCAGCACGCATCTTCTGTGCCGTGCCATATGTTGCTCATGGAACACTGGGATCCTTTGCTTTCCCGGTCCATATATCGTTTTTGTTGCATCTCAATTTCATAGCTTAGCACAAAATAAACACAACATCTGATGCACTTACTTATCCATGATCCATAGTGAGATCCATGTTGGAAATTCAGCTGGAAGGTTCGGAAAAAGATTGTCAATCTCACTTGCAACTTGTGCTTTGTTGATGGTGACACAAAACTCTTTAAACTGATTCCAGTATCTGGACAGATCACACACGTGAGATGAGATGTTTTCACTGGTCCCATGCCATACCTCTGGTAGTCAGAGAGTGTTGTACCAATAACCACTCCCTCTGATGCTGCCTGAAAACTAGATGCTAACTGGTTGTTGCTGTGTTTAGGCTTCTTCTTTTTCATGTCATCCTCGCTACTGACAGTGTTCGTAGTACTGAACTGAAGGGTGCCGGCAGCTTCACGGTCATCAACATCAAAGCTGTTGAGGAGAGATTCCTCCTCCTCAGTCTGATCCTCTTCTGCAGCCTCGACACTGATGTGTTTTGACTTGGCAAAGTATAAATCAGCACCTTTGAAGGCATGTAGTAAGGACTTGGACATGATAGAAAATTTGGGTTCAGACCAAGTGATTGAGAATTGAAACACTTGGCCGGCACAGAAACAAACTAACTTGAACCCCCTGATTCAATTTAAACATTGACACTGACACGTAAATACATTACAGTTCATGGTGTCACCATGTCTCAACATCACTCAGAAGAGCTCGAACTGCCCCATCACTGAAAATCAAGACCCGCTATAAACCATTATATCCCCCTTATAATGGTCATAATATGTACAATCAGATGAAATATGGCAAGTGGTGTGATAACGTCTTATATACCTTTAAACACCTAGCCTCCCTGGCCAATGTAAATAATCACGATATGTATTTGTCGGACCACCAAGTAGTGGTGCCGAAGTCCGGTTCGGTTCGGTTCTTAGGCCTCTAAATGCGAACGCCGAACTGGACCATCGGTCGCGTTCAGGCAAGGAGGACGAATGCTGGACCGGACGCTGATGAACGCGTTCACAAGCGTTCGGTTCGAGTTCAGAACGCGTTCGAACGCTCGAACGCTACATATAAATTGACAAAAATTGCAAGAAATACATGAACAGTAAATGAGTAGCTAAATTTCGTCCATGGCAGAGTGTTCGTGAGCAGCAGCAAACTCAGCTTGAACCGTTGCAGAAATATGGCCTTGACGGTACCCACTTTTCAACAGCTGTAGGGCCTCAAATGTTGTTGGCAACAACCGATTATGGCGTGTGGTCCCAGTGATGCCGTTTCTGTCGGTTTAATGGCTCGGCCTGAGCGAGACACGAAGGCAGTTAGCTTGCCATTGGATGCAGGAGGCGGAGGTGGAGCAAGCATGGGGGTGTCATCGTCGGGATCATTGTACCAATCGATGGCGCTAGCGTCTTTGAGTTGGCCATTGGATCCAAGTGCGCAAGACATTCTCGCAGCCAGAAGGGTGAATATTGTACCTGTAGTAGCTCATTTATACCAAAATTTGTGGTTAGAGATTAGAAAAATGCGACGCACCTTGAACATATTGTTGCCATGCAATGACTGCAACAGTTGATTGATGTTGAAGCAAAAGCAAGTACCTGAACGAGCATCCCAAAGATATGTTCTGAACATAGATTAAATTATAATCCTAATAACGATTAACATAGGGCTTACCAAAACATTGAATAGATCACAGAGGAAGTCAGACATCACTAACAGAAATGCATTCAGTCTTTTGGTCGTGAAGTACGAGCCATTCTGGAGATCAATGCTCCCAGAACTGCCAATGGCCATATGAGTTTGTTGCCAGGTGATCAGAAAAAATATTAGGATAGATGGATAGCAATAAGCTGAGGACCTCAAGCGGATCATAGACAGAAGGAAAGAACCGTTCGAATGCATTCGAACGGGTCCAGACGGGTTCACAAATCTGAGGCATCAGCCGAACGCTGAACCTAATAATAGGTTCAGTTCTTACCGTAGGCTGAACCTCGGACCGAACGGACAGTCCAGTTCGGAAGGGTTCGCGTTCGAACCGAAGTTCTGAACTGGACTCTGGCATCACTACCACCAAGTATGGCATGCAAGCAAAGAAATTCTAATTCTTTTTGCACAATACACTACCTTATAACTATGCAACAGGAAGTCAGACATCGAGCAACAGCCACAGAAATATACCGAAGGTGATTACCTAGCTATTATTGGACATCATAATATGGCTTTAAATACGTAGCCATTGTGGCCGATCTACACAATGATTACATGCATGTGCTGGGACTCTTAAGTATAGTATGAATCATAAGGAATGCATCACAGTACAATACCTGTATAACAAGTGACAAGAAGTCAAACATCAAGAAGTAGTAATTGGTATATTGAAGAGGCTTGTTTGACTAGTAATTAGATTTGCAGCGAGGAGAACCTAAGCTGTATACTATTTTCACTAACCTACATTGTAGGTGCACACTTGCAGTATTGGCATGAGTGACACGGTATAGCATTCTAAAGTTATAGGATATTGATGTGACTTTCATTGCAGAATGAGGTACTTTGGGATGGAATCGTCGGTATGGTGCGGGTAGCTCACATGTATAAGATAGGTGGACATGTCTCTGATCACTCGTAACGCTGTCCTTGATGCAAGCACAGCAAACATTCAATACTGCAACGCAATATGTAACTCACTACTTGAAGTCGAATAAGTATCATATTCGTGTTGGCTGTCAGATTCTAAATGCACGACGAAGGTGGGTCATCCGTATCAACCATATGGTGGCACAGAACATTTCAACAAATTATCTATTGTTCGACATTTGCGCAGAGAAGGGTCTTGATGTCATCATCAATTGTACTGCTTGGATCTCACTTGGCAATGCATGACGTTGTGGGCCACAAAATTTAATCAATAATTGATTTATTATACTGAAAATTACACAACATAAAGGTACATGCAGCTCCCAATTATATACTAGTACGTTCCAACCCAACTAAGCTAGCGGTTTTGCCTTTTGGCCAAAGTCATGGCGACCGACATCTTGTTCGCCTGCTTGTGGGCGATAATTGGAAACAACTCTTCGACCGAAAACTTTTCTAAAAAATGAAAACCCGATGACTCAATCAAAGACAGTGTAGAGACACTAAAGCTACTTACTGATTCCACCAAAGTAAGAGATCATCGATTTCTCTCGCTGCTTCTGGCATTGTAGGAAGCTCCAGATAGTTGACTATGTTGTCGTAAAATTCTTGATTGTTGAATTTGTCATCAATGATGCGCCAAGATCCTGAGCTTGACAATGCAAATCTCAGCTGGGCTCTCTAATCAGCAAAGTACGCAAATATATGTTAAATAGTCTGTACCTGAACAGCCACATAAGCTATGGCTCAAGGTTGGACAGATCACATATTGAGTAGCATTGCAACATCGTGCCAAGTGCGACAGCTCACCACTGTTCCTATTGTGTGCAGAATGAGCCACCGAGTCGACAGGCTGTTCCTCATCTGTGGAAGTCAGAGAGGTAAATATGTGTTCAAATGCCTGGAGACAGCATTCAGTATGCTTCTGCCACACACATTAATCCTACCTTTATGAGTAGCTTGCCTTTAAGTAGACCCTTTGTAGGATTCTGAGGGTCAGAGCCTCCATCCTCATACAAGAATGAAGGCCAGGAACAAGCGGTGATGTGATAATCAGGATGGTAGTCTCAAATGGAGGCTCAAATATTTCAAAGATATAAGTTAGTCATGGTGCAGCTTATAAAAGAGTCCTTACATGGGATTGCTCCAATCGTAATCAACTGGGCACAGAAGTCCACCTGTCACGTCATGGTAAAAACCCTGACCAGATTTGTCTTGTTTGTGAGTGGCAGGATTCGGTGCAGGGAGTACATTCCATTAGCCATTCAGCGACAGAGCACTTAAGACCAGCACAGTTGTCTCCTCTGGCCCCCTCACAGCTTTCATTCAGCTGGATGCGAGATACATCTCACCTTGCTGTATGCAAAAGCAAGAGTTTTGTGCTCAGGCAGATGACCATAGCAATTTACGAGCTGAGGGGCACCACACCATAAGTTTCTTGAAGGAACAATACCGCCTATTTTCACTAGAACATGACATGAGGGTTGACCAGTAACATTTGCAAAAATGCACTTACTCTGGGTTGTCCGAATCCATTAGGTCCACATCGGATTCATTGGCAGTGCCCAGTCCAATGTGCCTGTTAAATTCTGCTACCAGATCTTCAATGTGCTGTAACGATAGTCATGGCGCTGGGCTTAAAACCCTGTGTTTTTGATACTCATGTTAAACAGTATTCATCCGACACATCCCCGACATTCTGATCCCGATCCCGACGCCCGACCCCGACCCTGAAAGTTTTGGACCCGACATTTTTGCATCGGACTTGTCCTCCCTATGTCCTGTCCAGTTGTATCTACCCCCACTGGTGCGTATTTACTTGTTTCGCATTACTGAACATTACAGACAGCGTTATTACATGTTATCTACAAAAAGGTGCAGTACACATGCTCTTTTACATACATTCGGACCCGATTTTGCGCTACTGTTTTCGCCTAATGCACTCCGAAATCCTACATAGACACTATTTAATATCTAGTACTTCCTACCTATTGCATTACTTACTTTTCCCTACTCAGTAGTAGGATGGAAGTCATTAGATATTAGTAGTACTTTATTGTATTGCGAAATATCTATCCGCTCTTTTTCTCCGAAACATTCCGACACATCCAACACTCATTTGACCGACAATCCAACATACTTCCGACGCATTCCTTTACCATACGACACATTCCCAACAGCCCAACACATAGTCCGATGCCTGACCCGACTCCGATAATTTCGGACCCTGACAGTTTCCCTTCGGACAAGTAGTTCCTAGCTTCGGATTATCTTCCTATTCTTGATAACTAACTATCTAAACTAATACCAAACAGCTACCCCTATAGGATCAAATGCACTTGCTCTGCAAGTATAGCAGACTAGGCCGTGCTAAAGATCTACCTAAATATTTGTTGTCTAGGTAGTACAATTTCTGCTGAGCCCAGCGGGAATCAGCTTTCTACAGCGCTCAGTCAAGCACATGAGCCTTCGAATTGATCGTCCATAGAATATATTTGAGTCATTGCTTGAATTATTTATTGACTCATTGTACTGAACTTTTAAACACTAGACATACCTTTTCTTTGCAGGGAGCCCATGGACTTGGAGATTTGTATTTTCTTCCTTGACTTCAGCTATTCATCTTTTAAGAGTGACCACAGGGTGAATTTTGTTGTTGTCCGATTCAGGTGGAGATGGGGATAATGTTGCCATTGCTCATGGATGAGAGTATCAAGTGGGAATTTGAAATGACAATCAATTTAACTGAGTCAACATAGCGTAAGGGAAGCACAGACCTTGAAATTAAAACAACTCAATTTCTCAGGGATCCTTGGTATGGTACCAATGAAGGTCTGGCACCTTTGGAATATCGGGTTGTACATTCTTCAAACCTGCATGGACAGTACGTCACATACGTATTGACCGAACAGGTGATAGAGTCGATTAATAATCAGTAGAGTTGGCTCTGGGATGATTGTGATTACATAAATGCTTGTGGTCAACTTGAGTAAGGGCGGAACAAGGAAACCTAATTTCTTGAGTGAAGATGAGGACTCTCAACCAAATCAGAAGCAGAGACATTAAACCAAAGAAATAAAAAGATTCTGTTGATCAATGTGATTAGATCCAAGATGGGCCAATTTAACGTGCGTGAACTGATGGTGATTAAATAAAACCTTGTGGTCAACCCTTGAATGAAATGGAAGGCCGGGAACTCTAAACCCATCAGAAGTGGAGACACTAATCCAAGGGATAATCACCTGAATGAAGTGGAATAGGAACTCTAAACCAAAGCTATGCCCGGATATCCGTATGTTATCACGTGCCAGCAGGAAAATCAAATTTGAAATCCTTTACAACAAGTATCAGAATGTCATTGGATTGAATTGAGACGAAGTAACAATACCCCTCAGGCCATAGGCCCACATATAACTCCCAAAACACAAAGTCCATGTCATCTATACTTACCAACTTGGAACTCGAGACTGACCCCAACATGTCTTATCCTTCCATCAATGATTTTCTGGCCGAACTCGAAAAGGCGGAGCCATGGTGCAGGTGGATTGAAAAGTTTCTCCGTCCACTGAATTTACTGGGGGTCAGGACAGTGGATGACATTGAAATCATTTCACCTGAATGTCTTACTGTTTTTCACCGCCTCTGTCCTCTCATGGTCATGGATTTCTTTGTCCATATCATCACTTACCTCAATGAAACTGGCCATTCAAATCAGAATACTAGCTCTGGGCCATAATGTGGAAAGCTGCTGGAAACAATAGGTGAGCATGTAGTGTTGCGCGATGCCTGTCCAGTAGAAAGCAAACCTTCATTACCACTACCGCAGCCCTACTATCCATCATGGTACATCTACATGCCAGAGTAGATGTTTTCGAGGGATAGGAGAATGCAATCCTTCAGTCATTATCATGTATATAAATCCCCCAGCTCCTTGACACAATCCGCGAAGTGTGTTGTTAACTGCAATATGTAGTTTAGCACCATTTGTACCGAGACCTTGAGCCATAGTACTCACAATTCTCCAGTCATCGTCTTCTGATCCTGGACATGATTGCTGGGTGGACCACTGCATGTGAGGCTGACTGTTTGGACTGCTAGATGAAGGCCTATAGTCACTGTATGGAAGGTGAAAAGCACAGGGTAAGCACTTGAAGAAACTAAGATGTCTGCGCCACAAAGATATTGCTTTAATGGCAGGTATCAGATTGTGAATCATGCATAGTCAGTATTCTTGCTAGAGGACATCATAAGGCAACTCAAGGAAGTGATAGAGATCATTAGCAACTCAGCTTGCTGAAGGTCCAAGTTTACAGTGGGCGGGGATGACTGGTTAGGGGGAGGGAAATTTCTCTGTGTCCTTGAAGTTCCTAAAGCATCTGCGTCTGATGGTAAAAAGCACAATACATATGGTAGCACTCGAAGTCTCTACATTGCTCTGATCGAAGATGATTACTAGCCACAAAGTATATCACGATATGAGATGACTGGAAGGTCAGAAATTGGATGATGGTACACTGAAAGGCCCTCCTGTTGAAAGCATCAGTTGGTCATAGCGCGCCTGCAAGAGAGAGAGACATGCCTTGGGTATTAGTGTGCCTCCAATCTACTACCCGATCAGCACCCTTCCAGAGAGACATGTTGCCACCTCCAAATTCACTCCAGGCGGTGGGAACTTGAGATACCAGCATGATGCGAGAGTCACTAAGAGAATTAAATGTTTGGACTGCATTGATATCTTCTGAGATATGAAAAACAAGTACTTGGAGGTGCGAGGGAGCCAGAAGGGACACTACTAACTCTGGCTTGGTCCTCCACGTATGGATATGTAGACATAAATGTGTCAATCAATCAAGATACTCCAGACCAACAGTAGAGTTACATAGCACCCAGCCATTGAGAATTTCAAGATGTGTTACTGTACTGAAAGCCTTGAAAGCAGAAAGGGAGACAAATTCAGTGTGGCAAAAAATTGAGGATATACTAAGTGACAATGACATTAGGGGGAGGTTATTCAAAGGCTGCAGCAGAGGATTCGTCATTCCATTGAAGTCCGATTGTGCCATCCATAATGCAAGATTGGTGGTGCCGGTGCATAGCGAAAGGATTTCTGTGGTTGTACTCAGAAGTACATTGCCCTCAATGCACAATGATTTCACAACGCCTCGAGCAAAATCACTACAGCATTGGCACCAAATACAAAGTGATGAAAGAAAGGATATAGCAATACTTTCATTTGTTAAAATGATTTTTCGATAAAGCAACCTTTCAATCCTGCAGCAGTAGTCAGTAACATAGCATTGTGCTCTGCCTCAACCTTTCAGAATTGCGTACCAGTAATGTACCCCCTGCAAAACAAACAAGAGGGAATAAGCTTGCTGCATACAATCAATAGCAAGGATAACAATCTCTCTCTGGAGTTTGAGGGGAAGTGCTGGCATTGGCATGACTGAGTCCGTTGAACTCCAAACCCGAAAACTGAGACCCAAATTGGGTTCAACATTATCTAAGCTAAAAAAAAAAACTTTCTAGCGGTTGTTTACACTAAATGTGCATCTCCTTTGAGAGTCAGGATTAGCTTTCCTATCTGCGTCACTCCCGGTGACATCAATGTAATTCGCTTTCTGCAATGTCGCACTATACTGTAAGAGGCAGGAGATGTGATGACAGTGTTTACTAACCTAAACTTGAAGTTCAGATACTCGGATCTTGAATGACTCTAACCTAATACTGGCAGGAGCGACCAGACCTCTTTAAGAGCAGCAATGTTCTGATAAGGTTTGTCAACAGCAAATTCATATTTGGCGCTGCATCCATTGATGTAATCATCTAGGGGCAATTATTCAGGGTAAGCATCTGCAGCTCTAATTTAACGTCACGAAACTCCCCATCTTGAACTTTTCTGGCATGCAGAGAACTTACAGGACACTGAAATGCTTGGCACCCTGTCAATTGTGACATGATCCGGCCTGTACCACCAACGTGAAGCTCACTGACGAGCCGGTGAGTAGCACAAGATTATCTCAGATCTAGCATTGATATGAAATACAGATTTAAATCATGTTTAAACTGTTGGAAAAATGATTGACCCACTTGTCCTGAGTCACAATGGCATGTTCCCAATGCTGCCACTACAGCAATAACTTATCTGACCGTAATGATGCAGCTGAAATTTTTTTGGGATATGATAATACTAGTAGCCCTGCTGCAGATAACCTGTTTGATGGCCTACAAAGTCTCCATGATGTCAGCAGAGACTGTACACCTGGGGCAGGCCATTTGGGGTATAGAGACACCTCAGATTCAGATGTAGACCATGCTATCAAGCTCGTCAAGAAGCTTGAAGAGGAGCATTATCAGCAACTCAAGCGGGTAATGTGCCATTCAGACATTTATCGAATACAATCTGATCTCACCACTTTTGTTTCAAGGACGTCGATGACTGGAATGCCCAGGTTGAAGATGATACAAAATTTTGTCTCTCAGGAAGAAAAAGCAGCCATGCTCAGACAGTGGAGATATCCAGGCTGTGAGTGAGCCTTCAAGAGTTCTTCTTCCATGAATAATTTTTCCAACAGAGTCCATGCCGCTTCGGCCATAATTTAATCAACTTTCCACGACAGGTGTCATCCACAAATCCTACCACACCAATAAAGCATAGGAAGCTATGGGCACTGTTCAAGTCCAATCCACACGCAAAGAGCCCATCGAAGACTTTGGTCCAGACACTATCTGGCATTGAGACAGCTCTTGAAAGGCACAATGTAATTCTTTCTAGGATGTGTCAGGCATTGGAGAATCTTAACACAAAGTAGCTGTAATATATTTATATTAAACATGATCAGAGCTCACAAGGACATACATACTTGTAATTTCCCTCGAGACTGCAAGCACTCAATTTACGTGTGCCCATCACAACAGCATCCTGAACAAGGGTATTAGCCAGTATAGGAATATTGTATTGTTCCCCTAGCTTGTCAGCTTGACCAAGCAACCATTTAGGAAGTCAATTACCGAGTCTGTTGGCTTGCGTCGGAGAGCATAGATTCAGAAAAGTTGCCAATGTGCACCAAATGTAGTCAGAATCATAGTACAATAAAAAGTTTCAAAAACCCTTACACTCGACGGAGCTTGAAGCAAGAAACATGTCCGAGTCATCCAACTGTGACACCAATGACTCTCGCTCTTCTGACTTCAACGATGGGGCTGATGAAATCTTAGTGTGTGCTAACTTCGAGTTTGAGGGCTCCAGGAGGCCTACGGCAGAAAGTCATTTTGGATGCCCCAGGTATGCTGATGGCCAAGGCGCCCCTGTACATTTCTGTGGATGCTATAAGTATGATATACTTGAAAGGTCCAAACATTCACCTTCACCTCCTGACAACGAGCAGGCATTTCAGCTTGCAGATGAATTTGAAGCGGAACAACCAAAGCCAGTTTGTGTCTGTGGATTATAGGTGGAGATTGTTAGTAACAGGTCTAATTTCAGCAGCTGGAAGCTCAAGATGGCGATCACTATAATGTTGATGCACGTCGTTCGAAGCGAAAGAGTTCTGACAATCATGATGATGTTGTTGTGAGTACGCCCAGCTCAATTTTTTTGACTACACACTCACCACATGCAGATTCCATATGACTTTGGCCAGGACGTGACTAGCATGAGGGCAACATCAGTGCCTGTTGAGCTTCAGCCACCTGTGAAATGCAGGAAGATTGGAGAGTGTTACGACTTGGATAGTATCTGTTGGCGACGCTCAAACAGAGCATGTGTCGTCAACAGTCAAAAACGTCCTTGAGCTAGCTCAAGGTTAGGGGTCTTACTTGGCGAGGCTTTGGCAAGTAAGATTTAATGCCTATGTCCAAATCGGGTTGCTTACATCAAGCGGGGCTCGACGATAAGCATATCTGCCAAGGCTTACAACACCCAAAGGTTAATTGTAAGATCTGTGTTAATTAGAAGGACAGAAGTCCAACTAGTTAACAGAGGCTTTGCTCGTCAACAAAGTCGATGAGTAAAGATCGAGACTAAGGACTTATCCACGATGAGCAGATAAGAAGATAGAATATAGACTGCTGGCTAAGCAGAAAGGATCACTCTTGTTAGAAGTAGGAGGTCAAGAACCAAGTAGATTCAAGTTAAGGAATAGGATACATGGTAGCGAGTTTATATAGAGGAGAGGATGCATATTAGTGGATGATAACTCATACTACCGGAAAGGGAACTGGTCAAAGGGTAATACTAGAAAAGGAAGGCATGTTTGAGGTGAGTCATAGGTGAACCAGAACGTGCAAGTAAGAAACGAGTCAAAGATAGAAACAGGAAGTGAAACGCGCAGGGGCACAGCCGTGCAACTGCAGAGCTAAATATAAGTACACATGTGCAACTGCACACCAAGTCATAGATCAAGAAAGGGAACAGGGTAAAGGGGATGCAGCGTGCATCGTATCATAGGTTACCGTCCAGACAGTAAGGGCAAAGGGGACTGTCCACAGGATTAGTCAGGGGGTGGAACGGAGCATGGGTATGCTTCGTCAGAGAAAGGGTCCAGCCAGATGTACTGGCTCTGCTGGAGCGACAGGTAGAGAGCGAAGGGGAATGCGAGGATGATGAGGATAACAAGAGCAAGGTCAGGGTAAGGGTGTGATGCAAGGGCAGAGACAAGGAGGATAAGGAGAAAAATAGTAGGTGCCCAAGCGTCTAGATGTTCTTGTAACACCTTTGATCTCCCAGTCATGGCCGGTCCTTCAATAGGTCCAATTCCTGTGGATCTTCCACCCTCGCCTGTCATTGCTGGGCCTTCTACCAACCCTGCCTCCGAGTCCCGGGAGAAGGGAAAAGGTAAGGCAGTTGTCCCAGACCCAGAACCGGAAGTGGAAGGGAGTTGGAAGAGGAAGTCTCCAATGATTCCGACACTTCCCTCCCAACCCCCGGAGTCTGCTATGAAGACTTGGAAGCAGGCGAAGGCCACCGGCCTTGCCAAATTCAAGGTGTGTGTTGAGTCGGAAGATGAGGAGGACTTGGTCACTCAGGTATGTCCTCTGGTTCATTGTTTCATTGTCTTACTCATTTTGTAGCCAATTTTGTGTGGAGTGCCAGAGGTCGTCCTCCCCCGGCTCTCCCCAGATGTTGCAAGGATGTCCAGATTACCTCAGTCACCCTGGAGCCTGAAGAAGAAACCCTTTGGGCCTGCTATGGTAAGTCGCACTTTTGCATCCGGCACTCAGATGGGTCCTTATAATGTGCCAGGCAATTGCCGGCAAATGTCCGGAGGTCATCAAGCCCCCTCAGGCCACTCCCAAACCTCCGGTAGAGGCGCCCCCAGTCATCAACGCAGGTGATATACTCATTCCCGGACCTGTAAGTACACTATTGAGACTTGGTGTGTCTATGAACTGACAGATTGCACAGAACAACCCTTGCCAGGCTTGCCACAAGATGGAATGGCCCTGCTGCAACTCGGTTTGACAAGAGGACTGGCGCCCTGTGCATGTCCTGCGTCTACTGCACCACCAAGAAGATCAAGTGCATCTCCGTGAGTATGGGAACCCCTGCCAAAACGTGTTTGAGGTCAATCTGTCACCTGGACCACCAGGAGGACCAGATCTAGGACCCCTTCCAAAGCTCCCTCCAAAGCTCTGGCCACCTCACAATCCACCGGCCGGATGCGGAGTCAATCTCGGGTCTCTTCCGTCACTCCTGGTCCATCTGGTGCCCAAACACCAAAGGTGCAAACACATGGTTGCAGCAAGACTGTCACTGCTGCCAAGAAACCTACACCTGCACCAGCTCGTAAGTCACCCAAATTTTCTATGTCCATCTGACATAATGTTCCACCTGTAGCAGTCCCATCTTCGACCTCTGGAGTTCCTCGTTTGGCACTCGATGTGCCAATGCTGGATTTGCATGCCATGGCAATGGTGATTCAGGAGGGTGCAGCTCGAATCGCCGCTCTCGAGGAGCGTGTTGTTGAGCAGGATGCTAAGATTGACACCCTGAAATGCCTTCATGAAGTCCTTCGACGCGAAATCATCCTCCGGCACCCAACATTTCCACTTCCAGACGCCCAAGGTGATGCAACATCATTTTTGCTTCATCAACCTGTCCCTCTGGCGATGTCAACCCCCACATCCGCACTTCCTCCTCTCATTGACCTGTCTATGGAAGGGATGGAGCCCAACCCCCCCAACCTCCAGGATGAGTCTGCCATCGACGGACTCATATTTGAGCTCAACCAAATTCATCCTGAGGTTTCACAGACGCCCGGCGAAATTGTGAAACCAGATGATCCAGGCAATCTTTTCCCAGAGTATGATTCAATTGAAGAGATGGATGTTCAAGTGAAGGGTGAACCTTCTGGTGAGGATGTTGACATGACTACATAATTAAATAGTCATAGATGTATATGCAATGTTTTCAATCAATGTTACCTTTGTTATCAGTGACTTATCGATTCACCAAGTGCCGAGACCTGAGGCCTGAAACCTGCAACTCGAAATGAGTGGAAGACTAAATGTTGCAAAATTGTTGACATGAAAGTGTTACTCCCAGAACACCGAAATCTGAAACTCAATGGTTGAATCACTGAGTACCGAGTACCGAGTGCCAAGTGCCAAGTGCCCATGCCCAAAACCCGAGGCTCAAAACACAACACTGGACACAATACACCATATGGTATTTCTTACAAATTTCACGGAGGTCCCATCGCAAAGCCACGAAACTTATCAGTAATTTATTGATTCACTGAGTGCTGAGACCCAAGACCCGAATGCCGAGTGCCGAGGCTCAAAATCCGAAACATGAAATGAGTGGAAACCCACATTTCACAACATTGTTAACATGGAAATGTTAGATTGTCTTCAACAGTTTGCCGGAAGTCATGCTCTGATCCCCGAGCCCGAAACCTGAAACCTGTAGAACTCATTACAGGTTTTCGGGTTTTGGGTTTGGGGCTCAGGGATCGGAAAATGACTTCCAGCAAACTGTTGAAGACAATCTAACATTTCCATGTTAACAATGTTGTGAAATGTGGGTTTCCACTCATTTCATGTTTCGGATTTTGAGCCTCAGCACTCGGTGAATCAATAAGTCACTGATAAGTTTTGTGGCTTTGCAATGGGACCTCCATGAAATTTGTAAGAAATATCATATGGTGTATTGTGTCCAGTGTTGTGTTTTGAGCCTTGGGTTTTGGGCATGGGCACTCGGCACTCGGTACTCAGTACTCAGTGATTCAACCATTGAGTTTCGGATTTCGGTGTTCTGGGAGTAACACTTTCATGTCAACAATTTTGCAGCATTTAGTCTTCCACTCATTTCGAGTTGCAGGTTTCAGGCCTTGGGTCTCGGCACTTGGCACTCGGGTCTCGGGTCTCGGGTCTTGGCACTCAGTGAATCAATAAGTCAATGCTGAATTCCAGGGTTTTAGGATTGGCACGCGGTGAATTTTGTAAGAAATTCCATATTGTGTATCACTTCCAGCCTCGGGTTTCATGGCTCAGGTTTCAGGCTTTGGCACTCGGCACTAGGTGATTCAATCAGTCAGTGGTAACACTTTCTGTTTTGCAGTTTGGCTCTCAGCACTCAGTGATATGTCTCAGGACATTGATATTTCACACATTCCTGCGAGTATCTAGTTTCCAGTCTGGAGCTTCTGGTCATCGGGCGTCCGGAATTTGAGACAGTGATTTCTCATTGAAAAATGGATGTTGTACCATGGGATTCAATTTTCGGGCGTTGGGACTCAGTGATCTGTGCATGTCAGACAAGTGCTTTATATATCTATATAGTAAACCAATACCTTGGCCTATATGTCTACACAATATCTCCCTACCTTGGCCCACCCATCTATATTACATTCCCCTCCATCGGCCCACCAGTCTATATCATAAATAATTTCCTGCACTCTCGGCCCACCCGTCGATATAATAAATGTTTTACTGCTCGCTCGGCCCACCCGTCTGTACAATTCACAATGTCCTCAGCCCACCCGTCTATATAATAAATATTCCACCACTTTCTCAGCCCACCCATCTACAAAATTATTCCTGTACATCAGCCCACCCATCTATACAATGTACCTTTACATCAGCCCACCCGTCTACAAAATGATTCCTATACATCGACCCACCCGTCTATACAATGTACCTTTACATCGGCCCACCCATCTATATAATAATGATTGCCTCTCATCTCCCTTCAGCCTAGCTGTCTATAATATACATGTCCATCTTACTGTACATATTCCCTGGATGGGCCCACCCATCTCCATCAGTAAAAATATTCATTTCGGCCCATCCAACATCATCGAGCATATATATAACATTGGCATAGATGGGCCCACCTGTCTCTATCGGAAATAATATTCCCCCCAGCCCATCCGTCAACATCGGGGATATACATCACATTGGCCCATAGTCTGCTGGGCCATCTTATACAGCATATTATGTAGGTCGGGTGACCCGTATAATATGGAATTTGTCACTGAAGGGGCTCACATCACTTCTGCATCCTTACTTGTTTTATAATTTCATGGGTGTCCTCCTTTCCCCACAGGTTTATATGCTGGCTGGCCTTTCTCCTGTGGCTGTGAACTCCACGCAGTTCAATTGGATAGAACCATTTGGCTTTGCATGCCACCTTCACTGGTATGTACCCTTCAGCCATTTGTTCCATCCATCATTCAGCTCATCCTTGACCCTATCATTTTACTCTATCCCACCATCATACCTTGTTGCTCAGAAAGCCAATATATCAGATTTTAAAGTGAGTCCCTCCATATTCCTTCCGTATCTGTTTTATAATCCTCATGCTACCTACAGTCATCAATCTTCAAGTCCCTTCCGAGTGTGCTGTAACAGCCATCTCACTTTATAAACCTGCTTTCTCCATGTCTGCCCATCTGCTGCAACCTCGTGTGTAGCCCCTCAATACTGAACGTTGAACTCCAGCATCAACTCCATTGCATCCATCATGTGTCCCATCTATCTCTTCATTCCTGACCTGTTTTTTGTTTTCTAATTGTCAACTGTATGTCTCACATGTCTCTCACCTTGTATTTGCTGATGATTCATTGTGTTTATGTCATCCTTTTGGTCATTTGCGCGACAGCACACCCTCTCGTCCTCACTCGTACTATGAAATGCGCTGTTCACACTCCCTATTTCAGTTTTTTGTTGGTCTGTTTTCTGTCATAACTTAGAAATCATCATTCATTGTTGCTTTTTATTCTGACTACCTTCATTGTTGTGCTTTTTGGTAGCATTTGTATATACTAACTAGCATGTGCATAAAGTACCTGCGAGTATATTCGCACCGTCATCTGTTCTGTACTGTGAAATAGCAACATCATGCATGGCATGACTTATTGAGATGTGATACTGATGGTTATGCGTGCTTTATTTGTGTAAATTTAACTTGGCGCCAGTTTGGTGTTAATTGTGTTTACCCTGTCACACCCTTTTTCCATCCATGTCTTTTATTCAAAACTTCAGTATGGCAATAACCTGGACATTTCATAAATTAGTAGTTGCATCTAGGTAGGAATACGAGCACTGCGTGTTGTCCAAAAATTCCGACGGCTGAGAGTTGGCGGAGATTCTGGGGGGTCCCCCAGGTTTCAGCCACGTCACTGCCACCAAATATCAGCCAGCCGGTACTAAGTCATAAACTTGATACTCTAAGTCGACGCTCCACGCAACGATGGCGGATACCATTAAGCCACCTCACCTTGATTTCTGCTCGGTATATGCGGCGTCGACTCAGCCCTTCAACACGCCTCAACACATACCCAGCTGCAGACCTACCACATTAGCACATATAATGTTAACCCATAGCTAGGGTTTATTCGACGAAAAAAGGCAACTCCAGCATCATTGGTTCTGCTAGCACTGTTTGTCTCTAACCAACACAACCGACACCACATCACTGCACTCAAGCTCTCCTATGTAAGTACTTACCTTCAATACTGCAGGGTACTTCTCACTGATATTACCTTATCAGTCTTTTGATCTATTCCACCTGGGCCAGGACCATAGCACAGGCAAATTGTGCAAGCCTTGCCTGCCTGTCATTTGAACATCTATCGCAGCCGTCGACTCGAGGATAATTACAAGTATGAAGACTAATGTACGGCTTGTAATATACCTCGTATTATTTCAAAGACTGTTTTTTAATCGTCTGTTGGATCTGATTCATAGCGCCGCTTGTGTCCTTGCACTGTGTGTACACCAGTGGGTCTGTTTCAAACGAGTTGAATAATCAGACTCCATATCAGGAGAAATGGATATGCTCGTCATCAGCCAGGTCCCAACAAGCTTGCGTTCGAAGATGACTTAGATCAGGAATTCAAAAGCTCACAACCTGCTGCCGAGTATGAATGTCCACCCTTACCTACCCTGGGGGAAAATGAGTACTTTGATCACGAGGCAGACACTGATATCAACATGGGGATAGATGAGGGTCCTGTTGATGGAAACTTCTATATTGCTGAGGATGTTTGTGTTGACGGAGACCCTATCCTTCGACAGAATTTTAGCATGCAACAAAGCGATGGAAAATACCCTTCCCAACCCAATTCCCCTCCTCTGTATTTTCCAGCATCCGATGACGAGTCTCTCAACAATCAAAGTGTACTTTCTCTCGATCTTGGCACTCCTGCTATCACACATGACGAGCATTGTGAATGGGTTAGTACAGGTGAAGATATTGAGGGAGGTGATGAGCAAGTTTGGGACCCGGAGGTGGATCCTGAATACTTATCAAATGATGCTGTCCTTGAGGATGGCCTTGCACAAGAAGACCAGAGCGAGCCAGAGGATGTCCTCCCGCATGCATTATCAGAGCATCCAGCTCTTCTCAATGGCTACTTGACCGTGTTCATCAATGCTGCATACCGACATGCAACACATGCGGACTCGGAGGCAACACTCACCCTCCTTTGCAGTACAATCAAAACATGTTATCAGGACCTTGATGGAGTTCCGCCAGAACTCGAGCTAGATAATATGGCTCGCACTCTTCGTACTGTGGAAAAACGCCTTGGTGTTGACACCAGCAAAATTATCACGACTTATATTCTTTGTCCATCATGCTGGAAAATGTACCATCCCTCTGACTTTCGCACCTTACGCAATCCAACCTGCACAGAAGCAGATTGCTCTGCGACACTGTTTCAAGCCAAACGCACAACATCTGAGGGCATTAAAAAAATTCCTTTCAAGGTCATGCCGGTCGTGTCATTGAAAACTGCGCTTGCGAGGCTCCTTATGCGTCCAGGGAAGTGGGATGAGCTTCAACACTGGCGAAAAGAAGGAGATAATGAGCCAGCACCACCCATCACACGCGAAGAATGGTATGCAACAAAGGCACTTGACGAACCACTCTGCGACATTTATGATGGTTGGATGTGGCGTTCTGTTCGGACGGGCATGACACGCGAGTGGGACGAGAGGAGACGAAAGGTTAAAGATGTTGACAGTCAAAAATTTGCATCAAAGATTTGTGTCGCTAAAGTGTGGTATTATGGTGCACATTAACATTGACTGGTAACGTTCAAACTCTCTACTAGCTCTAGCTTCCGTTAATGTTGGCTCTAGGTTTCGAGCTTTGAAACGCGCCAACTACTCTTCTGGGACACTTTGGCTCACCATTGACAATCTTCCACGATCAATCCAATTTCTTCGTGAAAATACATTCCTTCTACTCATCATTCCTGGCCCGACAGAGCCAAATACAGAGCAGTTGAATGGCCTTCTTGAGCCATTTGTTCGAGATCTCGAAGATCTCAGTGAAGGTATGTACATTACAACACTTAGCAGCCTATTGACATTGATAACTGGAATAACAGGAGAGTTCTTCAAGGTTTTCAGGACATCAAGATCCTGAACAAATTCATGTCGCGCTTCCATTTGGAACTATGGATACACCCGCTCGTCTCAAAACAGCTGGATTTGTCTCACAAAACTCAGAGGAGCATATGTGTCCATGTTGCGATGCACCATTCTCCTCATTGGTTGATCCAGTTTGCTTTGATCGCTCAAGTAGGTATTTTTTTTTTCATATGTACTGAGTTCTCATGCTTTTGCAGAATTCTGCTATCGGAACTCAGAGAAGCAGCTTAAATGGAAGTTTATATACAGAGATTCTGACGATGCTGACACTCGAAAGAACATTGCGGAGAAGAAGGGTGTCCGTACTTCAATTCTCGACAGACTTCCGACCTGGAATGGAGCACTGAGCATTCCGTCAGAAATTATGCACCTTTTCTGGGGCCCAGGTGCGTTTTGAACCTTTCCGGTTGGTTGTGAGCATGGTTAGAACTCTTTTACAGGTGCTTCTGGTCAGATTCACAAAGTCATCCTCATCGAAGGTTCCATGTTCACAGGGACTGGAAAACGGGGCGAAAACACACCCATGGATCGACTTACTGAGTTTCTGGAATCACTGTGGTGGCCGAACAATTCTGGACGATTCCAAATCAAGGTAAGCTTGATATGAGCTTCAAACCTACAACCAATTTTGCTAAATTATGACGGCAAGATTGCTAGTGGAGGAGAGCGTCCAAAAGCAGATGAATGGTGCAATTTTATCCGAGTTTATCCAGTTGCACTTGCAGTTGCTTGGCAGATGTGGACACGTCAACAGAATGAAGATGCACCTGCTCTGCGCAAGCGTACTAAGGTACATCAAGCTGTCATTAAATCGAAAGAATTGCTGCATAAGCGTCGCATCAAAAATCTTGCTCGTGAGGAAGATGCACAGGGTGATGATTACATTGCTCTTGAAGACATTGAGGCAAGTCGCAACTATCATGATCACTATCAAAATGTGCTGTGCTACTGTACTGCAACACTGATTTTTGCCTCTCGATCCATCACACCTCAAGAGGCAACTTGTGCTTCAGATTTCATGTCTGAAGCGTCACAGTCATGGGCTGCGATGAACTGCCACCTCACACCAAACTTTCACATTGCTGGCCATGTCCTTGAGTACATCAATACCTATGGTCCAGCATACGCCTGGTGGGTGTTTCCATATGAACGAGCCATTGGTGTCCTTGGAAAGGCTAACCACAATGGACATGGAGGTGGTGAAGTTGAGGGGACATTCATGAGGGCTTGGTGGAAGAGTATTTTGATCCAGGAGCTCGTAGGCAGTGTCTAGTAATTCACTGTGTCTTTGCTGATTGTCCCTTAGTTGATGCATCTACAGGTGTGGCCTAATCAAACAGATGAAGATGAGGAAATTGTTCAGTTACTGTTGAAAGCAGTCAAAGGTGGTGCAGAGCTCGATCGCCAGAGAGGAACACTCCTGAATTACCTTGCCCTTCTATCCGCACCAGAGGACTCAGGTTCGTGGGTTTGTTATCAATTGTGGACATATATTAAGTTGAGAGTTACTAGTCAAGATCACGCTCCCTAATCAATTCAAGATAATTGCCTTGCGACCTCTCAACATCTATCCCGTTGTCCTGCATTTTCTTCGGCTGCAGTTCCCTCACCTGAATTTAATCTCGGACGCTGGAGAAGCATCACATGGGATTTTATTTGAATCCCGCGGTGCCAAATCATACGCTATGGTGAACATTGGGGCCACAAAGTATGGATCATCACTTCATCATCGTGGCAAGGGATTCTGCTATGGTTACATCAATGGCAGACATGCAGCTCGAGTCGATTACATCCTGTCCGTCAATATCCCTCATCAAAATCCTCCTGTAATTGTCAATTTGGCCCTTATCCGACGGTTTCAAGAGCCTATTTTAGACGTCGAACATCCATGGTCTTTGTGGGCAACTGATCTTGGAATTGCGACTTGGAAATACAATGAACTCAGCAACCTTGAAGCTTGTCGTCTCGAGGACTTTACAGGTCAGTTTGCATTTGCACGAATCCATGTTCCTCATGCTGGTCATTTCTGGGTCACATTCTCCTTGGACACTGTGAGTGCACGAGTTGAATAACCTCTGTCAAATCAGCTGAACTTCAGATAGACCACTCAAGAACCTGATGGCAGTGACAACGAGCCTCATGAGAGTTGAAGATTTTCAGTGTTGCGGAAGTAGCAGACTCGAGCTTGTATTACAATTACTGGATGCTGTTACAAAGAATCTATGGTAGTATAATGATAACGAGCAATTCCGAGTCCAAACATGCGATTGATGTGAGTGTGAGTAACCTAACCTGACTCGGATGATGAGCTTTCCGAGTACGACATGTCTGCATCATGATCATTGGTCATAAGCGCCTCCTGCTGCTCACGGTCTTCTTGCATCAGACTCTTGAGCCATCGTGTTGAGACTGCCCATCGTGGAGTCTTGAGGGTGTTGTGTTGTGGCAAGGAGTCTGCTGGCCGAGGTCGTCCTTGAATCTGTGGTACTCGTTTCTTCATCCAGTTCTTCTTGTCAGTCTCCCTCTCTGCGACAATCTTCTCAACTTCATCCTTGATAACCTGAGAAAGAGCACAATACTACATTGGCGGAGGTGAGAAAATAATCAAAGATACAATCACAATACAGCCTACATCTTTTGAACGCCATGCTGGAGGATGGGTTGTGAAGATGTCCTCCTTCTTTGGCTTCTTGTAAGCTTTGCGTCTCTTGTTAACGACAACATCAACCTCGTCACTTGAACTCTGGTGTGAAGCATCGGAGGCACTATAATCCGTTGACTGCCATTTTGATGCGAAAGCAAAGTCGTACACCTGGTCCTTGAGGTCTGGGATATTTTTGCGAGCCTCAATAGTGAGTTTAGATTTCTGTATCAACAGTCTGTTAGTGTATGTATGTCAATATACTCGTGCTCACATCAATTTGGCGCTTCTCACGACAAGCAATGGCAACATTCAAAGACTGAAGTCCAATTGGCCTGTTTCCCTCCTTATAACCCTCCTTTAATGTCTGGAATACTTTACCAGCAACACTCCGCAATGTCTTATCAGGCATGCCTTTGACTGCATCCTGTGAGAGAGTTGGTTCGTAGTTGCTCGCATCTCGGCGGAACCGCTCAAAGAATGACTTGTGCCACTTAGAATTATGGGTCCATGAGTCGGCCCATTTTGGTCGAAGAACAGATGTTGCTGTTGTTGCGCCATCGACATCAAGGAAATCAATTTCTGTCCAGTAGTTGTCCTTTCCATCCAGAGCGTCAGGAAGAGCTTCGTTAAACTCAATGCCCATCATCTTGAACAGCACTTGACGGATGGCACTCTAAAAGCACAGTAAGAGAGATAGCAGCTGATGAGGATAAAATAACTTACATTCATTGCGTTGTTCCGAACACCAGTGGCAACAAGTGCTGCTGGTTCGTGTACCTCAAGGGCCTCAATGCGCTTGATGAGGCTTTCGATCTCTCCCTCGAGCCGTGTTGTCGTTGCAGCATGGTGATCCGAGAGCCTGGCTTGCTCTTTGCGAAGTCTTAATATCTCTGTCTGTGAGCTCTCAATATAATTGTGTTGGCGACTTGCTTGGAGCTGAGTCTTCGAATGAGCAGACACTTGTTCCTTCTGGCTTGGTCCCTTTGCTGGTCCAAGCAGGGTACGTGACTTGAGCAAGTCATCGTCAGTGTTATCCTCATGAGCAGGGGGGGTGCGTGTCATGTGCTGCAAAGATGTTGTAGAATTTGTGTTGTGGGGTGTTGCAAACCCAACAGGCTGCATCGGGTTGGTAGCGCCATTCATTGGCTTCGACTTTGAAGCCTTTGAGGGCAGGCCTTTCTCTGTGAGGAAAGGACACACTGAAGGGACTGGTTTTGGTGCAGCAATGCGGCCTGCCACTGTAGCTGCTGGAGCAGAGCGAGGATGCCAAGGGTGCAGTTGGTTTCAAATATGAAGTCGACTTAGATGAGAAAGTCTGATGCCCCGATGGGGGCGGCATCACGGAACTGGGACATGTGCTTGCTGTAGGATTTTGCATTGCTGGGGTTCTATAAGATTTAATTAGTGAAATGTGATCAAAAATATACTGAGGCATACCTGGAGCATTGCATCTGCCTTAACCTTTGAAGGACTTGAGATTTCTTGCTGCAATTGCACGATAAGTAGTAGTACAGATGATACAAACCTTAAGCTTACTTCACTGATGGTTGATTTGTGCATGACTCGTCTGATCGTCTCGACTTTTTTGACATTACAGGTGATCGTGAACGAAACTGAGAGTGGCCACAGTCTTTGATATGGACATGAGAAGAGAGAGGCAATGTGGATGCCTCTGGGTATGTGTTCAGTGCCTCGAGCTTTCGCTTCTTTGAAGAGACATCATCCGGATCCTGAGAATCGGAGTGCAGAGAAGGGTCTATAGAATAATCTGGCTCATACTGATGTTGATAATTGAGTGACTGGTTGGAAAGATGAGGGAACTGTTCGTGCTCCAAATCAGAGTGAGGGGTAACAGGTGAAGTGAAGCTTGATGCGCCAGCTTCATCTGAAGTAGTACCGGTTGTCATATCAGGTGGAAAGACATATTGCGGCTCCACATGAGGGGCAGCATTCAAAATGTCACCAAGACGCACTGATTATTGGTACATTCAGTCCTTGATACAACATGCAAATTAAAGCAACTCACTTGTACAGTAGTGAACGCTGATTGCAATCAATGTCCTGTTTAGCACAGAAAAGTCTACACGAAGGGAATCAATTGGTGTGTTTAGTATATGAGCAGGTCCTGATACAATCACTTACCAAACTCAACAAGGATGTTCGCAACGCTTTGATGCACCCTGTGAGTTGAATGTATGCGCTTTAGAGTCCAGACTGAAGTGCGGTATAGTCAGTAGTACTACAAGCTTAATTGAGAATCACATACACACGGAGTTTGAAACTACCTTCGCTCCTGACTTCCACGCGATGACGAGTCACATCTGCATTCTGGCAACGTACAGCGCAGCTACAAAGTGAGTGTCCTCAACTGTCCTTTCAACATATTCAATGACTGACAATCCCACCTGGAAGAAGCACTGGGGGATTGAAACTGAATCTGCATCATTCAGAACCTCATTCAGCAACTCCCACTCCTGAACCAAATACCGACCGGTCTTCCAATTCGGCTATTGCAACAGTAAGTCTAACTTGCAGTTCAAAACATTCTTATCTCCCCCGGATAGTGCTCTAATCTCTGTTATCAGTCTGAAGCCTCAAGCAATCAACAACGCACAATCCGGTCCAATACAATCGACATGTTCCCCACCATCCTTGGACTCTTGAAGGTGTTCAAATTCATCACTAAGGAGCTTGCAAATGTACGTGCTTCAATCTTTATTTTGTGCCTGGCTGACCTTCGTGCAGAGCTCCATCCGTATGCAAAGGTGGCATTATGTGTCTTCACTTGGGCGTCAAAGGTACACTTGTCGACCTATCCCTACATTTTGCAAGCTAATCTGAATGTGGCAGATGATTCTCGATCAGAGAGACCACGGTGACACTGTTTCCCATATAGTCTCAAAGGTCGCGCCGATTTCATCGTCCATTAGTCAGACACGAAGAGTTTCTGTGAGTCGTTCCTACCGCTTCGTCACCCAAAACTCACCCACTCTGTATAGGCAAAAGACTTGACAAGAATGTCGCCAACGAATCAGATACTGCGATTTAGAGCTGGGGATATGGGTATGGGTTGGTGTCTGCGCACCACTGCTGATGGGATTTCACAAGTATACGAGTCTGTTACAATCTATATAGCTGTGCCTGTATCGATATCTAGCACTGCAGCTGACCAGTGGGCACGAGTATAAAATAGCATTGATTTATCTAGTATTAATATTTACCTGGCTAGCTGAATATCGATTGCGGCCACAGGTGCATGATCGCGAGGCGCTGTATAATAATCATTATATATATATAGGTATATATATAATATGACATTAATATTATTAACAGCTCGAGAGGTCGCACCCTATCGAGGATAGGCCATTGTTTCAGCTGGTGTTGACGAGAGGGCAAAACCTTGACTCCTACATGGAGAGAATGCGACAAAACCGCCATGTCGACGCCGGTGTCCAATGAAGTTGCTGATGTGGCTGAAACCTAACCCTAGGGTCAGGTTCTGCCCTCGTTTCATATGGCTGAAATCTTTGATAACACGCAGTGCAAGGTAATATTTATAATTGATGAAGATATTAAGATTGAAATGACATGTTTATAGTCATGGTACCAAGGACCCAGTGGGAACGTTAAATGAAAATGCTGGAGAGTATTCAAGGTGCATCTGTGTACAACACCTGAATGAAATGCATCATCTAGAGGCTTCTACTCTCAGCGCAAGGTCATAAAGAAACTCACAGACCTGTTTGTTGAGACCAAGGATAATGCCATGCAGATCCCCATTGACAGGTACGTGCCCGTATTGATTTTAAGTCGACCAGTGACTGAAGTCAAGGTGTTCTTGCAGTAAATCATGCAACACCGTTGAGCCTGTCTTGAAGCCCTATTGGTGGATAAATATCAACATCTTGCAATCAAGGTTAGTCGCACTATATTTCACTCAAATTTCTTTCAACAATCATTGCAGCTTACAAGAGGCCAGGTGAACTTCAAAGCAGAATGAAGAATGGTATTACTGGCTTGAAAATATACCAGAATGATGATGTTGACCTTCAGACTCAGACCATCTAGTATCATGACATAAGATTATGTGCAGCCTAACGTGATTGCCACCACTCACATTTAAATTTAAATATTAAACCTCAGAAAGCTCTTGCCAATCCATCACAAGGTAGCAGATTTGTGCAACGATATGCCGAAGAGTATGTGTTTTTTTTTCGTCAATCAAAATTGCATTCACATGAATTCATAGCACTGAAACAATATAGTTTCGTCAATGTCAATTTCGATGGATCAAATCATTCGATGAGACAACATCACGTTGACCATCGCTAGGGATCAGCAGGGGTATGGGTAGGGGTACCCAGGGGTAAGGGTATGGGTAGGGATTTCATAACCCATGGACCCATGGACTACAGGTGGTACCCCTGGACTAAATAATGGACCTTGTTTGTCTGTAACTTATATCACCAGTGCAAACTGATAAAACTTTTCACAACCATTCCTCTGTGCTATCTCATCATATTACCTAAACAGACCACATGGCCCACTGAAAAGGTCCTTGCAATGGCTGCAGAAGGCAGCCGAGCCAAGCGGAAGGCTATTGATAAACCTTCTACCCCCATGGAGACATCAAAACATACAAAAGCAATGACACCTGTTGATATTGAACAATCCAACAATACTACTACACCATCCATATATCGAGCTACAGTTTGAACTGAAGAAGAAGAAGAAGCTACTTATTCAGATGCCATTGTTGTCAAGTCCAACAGTGATGGATCTGAAAAGAACAATATCAAAGTTAAAGAATCTTCTGATGCAGAACTAGGTAGTTACCTGCTCAGACAACATTAAAAGCTTAGTTTGCAAGATTGTAGACAGTCTGATGAAGGATTGGACATCACATCACCTATATATGCTTTCTTCGAACCTACTTCAGAAATTGAATATCAGGACAACCGTTGTTGTCACATGTTCAAATGTGCAGCACGGGGCTGCAAACACAAGGTTCAGTGATACCTCGATAAGAAAGATGCGAAGTCTACCAGAAACATGTGAAAGCATGTAAAAAGTTATTGGGGCGAGGCAGCCTTGCAAATGGCAATGGAGCACAGGGACACTGCTGCTGCACGAGATGGAGTTGTCAAGGATCTGCTTAAGACAGGAACTATCAAAAGCTCATTCGAGCGAAAAGGTAAAGGCAAAATCACCTACTTGCACAGACAGCATACTTACACAGAGACAAGGTTTGTTTTCTGTCCACTTAATAATGTCACTACTGATAGGACCTAGGGCGGGGATTGTGTGTTGGGTGTCGGAGAGTCTAAGACCATTCAAAACTGTGAATAATTGAGGGTTTCAGAATTTGATGAAGACAGGGCACCTGGAATATTACATACCTTCACCCTCAACAGTTGCTCGTGATGTAAAGCAAGTCTTTGTCAAGACTTGCGAACAAATAGCACAGATGCTACAAGTAAGCCAAATGTAGTGCAGAAGATCAGCAAACTAAAGCAATTACTAGAATTATGATGGCAAACTAAATTTCAGAACAGATGCCTGGACATTGCCCAATCACAGGGCTTATGTAGCCATCTCCATGCATCTAGAGCATGAGGGTCAGCCATTCTCAATGATACTAGACATAGTTGAGGTAGTGAAGGTAAATAAATACACTCACCCAAAGTTCAAACAAGACAGCACACATGCTGACATATTGCAGTCTCACAGTGGCGCAAATCTTCCAGACACATCTGCAGATATTCTAAAAGACTTCGGCATATCAGATAAGGTACTTAAGTTTAGTCACTCCATAAAACCCTTACCTGACTGGGGCAGATATTGAGTGTCACAGCAGATAATGCAGCATCCAATGATACACTTGTCGCAGAGCTTGCAGATCGAGTGGCGCATTTTGCTGGCAAGACAAACCGAACTCAATGCTTTTTGCACATCGTGAACCTCATGGCAAAATCTTTAATTCACGAGTTTGACACAAAATCAGGCAGTAGCACAGATACAGAACTAGATAAACTTAACAGGGATATAGAGATTGAGGACACTCAAACAGCAGACGAAGATCCAAACAAGGACCAGGAAAGCAAAGATAATGATGAGGGTTGTGTTGATGAATTACAGCTGTTGGAAGAGGCTGAGTGCGAGGAACTAATGGACAGTATCCGTCCAGTGAAGCTTGTCTTAGTGAAGGTAACAGTGTTAATAAGTGAAACTCACCTGCACAAACTAAAACAGATCACAGCTACGGAAACTTGCATTCAAAATCATCCATTCAACAACTATTGTTCTGCCTGCGTGGAAACAGATCATCAAGGACTTGGATCTCCATGTGTGAATCATGCCACGTGACATATCCACCAGGTGGAATTCAACCTTCAATATGCTCAATTTTGCATTGGAATACCAAGCAGCAATTGACAAGATCACAGACATGTGGAAATTGGGGCTTGGTGACTATGAGCTGACCAAGGATGGGTGGGCTCTGGTTGGACAGTTGCGAGATGTGTTGAAGGTAAGAAGTGACATATGTGATGTGACAACACTAACAAAACACAGATTCTCAAGGATGCAACTTTATACTTCTCATGTTTGACACCAAACTTAGCTATGGTCATCCCTGCAATCGATCACATCAACCAAGTCTTTGCTAACGGTATCGTCAAAAAGCAGATGCTAGAACCTGCCATACGCACTGCACTTGGACTTGCAAAATGCACACTTAATCGGTACTACTCAATGACCAATAGATCTGAGGTTTATCATATTGCTATGGGTGGGTCTTTTCTCCTTACTTTTACTATGCCATACTCATTTTTACTTAGTTCTTCACCCTCATCACAAACTCTCTTACTTTAGATCTGTAGGCTGGGAGCCGGAGTGGATTGAAACTGCTAAAAAACTTGCCCAAGATGAATTTCAGCGCTCATATGCCTCCCGCTCAGTCATGGTCAACACAAGTCCCCCAGGAAGTCAAGATAGTATTGATGAGGTGCGTAAAGTACATCATCATAAATGTTTTTACCACTGACACTAGCTTTAAACACTCAGGGTGATGACTCTGGCAACATATTTGACCACCTACCTGCTCTCGCAGAACTCAACCCTGGTGCTCGATCCTCATTCAGTGAACTTGATGTGTATCTCAATGCTGATGTTGAGAATGTTATGGATGCTATTGCATGGTGGCATGGGCACCGCAAGACGTATCCATGACTGTCAAGAATGGCACTAGAATATTTTTAATATTGTATACTACAGCAACATCCATTGATGTGGAACACATCTTCAGCTGTGGACACTTATTACTTTCTCATGTTCGAAACAAGCTTACTGCACAGATTACATGTGCATTGCTGTGTGTCAGCCTGTGGAGCCAGTTGGGTTTAGTCAGGGACAAGGACAACCAGTCTGTTGCAAGCCTTCCTGATGTCAACGGCGAGGATAATGAACTTGATGATGGGTGGGACTGCATTAAATTAGACTAGGTATTGCCATTACTCTATTGTCCATAAGCTGCCCATATGAATTGCATTGCGGGTATACCTCTACCCACGATACCCTTGACCCTGAGCAGATCCGCACAGACACCCATACCCCTGGCTACCCATGGGTGTGCAGGTACAGGTACTTGAGGGGTACGGGTACAGGTTGTCCTTTGGACACCTATGGGTTTACCCCTGCAGATCCCTAACCATCGCAATGAACCCAGGTGAGTGATCAGTGTGGATGAAAATGGGATTGGTCAGGGTTGTAGGACAATTTTATACATGCCACGTCCAGTGGATGCCCCACAGTCAACACAACCATTCGCTCCTCTTCCTCCTCCTCCTCCTCCTCCTCCTCCTCCTCCTCCGCCACCACTACCACCACCACCACCATCACCACTGCTACCACCACCACCACCACCTTCACCACTACTCTCGCTATCGCCACAACTGTCCCCACAGCTGTTCTAGCCGTTGTTGCTGTCCCGCCATCCATGCAAATCCAGCCATCATTAGATGTCAAGTTGCCTCTCGACTTGTTGTCTTCCATAGTGGCCCACCTTGCCAACTTAGAATGGGACTTGGAGCATCCAGAGATGTGGCAATATTATATAGAGTTTTCAGAATGCAACAGCGACTAGGGTACTATATGCTACTCTGTGCTTTTACTAAATTTTCTGCCTGCTGCCAGTCCTCATCAAGGCATTTCTCTGTATTGAGTAAATTAGTCAGCATATACACGATCACATGCATTATGGCAAGCGTTAACAAATCATTGTGACAGCATCATGTCACAAATTTATTATGAACATGCAGAACAAATGTATATTTGTTCACCAGTGCTAAAGCTACTACATGTTGGAATGTCCTTGTAATTAAAAAATAAGTGATAGTGATTGAGAAAGCTAAATGGCATTGGCACGAGTGCGTTCATGTCCATTGCTAGTTACAATGGCTGTAAGTCGCAAATTTGTCAGCAATTGCCAAGCAAAGCTATACATTGTCACCACTGCCAAAGCGACCATCAGGAAAACCCTCCCAGGGAAAAATGTTATAATTTTCACAAAAAGTTCTGATTCAGATAATTCTATCTAATTACAAGAATTAGGAATAAAATCACTAGAAGATGATAATGTACAATGTGAATATCACAAAATATCGAGAACTACTTGAATATACAAAAAGTGTATCTATCTAAATACAAGTTCAACCAAAAAGTGTTACAATCATCCAGAACCGTATCACTCGTCCATTCTCGTGGGACGACAGCACCAAAAGTCAGTATCAGATGGACACTACGCACAATACTTGTCAATTTTTTACCACCACAGAATGATTGCGAGACCTGGACTGTTGGTGGCAAAAGTTGAGTCCAAAAAGTGGTGTAGACCGGAGGGTCCAAAAGGAAACACTGATACAGACCAAAACACGCTAGAAGTAGTAGAAAGGGAGGTGGGTGGGTGCAAAAAAACAAGAGAGCGACAGGCAAAGAAGATGGGCACAGAGAAGAAGAGACAGACTTGGTGATATCTGATGAACAAGGACAACATGTGTAAACAAATAAACAAAGAGCCTCATTTAATATTTGTGCTTATTTACTCTCACGCTTGTTTATCACTCGGTTCCAATTTTTTTTCACTCGCATTCTTCCACCACCACCACATCATGTTTGAGTCTTGTGAGTGTGTTGATCCTCCTTCGAGCTTGAGCCATGCTGATCAAAGGTGTTGCCTACCATTCGCAGAATGTGAGTGTGTCAAACCTCATTCGAGCTCGAGCCATGCCCAATGTGTTGCCCACCGTTCACAGGAAGTGAGTGTGTTCTACCTTGTTTGAGCTCGAGCCCATGCATTGTCCACTGTTTGCAGGATGTGAGTGCCAATCCTCATTCAGACTCAAGCCATGCTGGATTCCAAGGTGTTGCCCATTGTTTGCAGTGTGAGTGTGTCTGTCCTCCTTTGAGCCTGAGCCATGCTGATCAAGTCGTTGTCTGCCATCCACAGCGTGTCGATCCTTCAAGGTCGAGCCATGCTGATCGAAGTCGTTGCCCACTGTTCGCAGTGTCTTGGTGAGTTTATCCTTTTTCACAATTGTTTTTTTATAATTACTAACTTAATATTTATATGTTTAGTCATTCTAGTTTTTTTCTTTCTAGATCTGTATATTTGCGCTTGTTCATGCTCATCTACACATGTTCACACTTGTATGTACTTCTCCATGCTCGTTCTTAAATGTCTGCACTCATTATTGCTGTAAGGGGTACAATTTTTATGGGCTCCATTTATCCAAGCCAGGAATTCGGTATTTGTGGTCATTTGTAGCATAACAGTAGTTACTAGTGTTATGTACTTATATTTTCTGATTAAATATTAGTCCATTTTTCTTGTTACAAACACTGTCTGATGTGCATGACACTATGCAAAATTCAAAATATAGTCTCTGAAATTTACAATATACTCTCTGAGATTCTCAATATTGGAGTCTAATATCAACTAATTTGTGGGGAGGGGCAATGCTCAGTCAAATTCAAGCTCCGACTGTGATTACCTGTTGTGGGTGTGTGCCATAACAAACGGTCAAGAAATATATCACACGTTGCAGCTTGAAAACAGGATTTTGAGACAAGGGTCATGACAAGACATAGGTGTGGATTGACTGGTTGATTGTATTCTTGGTAACTGATTTTAAAAGGACGCGCTTCTGATAGCTCACACTCTCGATAGAAGCATTTGGACACAGGAATTTTCATTAAACTCTACCTAGAATACAACCAGCAAGTCGCTTAATTGTCATCCCGATGATAACCTCCTTTACCGTGTGATGTGGTATGATGCTGGTAGAAAGTCTTTGAGTGCACGGAGAATGTGATTAGTAAGCGATGTTGATGCGACACAACACATCACATTGCAAACTCCAAGACACCCTGTAGGCCAGTAATGTCAAAATGCTTTAAGTACAATTGTTGGAAACCATCCAAGAAGCGCTCCGCAGCTCAGATGCAAGTCACTGCACTGATGAAGTCCCACACAACTTACCAACATGCACAAAACAAGGAGAATATTGCTCCTCTGGCGACAACTTCTTCCTCTGCATCTGCAATATCAAATACACAGCTCGAACGAGAGAAGAAGCACAAGAATACCTACCAGAGCCACTATAGGAACAAGAAACGATGTCACGAACATACAAAATCTCACACCAACAAACTCCAGTCACATTTGGATGAAGCACGAGCATCCATGACTGAAGCATCCTTGCAAATGCAGACAACTCAAAATGCTCTCGCCACTACACAGCATGAGATGAGACACTTGCAAGCACGCAACGAGGTGCTCACCAGGCACAATTGTGCTCTTGCTATGCGGGCATCTCGAGCCCCTCTGCAAAAAGCACATGCCGTGGACAAAGCCCTCGCACGCACTGCTGTACAATCAAAGCAGAGGGATACCTTCTCACTGAAGGAAAAGAACGTGATTATGGACGAGGTCTGTGACATGGTTTGCAAGCTGGTGGCAAAACACGATGTACCTGTGTCAAGTGTTCAAGAAGAAACGCTGACTTGCACAGGTGAAATATGATAACTAGGTGGTACACCAGAACCACGAGATTGATGTGAAGAGGAAGAAACATTGTGAAGCATCATCAGCCAAACTTGCGGCTGTTGTACCTTGTGTAACGCCAGATGAAATTGCGAAGATGCGTGTTGTCGACATCGACTTGCAGATTCGGTGGCATCGTCAGTTTGACGTGGAAGTGCCTGCAGCCAAGCATCTGAAAGGGAAGAACGGACCGCAAAAGAAGGCTATTTTGACAGCTGCTGTGGGCCGGTATGTCTGTGGTGGGGTCAGACCCAAGATCCAGGACAAGAATGTGATGGATGGGCAACAGGAGGATGCACAGTGTGCAATGGGGGACTCTGATGTAGTGTTGCGGAAGTCCGGTTTGGTCCGGTTCAGCAACAAATTTTGCGAACGCTGAACCGGACCTCACGTCCGGTTCAATCATTTTTCTGAATGCTGAACCAGACGCCATGAACGTGTTCATGGCGTCCGGTTCACGTCTGGTTCAGCATTTGAACATCGAACGCATTGTAAATATACTCGATTGTACTATAGCTAGTAGTAAGGAGTACTGGTACACTACTGTGAAGCAAGGCCAAGTGAAATTAATGTAAGGCAAGACTAAAGATCAGTAAGGACAACAGAAAGGTCATTTTCAGTTACATGAGCGAGGGGCTCAATACAAGCGGCGGCCTCAGCTGCAGCCTGGATATGCCTGTTGTGATAAGCACTCTTCAACAGTTGGAGCGCCTCGAAGATATCAGGCGTGAGCCGGTTGCGTCGACTCTGATCTGTGATGCTGCCGCTTGAAAAGGCCCATTCTGATGGAGTGGCGGAACCTTGAATCGCAAGAAAATCTCTTGCCATGCGGGAGAGTGTTGGGTACACCACAGAATGATGCTGGTAGGTGTGTCAGTAAATAACTACCAGTCGATGCAATAGATATAACTTACCCCCCACCAACGGACAACATCTCCCACATCTTCCAATGGAGCCATCAAATATGTGGCGAGTTCTTGACGAGGATTCGCAATGCAGTGTTCGGATGATCGACGAGCGAGAATTGTTGAGCGCATCCACGAGTGGCTGTATTGTGTAGGCCTGGACTTAGAGGATGATGTTGTAGGTGTTGGCTGACATGCATCCACAACAGGAATGTAATATTTGTCAAACTAGATTAGTGTTAGCGGCAATCATGATGCATGCAGGCCTATGTGGCATGAACTTACACTGGCTTCGAGTTTTCTGACACCTTCATTGAAGGCATCATCATTCCATTGGGATCGTGCATACTCAAGTTTGTAATTCGGGTCAAGGACTGATGGCAAGCAAAATTAGAAAAAAGAAAAATCAGCGAGACGTAGGAGTCACGTACCCAAGCAAATGAAATATGTGTCCGTGTCATCGGTTTTCTGCATCCACTTATCTAAATTCTCAAGGCCTGCTTCTAGTGCATCAGATATGCTCAAGAACTTCTCGTTGGCAACCATATTTTTCCAGCTTTGCTGGAGGAACTCCAAGACGGGAATCACTCGCCAAATGTCGGGTGCTTTGAGCTTGAAAAACTTTGAGTTGCGTCTGCAGGTTCCTACGAGTTGTCATGAGATAGAAGTAAGTAAGATAATGGGTAGCTCCTACACACTTGAAGAGCTTCGTGTATAAGTGACAACTGCAGCCAGTCGCTGTTAGTCAGCTTGAAGTCTGCATACTGCTGCTTGTGCAGCTTGGGCACTTCATCACTGTCATCTGCAAGGCGGACAAACCGGTTGACTCCCTGCTCGTCATCAGCAACCCGCAGAATCATAACCACAAACTAGATTATACTCACCTTCTGTAATAGAAGCAGATGATCGAGACATGTGAAGAGTGATGCCCAGTGGGTGCGGACCCACTGAACCAGCTCAAGGACTGGTACATTGGTCTCTGCGCAGGATCTACAAAAAAGGCCCGGGCTTGAGGCGATTTTCGAACCTAATAAATAAACATCAACTTCGGTGCTTAGATATTACTACAAGCTTACATACCTGTGAAATGAGTGCCAGGGCCTTACTGAGTGCATCTGACGTGTTAGAAATGTCATCTTCCAAGTCTTCGTCAACTTGTGAGCTTGTCGTTGAGGTAATGGCCTTTGCGAAATGGGCCGCTGCCAAATTAATAGCGTGTTCCATGCACCTGTATAGTAAAGTTAAGTAAAAATATGTTTTCCATAGAAAATACAACTCACCAGACCCTACGCTCATGATAGTCATCGATCTTGGCTTCAGGAATGGCTTCTGCAAGCAATTCAATGGCTGTATCGTTGTTTGTTGCATTATCGGCTGTGAACCACCCAATCTAAGTCCAAATTGGGCAAGTGTGAGGCAGCACGGGCTGTAGTATTTGCTTACCTTGTTGCGTAAATCATAATGGTCCACAACTTGAGTAAGTATGCTGCCAATATTTCGCCCAGAATGATTCCCTTCAATAGCAGTAAATGCAAGCTGCTCGCTCTGAAGCTCCCACTCATGTGGGGCATTGGCTGGTGCTGAGATGTAGTATCCAGTGACTGACAAGTATGGGTCACTGGCTTCTGACATCCACGTGTCAAACATAAAGGAAATGTGCCCATTGATGTCTTTCAAACGTTCACAAATATGTGACTCCACCATTTTAGCCCGCCTAAGAATCTCCTCCCGCACTTTATCACGATGGGGAATATCTTTGTCAGACAGGCCTGGACGAGCATAAGTGAGAAGACGCCGGAATGTACCCTTGTCCACCAGTAAGAAGACTTCATCTTCTGCGACAATAAGTTCAACGATGTAGTCTAGAAGCCCGGCAGTCGTGAATGTCGGTGTACGCTGCTCTCATGCAATGGTATGGTCTAAGGTTGTCTGATTTGAGCTAGGGGGTTGGAACTCGGCTGAGTGGCATGCAATGCAAAATATATTAAAAGACATACTGTACTAGGTCATCCGAAGGGAGGGCTTGGTCGTGTGGCTTGATACCACGCTTGCTGCAGCGTTCTTTGTAAATCCTGACATGGTCCTTGTGTCTAGATTGAAGATAATATGAATCAAGCTATGAAAACAGGTGGACAAAAGATTACTTACCTGCGTATATGAGCACGCAGTGAAGTAACACTGCCCTTTAAAAAACAGAATTTGTGTGTTACTCCTTTCGCTTTGCAAACCTCACACCAATGGCCAGTCTCTTCCTTGCCAGTATCAGGATTTATGGCCTTGGCCTCACGAGTGAATATGGTCCGGGCATCTGCAGTCAAATCGCTTTTGTGCCGCTTTGCACCCTGCAGAAATAATTAGCTTAACAGATGAAAGACAACACTTAGACTTTAGCTTACCTGGTGGTCCGCATTACCCATTTCTTTCGTTTTTTGATATGTTGACTCAGACTCGGAGGGGATGATGCCGTCGATATCTGTCTCATGATCCATGTCAGTAGCTGCATCTGTAGTTACCCCATTATCCTGGTCTCCTTCACTTTCCTCCTCAGAGCCCTCACTCGTAGCCACTGACCTGCTAGCCTTGCATTTGCGCAAGACAGCGTTGTTGGGGTCAACAAGCTTGGGTGCAGGGCGTGGGATACGAGTCGAGCGACGTGCCTGAGCGGGAAGCACAGGCAGTGGAGTATCGTCGTCGGGATCGTTGTACCATCGGATTTGACTGGTGTCGAGGAGAGTTCCATCTGCACCCAGACCACACTGGTCAGCCATGTTGTGAGGGGGAAAGCTTGAACAGAGTTGAGCTTACCTTGAATTTGATCCATTTTAACTTCCATCGAGTTCATGAGTGCCGAACAATTCATGTAGCTACCCTAGAAAAAAAATGACCTGTTAACAAATACATTAGCACTAAACCAAATTAATCAAAGTCTCCATACCTTATCAGGTTCTTCCTTTGTGATGTTTGGGTTAGTGGTAGGCAAACAAACCTTCACGGACCTTGCCAGTGTGGCATGGTCCTTGTGAATCGGATTCCAAGCGAAAAAGTCGCGAGTAATCATGTCATGTTCAGTGTATTGCATGTGTGGGTGATGTCATCTCGTATGTGTGAGTAGCCTAAAATGGAAGCAGTTCAAAAAGGTTCGGACACGTTCAACGTGTTCAAGGAATGCTGAACGCTGAACTGGACCATCGGTCCAGTTCAGCCTATACTCTGAACGTTGAACTGGACCGTGGTCCAGTCCACGAAAGGTCCGGTTCGAACCGCGGTTCAGAACCGAACCTCCGCATCACTACTCTGATGACGAAGAAGGCTTGTAGTAAGGTCATTCTGGACTTTCAATACTCATATAATGCTTACAATGTTCCAAAACATAATCTTGGTACTTCCGCGCACCTATTGTGCTTTGTATATCACCGTCGTATATACCTTTACCCTCCTGTGATTTTGTTGACCATGTATTCGGACGATATTCGCTTACATAATGTCACACTTTTTTTGACATGGCTGCCCCTCCCCATAATTTGTGATAATTATTCTTTAAAAATAAGGCAGTAAGAAAGTACTTCTAAACAAGATAATCTTCCTAGTCGTTCTAAAGCCGATGATTTGAGATAATTATCGAGAATTATTCTAGTTTAGAGGAGATTATCATGATTTGGAGGGGGAGGGTTTTCCTGATGACTGCCCGTTGGAATGTCTTAAATAGCATTGTAATTCAAGAATAAGTGATAGTGACTGGAAAAGCTCAACAGCATCAACACGAGTGCGGTCCTGTCTATTGCTGGCTGCGAGTCTCAATTTTGTCACCAATTACCAGGCAAATATATATTTCTTCACCAGTGCTAGAGTGTCTGTCCTTAAGTTGGGAAAGCCTTGAATGACATTCTAATACCAAGCATAAACGACATCAAGTGAGATTGCTCAACAGCATGAACACGATGGCACTCTCATCCCTTGCTAGTAGTGATGGCGGCATGTTACGACTTTGTCGTGAACTCCTCTTACTGGACTTATATTGGCAAGTATACATGACAAGCCATGAACAAATCAAATTTCTCGCACTATACATACTCATCTTTGGCAGAAAAATAATTAGGCCCTCATATAACTCCCACGGCTACAAAATCAAGAACTCAAGCGTTTACTGATGTTCGGCTAAATAGGTATGTCAGCATTGTAGTTTTAACTGACGGTCAATAATACTTGCCGCGTTTCTTGTCGTCGTCGTCGTAGCTAATAGGGAAATAGACCCCAGCAGCCTCGTCTTCGGCTTAATAGGCATGTCAGCATTGTAGTTTTAACTGACGGTCAATAATACTTGCCGCGTTTCTTGTCGTCGTCGTCGTAGCTAATAGGGAAATAGACCCCAGCAGCCTCGTCTTCGGCTAAATAGGCATGTCAGCATTGTAGTTTTAACTGACGGTCAATAATACTTGCCGCGTTTCTTGTCGTCGTCGTCGTAGCTAATAGGGAAATAGACCCCAGCAGCCTCGTCTTCGGCTAAATAGGCATGTCAGCATTGTAGTTTTAACTGACGGTCAATAATACTTGCCGCGTTTCTTGTCGTCGTCGTCGTAGCTAATAGGGAAATAGACCCCAGCAGCCTCGTCTTCGGCTAAATAGGCATGTCAGCATTGTAGTTTTAACTGACGGTCAATAATACTTGCCGCGTTTCTTGTCGTCGTCGTCGTAGCTAATAGGGAAATAGACCCCAGCAGCCTCGTCTTCGGCTAAATAGGTATGTCAGCATCATGGTATCAACTGACGGTTAATAATACTTGCCACGGGCCACATCCTCGCGCTTGGCTACGGCTGCATGTTATGTTAATAACTATAATGCTACTGACATCATGAATACTCACAAGGTCCCATAATCTCTCCTGACATGGGGTATGCGACTGCCAGAGCCACCATGGAGGCAAGTGCGTTAAGCAGGAAGAAACGCTGCATGTTTGAAGTTGAGAGGAGTAAAGTTTAGATCTTTGTCACTGCATACCTCGAAAATCAGGGATCCTTCTTATACCTTGTCGTAGGTTCGCTAAACCAGCTGGTTTACGACGTGGCACGATATGATGATAACTGTGCATTGTACTATCCAAAGCTCTGAAAATGGGTTTTTTTGTCATGAATGACTTGGACTTCGATTCATGAAACATACGCCACATCATGGGTTGCCAGCTCGTGACTTGTGGGTGCATCACGGCAGAGGCTGTAGCAGCACTGTCTGACGAGTATTATGATAAATGATGCAATCAATTGACTGTGGGGTTTTAGACCTTGACCCGAACGCTTCATGCAGCAATGCTTAATTAAGCAAGGTCCACATTGTCATCCTCAGATCTCGGATCCCGTCGTCAGATCACTCTTTCTCGTCATGAGTTAGGGTGCCAGCTGTCTGGGACGGGCCGAATGATAAGGTGGAGTGCTAATAGTATTGGTACTCCACTCTGGCTCGCCACGTTTGCACATTGAAAGAGCAAGGGGAGAAAAAGAGATCATGAAAATAACACACGAACCTTATAGATTATCACTGTGTTTTGATTACATGACGGCGGAATGGCAATATGCCGGATATACAGCTAGGCTTGGAATGCGGGATTTGACGTTCAAACCCCTCTCTAGATTATGGGCGTTAGCTATAGCTACATGGCTGCCGCATGCAACAGTAGTACTAGCCATGGAGGATATCGGCGAGCTTCGAGTGGATGGGTAGGAGTGTTCAAATTGGGCCACAAATGGTCGGTCTTGTCGTCAAGTCATAAGCAAATTCATCAGTCCCAGCTGTAAAGTGTGCTCCTTCTATGGTGCTGTTCACTTTATGGGCCGCTACTTTGTAGACTGGCAAGCCGTCGCGGAACTGCCAGTGGTAGTTGTACTGGGTTTGAATTTGGATACTGAGCGGATTCCCAGGGTAACGTGATGTCTGGCCATGATGTCAGAAATTTGGGCTCACTTCGCTGCGTTGCTCTCGCTCCTACTAATGCCATAGGATTTGCAGCTCATCTTGGCTCTCTCTGAGTCTTGTACAATTTTGGAACCGTATCTAGGCCGGATCGCCCTTTGGTGAATTCCACCCGAAAGCTAATTGCTTCGATAAAGCAAACATTTCTTTTCCTTTTGTTCTTGCTACCTCTGCACGACAGAAAACACAAACTTATAGAAGAGCAGCGCATTGAGGGATGTGTCCAAGTTCTCTCTGGTACCACGGATACTATGCAAGGAAATATGTAGGACAGAGATCAATGTACACCGTACCGTATGCATCAGGCTAGCTACTGCGTAAACTATGTTAGCAGACATTTTTATTAATTACGCCCGTTCTCCCGACAATCATCAAACTACCTTTTTTAGTAGAAGTCGCGACTGCTTTCGAGTTTACAATATATATCGAAGGGAGTTTATTGTGTGACAGCGTTCAAGTACTATGGAACTCAGTTCATAGCAAAGTTATACGTTCTTATAGTTACATTCGTGATGTGATATCATGCCCCCCCTGTGGATCCTCTATGGTCGAGAATACAATTAAGGGGGGGAAGGGAGGTCAACATTACCCTCTAGGCGGACCAACTTGGACGAGGGGAGGTGAACACGATGTACATCTATCCAATCCAAGATCTTCTCGACGTCCCTACATTGATGAGGGACACTGAAGTTTGGGTAAGGATCATCGAGTCCCTCAACCCAATCATAAGTAACCATTGTTACATCAGAGTGGCACATGATGACCTGTCTGAGAATTTCGATGCAGTGATCTGATGTACAACATTAGCAGGTAGGATGCAGGAAGATATGTAACAGTATGCTAACCAAGATGGATGAGCCATCTGCTAGGATTTTTGATGAAGTCAGAATCGTTTGCTGTGTAATGGTCACCCCAAGTGGATTGGCGAACCATGTTCTATAAGGGGTGAGTGAAGATCGAGTAGCCTCCTGTTACGACTGACTATGCAATGGAGCTGGTGAATGACCTCTACTGTCGCCAGATAATTTCCGCCGTACTCTTCCGGACACATAGCCATGAATGGGGCGGGTTCTTCACCTATTGCGAGTAGTTGTTCGGGCGTTATAGACATTAGGCGCCCTGAAAAGGTTGTCAGTCAGTAATTACCTTGATAGGAGTAGCTTGAAAGTACAATGTGCTAACCATCGGCAGTTACTCTATCCCAAGCTGCTTCGACATCTGGAGACGGACTGCCGCGATACGGCGAAGGACGATCCCAAGTTCCGTTGAATCTCACAATGCCTATAGATTCAATAGCTTCGTTTGCTGGAGCTGTGATGGGTCAGAAAGGTATTTCTGTCATGCCGTCTGTCCACCTACAATACAGGAGTATGTCGTCCTTCGAAGGTGCCCATGCCCATAGCGTGAAGAAGAGTAGCGTTATGAATATCAGCACACCATGTATGAGCCACAGAGATACGTGAAGGAAGCGAGATTTTGGATGAGGCCTTGTTTCTTTACTCCTATGGAGAAGTTTTGCAACCTCGTCATCGGCTCCATCGACAAGAGAGTACTGAGGAAAATATTTTTTGCCCGTCATGATAACGTACAGAAGAAGAGAGATCACTTGGATATGGAACGGAACGGACAGGCACGACGAGACTTTGAAGCATTTGCAACATACAGCCTGTGGACCTCGGAGACCTAGACGTGCCACCAGATCATGATGGATCAGGGACCCTGCTATCCTATGCCAATGAGCTGGCATTATACACTTTCCAGATCGACACATTATGACAGGAAGTCAATCTCGGTACCAGATTCTAGGTTGTTGGACACGAACAGCTTCGTTGTCGAGCAGATGAGGAGATGACACGTAACGGGATGGCATCAGAGACAAATTATGTGGACGAATTCGTGGAAAACACATCGTCATCAACACGGAAGGGAATGGCATATTGACATGAATGGAAAAGTTAGTTTGAAGATTTAGAAATTAAAGGTTTGACTATCCTTCTTACAGTAAAGTGTTGCCACTCTTTCTTTGCATGAGCTGACGACTGGCTGGCCTGCCAACAGCACTTCTGTGGAGAATCAGCTGTGGGGTTGCCCACTCATAGTAGTGCATAAGGGTGAAGGGGGCCCCAGCGTTAAGATAGTGTACTGTAGGAATAGCGCGTCAGTGCCGCGTCAAGGCTCGTCACACGCGCGTCAAAATAGCTACGCCCAAATTCATTATGCTGAGAGGTACCTTGTCACCCTACAATGTCACATCACAATCCTATCCTCCAGTTAAATAATAAATAACAGTACTAGCTACAGCTGTGAGAAAGTTGAACTCAACCATCTTCAATCCAACTTCTAGGACCTGTATAAAGTTGCCAGCAAATCCTCTGATCGAAACGTCATATCTCATCGGTTAACTACTTTGGTGAGTAACGTCGGACATATGCATGAGCGTGTCCGAGTCAAATTCCTGTTTCAAATTCCTGCGTTGTCAACGCCATCTCTTAAAGCGCGTTTAAGACATTTTGCACCCTCCACATCAAGGACTCACAGCGAAGCATTTGTCAGTGCACGTACTATATCTCGCCGGCTTTCGTATCCAGCTTTGAGCAGTACTAGACGTAGCTGCTAACCACTGGAGTCACCATGTCCAATGATTCTTTGCAGTCTCCTGTTGATGTCGTCGATGTTGATGAGGAGACAATCTGTGGTGAAGTTGACGTAGACAGGTCCGATTCAAAACCTCATCTCAAATTTCGCATTCTTCACCTATTGCCTTGGCTAAGCATTGGTTCGCTTATTGTCACATCTGCATTCTCCTTTACGCTGTGGGTAAACATGCCCGTTGCTCATCTTGCTGTATACTGTGAGTAGTCAGATGGCGCTAGTTTTAGATGATCAGAATGTTGACCAATTGCAGCTCCGGCAAGGGTTGCTGTCGAGCCTACTGCTATAAGGTTCGTTGGGACCATCGAGGCTACCTCTATCTATCGTATCGACGGTGGGCCTCTCGAAATCCCCACTATAATGGCCCTCCTTCCCCAGAAATCGATGCCGCTTGGGCCAGGATTTCTGACGATGGTATAGCGTTTAATTTTGTTCCGTTGCATTGTCGGTTGTTACTCACTTCCATAAAATTACAGTGCCACCCACCCGGATTACGATTGACGACCTACGTAAGCTGGAGAAGTAGATACACCAGCAAAGGTCAAGTATCCACAAGGCAACGGTGGAGGTTTCATGGCATCGTTGGAAGTCAATCAACAAATGCGTTGCTTGGTAATTATGCTACACGTTGAGGCCCGGCCCATAATTGGTTGATAATTCTGTAGAACTTTCTTCGCAAAGCCGCTTGGCCCGACCATTACAAGTTAATAGATCCCTGGTTCCAGCGGGACCCCTCGTTAGTCCGAATGCATCTCGGTAAGTTTCCCTCGTTACCCAACACATCCTGCTCATGCACACCTCAGATGACTGCATCGAACTGATCAGGCAGTCTATCATGTGTCATGCCGAGGCCGCCATAATCACGTGGGACTGGGTAAAGAACCACATAAAACCCTACCCTAACTTCAACACCCGTCATGCATGTAGGAAATTTGAGAACGTTTTGGACTGGGCTGTCCAACATGGTGATCGATCCGAAGTTACTCGCATGGAGGATACGATCGACCTCCCTTTGCCTCATCAGCACAATATATGATGCGTCCTGCAGCATGAGAGACATCACACTATGATAAATTACTTAATGATAATGTTCTTCGAGGCGAAACGTAACGGCTATAGATCCTATGTCATTCCATAATGTGGTGCTTGCCTTACTACCGGAATCATGATAACTAGGGCACTGATAATTCGAAAGTGACTTATCGTCTCCCAAACACATAATGCTCGGCTCTTTCACAAGCACATCGATGGGGACCCCCCTCTCCTTGCTTGTAGCGTTCGATTGCAAGACCCGGACAGATAAAATATTAAAGTGAAGCTCTAGAACGGAAAGCTCAAGACACCATGCCACAACCGAGGACGCAAAGACAAATGTCAAACACAATTTTGGGAGATGGGAATGTTCAACAAGAGCGCTTCCCCACATTGTGAGCCAGTTGCTGGCGCTGACGAAGGAATACAGTCCGAGTTCCGCATGTGTTCCGACAAAGTAGCACTGAATTTGCAACATTTACTGCAGCCAGCGAGTTCCGTGCGCATTAACCTTAAAATTAAACCTGAACCCGTGAAACCGCCAAGCCTGGAAGTTGAGACAAGTCGGACCATATATTACATTATAAGACAGCTGAGTTCCCGCAGCACGGCTGGTTTTATGCACATACGCCCCTTCCCACCATTAAACCATCACTTATTGTGAGACATTATCTACCTCGACCTCTATGAATCAAGTTTTGATCAACAGCCGCGGAGTCTCCACTTCGCTTCGCTTCAATGATGCGTCATTCTTCATCGAACCTACCACGCTCGACGGTCACAAATCCTCTTGCTGCGCAGGCATATACACCAGCAGAAGAGTTAAGCGCACAGAGGTGCCTCTTCGCAATGTCATTTCCGCTCAAATTGCATCTGGAGCCCTTGAAGTACAATACTTGGTTCGCAAGAGCAAGAAGAGCCGTTTAAACCTTGCAATGACAAGCGGCACAGTTCAGAACGAAGATAGCACGCGTGCCAAGAAGTGGTGTGAGGCGCTACTTCTGGCTGCGTATCAGGGTTTGTCAGGCTCCATGGCGCATCATATGTTTACTACTTATCTGGTTCATTATTAATAGGCGCAAATCCATCCAAGAATCTCAAGGTGCTCGTTAATCCTCATGGCGGAAAGGTTAGCTTTGTCCAAACTCCATTGTATGCTTTCATGACCGTCTTTCTCAGGGGAAGGGAAGAGCGTCATACGTCACTAAAGTGGAACCCATACTCCTTGCAGCTGGATGTACATTGGATGTAACCTGCACGTCACAATTTCATGACATGCATGCTTCACACTCACTGATCTACTGCCATACAGACACCACCCATGGCGGTCACGCTATTGAAATTGCTCGCGAAATGAAGCTGGGATATGATGCCCTAGTCCTTGTATCCGGTGACGGTTTGATCCACGAGGTCCTCAACGGAATAGATCAACATGAACACCGCGACCAGGCATTTTGTATACCAATAGCACCTATACCGACTGGCTCTGGTAATGGGATGTCTCTCAATCTATTAGGTCTGCAAGACGGGCTAGACGTTTGTGCAGCAGCTCTGAATGTCCTCAAAGGTATGTACTGTCGGTCGGTTTAAACACCAGGAACGCTGAATATTGGAATTAGGACAACCATTGAAAACCGATCTATTTTCCTTCGCCCAAGGAGATCGTCGCCGAATATCATTCATGTCACAAACTATCGGAATAACGGCAGATATCGATATTGAGACTGAACATTTACGATGGATGGGCGATACTCGATTCATCATAGGCTATATCAGTGCCGGTCAGTCATTGCTTCACTCTCCTGTCACCCGTCTGACTCCTTCGGCTTAGTCATTGCGCGCAAATCGTGTCCGATCGAGTTATCAATGAAAGTAGTCGATCAAGACAAATCCCGTATGGTGGATGTTCTCCATGCGCGACGAGCGGGCGAATCACCTACTCCATCTAGCCTTCCTAGTTCGCTCCTCAGTGCCGACAATAAACCTGATAGTGCAAGCTCTGTACATAGGGAGTGGACTCAGTTTAAACGACCTATCCTGTGGATGTACGCCGGCAAAGGGCCGTTCGTTAGTCGGTAAGTAGCGGTATACTGCATTAAGAGATTAGCTCATGAGCTCGACTAGGGCTCTGATGCAATTCCCTGTCTCTATAGCTGATGACGGACTCATCGACATCGCTATACAAGAAATAGTAAGTACGTTATGATTTGATCTTCTGATGCCATCTGAGGCTTGTTCGAAGACCAGTCGACGGGATCTCTTACGGGCCATGGACGGTGCCGAAGAAGGCCGGACGTATTGGAAAAACACAGTAATTTCCTCATGTCTTCATTCGCACGTATCACTCACCAGGTATATCAGAACCAGTATTTCAAGGTGTCCGCTTACCGCGCAAGGCCACTCGCCCCCAAGGGCACGCTCGTGGTGGATGGCGAGCAAGTTCCCTTCGAAGAGTTCGAGGTAGACGTCCTGAACAGACTTGGCACCTTTTTGTCCCCTTTTCCTCATTACGCGCCGGAGTTTCTTGTGCGAGATATTCAAGGGAATACTTAGAAAACCGGTGTATAATTATGGTTTCAATGATACCTTTCTTGTACATTGCACTTGACTATCCGTGGTTGTGAGACCCATGCCATATATACTGACTACCTCTCAAGTTGATGGCAATAACTGCGTCCAGTAACTTCAGCTGTATGGTTGAATTTGGTGTCTGATGACCCCGGGAAACTGCTTAAGCATCATTTTCATCATATGATCTTGCCAAGGTCAACTAACTGTGTTCCATAGCTATAGTTTGCGAGGGTATTCTTCGACTTGTATGTAATGCATGACAGACGGAAAAACGGAATGGCTAGTGGCGCAGTGCAATCTACCCCCTCATCCATCTATAAATTCACCCTCCACAAGTGCAATATCGTCAGAGTCACCGTCATTCTGATCATCAACTACCTCCGGTAAACCGAAGTAGTAACACAAATTCTCCCACAAAACAGACCGTGTTTGTACACTACGGGACGCCAAAGCCTGTAGGGCATTGTAGCATGGATATTGTGGAAGTGTCCCCTGAGAGCCAATATCCTTCAGGACACGTAGAAGATCTTGAGGGGGTCCCTTCAACAATTTTTTCTTGTTGTCATATTGAATACAATCCTGCGAGCCGCATATGCAGTCGCCTTCCTGCGCCTCGAATGTCTGAGCGAAGTCCATCATAGAATGCCTGCCTCGTGATAGGCAAAGCCAATCATCAGGCGTTAAGAGTCCCCATCGGGCGCTGCGTTGTCCAGGCTGCCACAAAAGGACATTCCCTTGAGAATCAGTGAGCGGAGGGGGGTTTGAACTGCGGAGGGCATCAAAATCCATGAAAGGACTGATTGTAGATAGCATATAAAACGCGGCTGGCAAAATCTCTGGAATATTGGCCTCCCTGGCCAAGCGTATGGCAGAAGCAGGTTCCAGCATACGATTGTCAACGAACTGACTGGCCGCATCATGATGCGGTACTGTGGATGAAGAAAGACTAGCGTAGTGCTCCATGAGTCTGTCCCATTCAGTGAGAGTGGATGGCCAGTCTGCACGGAAACGAGCCCTGAGCAGCTTGTGCAGGACGCGCACAAAGTATTTCTGCGATAGCAGAAGAATCCCTTTGTACTTGATTGCCGCAAGAGGGTTTCGATTCTCCAACATGGATAGTATGGTGCTAAAAGCATGTTGCTTGAGAGCCAGGAGGGCCCATACAAGCACAGTGCTTACCCCGGGTAGTAAAGGGCTCGAAGGAGGTCTTCAAGATCTTTTGCATCATCCGGCATTTGTACCGAATCTACGCCATCATATGTTTCATTTTCTGCAGTAGAGGGTAGCACAAACATATCAGCAAATACTCTAGAGTGTGATCCGAGCACGGATTTGTGAACTCGAAACGCATGTGTTTTTCCAGCATGAGCGGCTAAGAGGACCACACTGCCATCAGCATAGTATAGGTCTTGATGACGCAAAAACTCGTCCTCAGCAACCTAGATTGGTTGGAGGTGCGATGGTGAACGAGATTGTTCAACTTTGCTAGATCTCACTTACCATTCGTCTACTCAAGGCGCTCAGCGGGAGTCGGGACGGAGAGCCGTGACGTGTGTGGGGTGTGACGGTGTGCGTGCCTCGACGCGTGACAAGCGCGGTCGTTGAATCACGTGGTGTCCCTCACGGGATCGGACTTTGAATTTAACCCTTCAAAAGGCTCAGCACAAACGTCGCGTTCCCCTCAACACTCTTTCCCTAACCACCACCGACTACCGCCACTCCTACCTGGTGTGTATACGTTTGCGATATTGTATTGTAAATGCAAACTGACATATATTGACAGTCACATACCTGTACAATTTGTAAATTTAAGCAGAGCAATGGCACCTAAAGTGAGTCGATTCGTGATTCATATGATTCTCATGTGTCAATGCAATGATCTATTCTAGCCCGCGTCCACCGCTGCAAAAGCCCCTGCGTCCACCGCCTCCAAGGCACCAGCAAAGGCTGACTCTGGAGCAAAGGCTGCGAAGAAAACCGCTGCTAAGCCACAGGCTCCCGCTGAGGGTGAGAAGAAGAAGCGCCGAAAGGTCCGCAAGGAGACGTACAGCTCGTATATCTACAAGGGTGCGTTCATAGGTTATGGTAGTAGCTGTGAATGACTGACTTTAGTTGTGAAGTCCTCAAGCAAGTACACCCCGATACCGGTATCTCAAACAAAGCCATGGCCATCCTGAACTCGTTTGTCAACGATATCTTTGAACGTATTGCTACGGAGGCATCCAGTACGTTTTCATCACTTGTCGTGTACCAGATCCTTACAGTTTGCCTCAGAGCTTGCTGCTTACTCGAAGAAGTCGACGATCTCGTCGCGTGAGATTCAAACATCCGTTCGACTTATCCTGCCAGGAGAACTGGCAAAGCACGCCATTTCTGAGGGCACCAAGTCTGTCACCAGTAAGTAGTCTCTTCAATTCATAGGTATGACCGCTGACTGTTATACAGAATTCTCTGCTGGTTCTAAGTAATCTCTGTATATTTCACCGTGTATTGTTACCATACCGTGTACCTTTCCTTATTAGAGATACCTCCATTACTACTTTCATCGCATGGGGCGAAAATATGAGCTGCCTATAAATCCTTTTTGATCGTACAAAACAGACTTGGCCCCCCCACCTGTTAGAGCTTGTTCATGGTGCATTGAAGGTATGCTTTTAATCAGCCAGCATATGATTCAACACCAAATAAAAAGCATTTGAAGTACATATGTGCACTCGTATGAGGCACTGGAACTAGAGTATGTGACTTAATTTTCGGTAAACGAAAGGTCGACAATCTGATGTGCGAGCGAGTACATGACTCTACTACAGAGTTCAGGAATTTGATGGTACCTATAATCCAACAGCGAAAAAAAATCCCAGTGAATGAAAGTATCCGTGAAAACAAGTAAGTCCTTGGATAGAGTGATGGTTCTAGTATGTGCGTGATTGATGAATAGCAATAGCATAATTATGGTCGAGCTAAAGCAACGTTCATTAGCCACGTTTCTACGGCCAAGGTTGCATAACGACTTACCTAGTTGTTCTTTGCGGTAGAACCAGAAGTAACCTAGTACAATGACAATCTGGCAGATCAACGCTATCCAGAATGGAGCAGAGGCCATCGGGCTGCCCTTGAGACCCTGTGAGAAGTCCCATGTTCCAACATCAGGGAATACGCTCCCTGGCCCAATGCGGTTTGGTGCAGTTGCGCGGGCAGCCATAACACAGATAGACCCAATGACCTGAGCGAAAGCGAGCGTGGCACAGACGTGTAATCTTGACAACGTCTGCAGGAGAATCATTCCCAAACCAACACCCTGCACAGCATCCAAAACACCAAGCCAAAGCCACAGAGCAAGACCAAGGTACGGCCCCCCCGAGCCAGCCCACGGGATATAAAGCGCAAGAGAAGAGGTGCCCCACAATGTCTGCGACATATGTTAGACGACTGAAGATTGATGCAACACCGACAAAATCATACCTGACACCATCTTGGAGCACCAAGGCCGACAGCGAACACGGGCAACAACCAGGTGTGCGTCTTACTCAAGGACGTGAGGACGTAGAGCATGAAAGCCCAGACACCGATGAAAAAGAAGATGATGAGAAGCATGATCGCCCACTTGGGGATTGGAACACTCCAGAGGAAACTCCAGTTGCGACCGTAGGGCTGCAATAATGTTAGAACATAAAGACGACAAAGCACCGAATCCAACATACCCCGCTGAGCCAATAATCACGCAATATTTCAGATGCGAGGAACCTTGTGCGAAGTATCAGCATGATTAACTTTCTGCGAGCAGGAAAACCCTTACCAAAGAACCAGTTTCCTTCGGAAGAGAGTTTTGAGGAAATTTGGAACTTTCGGAGGAGTTTGTCGGTAGTACTCTGTTTTGTGGTTGGTATAATCCTACTTGATAACTCAGATGGGGACTTACCTGGCAGTCCGTACAACATTAAGTATGCAAATGCAAACGACATAATCGCGAGCGGCCACAAAATGAAGACAATCCACCAAGGCGTAACGGACCCAGGCGTAACGGTATTCAGTGTGCTACCCCAGTACCACAGGGCAGCAATCCAAATCTGTTGAGAACCTTGCACAATGCAAGCGCGCAGTATCCAGACTTCAGTAGCGGCACCCTAAAGAACAACAATCAGTTGCATACAAAAGGACCCATATAAATAACGTACCGCTTCCTCTCCAAAGTTTAACCCGAAGAAAATGAAAGCAGCAGAAGAAGCGACAGCATATGACCAAGTGGCAATGTCCGATATGATAGTATGAGTGCCTTGAAGTTTCGATGATAATGAGGGAACGCCAATCAAAAAGAATGCTATGCCATAGAAGAGCCAGGGAGCAGAAAGAACGTAGACAGAAGGTTTTAAGCGGAACATCGTATACCAAACGAAAGATGAAGCCAAAAATACAGCGCTGAGAACATATAGCTGAAGGTTGTCCTGGTAGTTTTGACCAGTAAGCAAAGTCATCTGGTAGCTGTTTGCAGCAAGCATCTTGAGAACAAACGTGAGCTCACGGATGGAGGATCAAGAATTAAAGGTATTACCTGGCCAAGAGCAATGATGATAGTATACAACGGCCAAGTTCCAATTTGTCGAGCCATGGCAAGTTGGACTCTGTTCATGACAACCATGTTGCCATCAAACTCCGGCTCTTGATGGAATGGATGAGAACTAGGTGTCCTTGGGGCTATACGCATGGCGTCAGTAACAATTCACATCTACAAGAAGGGTACAGTTACATGTCGGACGAGAATGCTCGTTGGTTGTAGAGTGCTCATTGATTGTGAGAGTACCAGGCATGCTCCATATAGATTCCCGGTGCGAGGAAATGTAACTGGCAGCACTGGACAGCTTGTCTCGTCTCACACGTTCGAAGAAAGCTTCCTCAGACTTGACTAGGTACTTCTCAATAGAGAGTTCGCCCTTGGAGTTGTTCGAGTTCAATGCTTGCAGCTTTTGCACAAACTCTGAAGCAACGCCGCCATCGGAATCCGTGAACTAAAAAAAGTGAATAAGATAATAGTGGTCACCCAATTTCTCAAGATACACACCGTCGCAATAGCCTTGTTCAGCGGTGAGTTGGTCTTTTCTTCCACGATGCTGCCAATGGACTCCATCGAGGCCACCCGAGAATGCGACCCAAACGGTCTTGAAGGGGGCGTTGGACTCAAGAAAGGATCTGGCGCATGTCGATGATCTTGTGCAATCGTCCTGTTCGCTTTCTCCAAAAAGTCACTGTACCCAGGCCGACTACTAGCAGCGAAACTATTCCGTGAGTGTTCCTCGTCAGAAGTATCCGATGTGTATGAAGAGTCGCGGTTGAAGTTGAAACGAGGCGGTGCCGATAGGTAGTTCTCATCATGGGGCGTTGAGACATGGCTCCCAGGAGAACTAGGCATCAATCGCGGGGATGACATGACACTCTGGGCATCCCAGTCAGGTTGAACAGGCAGGCCTTGATTGACAGGGTTCCAATCTTCTGCTTCCGAAACCACAAGCTGAGAGGGCTCAGTCCCGCAATCCGCCTCTCGCCAAGCGTTTGAACTAGCTAGCTTTCGGCTCGCATTTATACTCCTTCGGTGCATGTCTTCCATCCGCTGACGCCATTCAACGACTGGGAAACGCTGAACAGCTGATCGAGCACGAAGTATGGCTCTTTCTTCCTCTGTGGATTTTAACGCCAACTTGATCGTCTTCGAAAGCTGAGACAACATGTGGGCCGTTGAGGTAGATTCCACAGGGAACCACTGCCAGAAATCTCGTCAAATTGTGCGCCAAGACGACCTTGAGCACTCACCCATCCAGGCATCAGCCCAAGACCACCCAGTCGACTACCAACACCAAGGGCACCTTTCCTCCCAAATTCAACAGCGACCAATCCAAACGGTTCATCACGGGAAGGAATCAGAGCAAAATCAGCACCACTAAACAGATAAGGCGGCAACGCCGTAAACTCCGGTTTCGAGTAAACACGATCAGGGTACATCTCCATCAACCGAGCGAGTTTCTCCGCAGCGAACCGACCATAAAGATCGATGACAGGTCCGACGCAAATCAACTGTATCGAAGGGCGTTTCTCAAGGCTGCGTGAGGTCTCATCAAAACTGAGTCCCACAAAATTTAAAAACGCACTCACAGCGATGGCATAACATCCGCAATCAGATCGACACCTTTCTGCTTCGACCACCGACCAACGAACACAAACAGATCAGAGTTGGGATCCTGTTTGATATTCGCCCATTCCTGAGCCTGCCTCTTCATATCCGGACGCTGCGCCTCAGCCGCCTGATCGACCTGCACTTCACGCATAGCCACTGGGTTCTCATCCAAAGCCGCAATATCCGTAGGATCAGGATTAGGCAGGGAATCAACATGCTTGAGGGTCCATAGAGCAGGATACCGCGCCCAACTACGCTTCCCATACTTGTCCGACACTCCAGCGACACCGATACTTTTTTGATGAACGCTAATAAACGATGCGGCAGCGTGAAGCAGGTTGAACGTGTTCCCGAACTGGACGTATTTCGTGCAGTGCTCCTTGCTGATGTTGAACGCAGAGCAGACTTCTTTCATTTCTTCCTTTGTTCGAAGCGGCCATAGACCCTGGAACTCAGCATTGTGCAGCGAGAGACAGACGGGTACTACTTTGGGCAGGAGGTAAATTGGAGCAAGCGCGCCATGGTAGTCGTTGACGTGGTATATGTCAATGACAGGAAATCGGCGGATAGTGGTTGCGATGGCCTGGTTCCATGTAGAGTAGAAGATGGCGGAACTGAGATCGTCCATGCGGGCTGGGTACGGGTCCGATTTGGTCTGAGCACGGAAAACGGGGCTGTCAAGGATAACATAGGTGATATTGTCCAACACGTGCGTCTCCACTTCGATAAGGTAAGGCTCGTTGAAGATGGTAACCTCTATAGGCTCTGCAGGAATACCAGCGGGATATTCCAGATCCTTAACTTTTGGAATGACCCAGATCAAATCAACGTCCGTCATTGCTTTCCCCATGAGCGACGACATCACACCGAGACCTCCGATCTTGACTTTGAGCTTCCAGTCAATGATCTCATACTCGAGTGTCGCGATAAGAACTTTGCGCCGCTTGTTCTTGTCCTCCGGCCATCCTATGATCTCCGCATTCGGCTTGTGCCTAAAGAACTTCTCCGTGATGGGCGTCATGCTCTCCTTGAAATCCGCGGTCGACTTGTTGCCAAGCGATCCGATGATAGGGAAATACTTGCTTGCACCGGAATTTGTCTGTACACCGTACCGGTTGTGGCGAATGCCGTAGAAAGAGTACATGAAAATGAGAACTGCGAGAACTCCGGTAATGAGGGAGAGAGAGCAGAGAAGCCCGTACATGATAGCGCCGACAGAAGCCTGACCACGAGGCTCTAGGGTCCACGCCAACGTGGCATCATCAACGACGAGTGCCCATGCGAGCGCCGGATAAGGGGGTGCCGACAAGTTCAGGTAGTTGGGCGCAATGCTATTTGGTGGTAGCCGATCCATAACGCCGTCCGCGTCGACGTCGCCGTAGTAGTAGTCGTCGTACCCAAACACGTTAAGTTGCAGGTATGTTGGCCACGCAGCCATGATTTCAAGCTCCCAAGTACCATCGCTGATTAGGTTCATGGAATTGGATATACCCTGGTCATAACCCCAGTTGTTGAAAGGACCTCGGGCGAGTAACTGGGGAACGCGGCGCTGCTGCTTGTAGTTCAGATCTGCATGCACGACGACGCTGGAGGTAGCCGCGATACTACTCCAATCTACCGCAACGTCAACACTACAAAAGACAGTAGCACTACGAGCACTTACATTGTACTATGAGATGTTGTCCCGTCCAGAACGTATCAGAATTGCTGAGGACGTCAGCGGGTATAGTCGTAACATTCTCCCAGCTCGTCCAATTAGACCAACTCAGTGCGTAGTTGCCCGAGTACCTAAACATATCTGCTCCATAGGCACGATGCGTGAATGTATACTCGCCGTCAGTGTACTTGAAGTCTGTGCTATCGTAATCGGAGTCAGGGAACACCAAGGCATTGTTCGCTTCGCCCTTGCGCAGTAGCAGATGGTCTACACTCTACAAACCATAAGCAAAACATGAGAGTACATAAAAAATAGACATACCCCAGTAGACAACGTCCCATCCGATGATAATGGACTGTTGACAAGAATCTCCAAAATCCCATCCGAAACATTGGTCAGTGTACCAGACCACGACCACTGCGAGTATGGAGTTCCCACAATGGGCGATATGGTGGGATTCGTGACATTATTGCACACCACCGAAGTCAGGTTGAGCGTAGGCTGCCCACCGATGCCAGAAGATGTCATGTTGAACGATAAACTCTGCGTGACGCTATCACACGACATTTCCACATTGAACTCCAGTACGAGGTCCACGATCGTCGCGTTTGGGTCCCCTCGCGTGGCTTCGATGCGCGCATCATGCCCAGGCAGGAACTTGGTGAGCATAGGGGGAGCAGGGACCCACTCGGTGGCAGGCACCAAAGCTTTGAAGCCGAACGTGTCTATGCTCACCGTCGGGAGACACCCATACCACGGTGCTGTTCCGTTACCATAATACGACGACCCCGAGTTCACGAGCGTATAGGTTTCGTACGGAGAAAGCAAGTTCCTCACCGTCGTGCCACCCATATAGGGCGACGATATCCACAGCGGACCATTGCAATCATACGAAAACGTCTCCGAATGGTTCAGATTGGAGTACAATAGCCAGATTTGATCGGTGTGGTTCCCTGTCAGTGTTTGTACACCCTGGATACCTGCACGTGATACGGACCAGAGGCCCATTTCAGTTGCGGTGTTGTTCGAGCCTGGGAACTCAACAAAGTAAGTCCAATTTCCACGCTGTACGAGGTCGAAGCCATCTTGAAGGGCATTGTAGGTGGTTCGGAGAGACAAGAAATGTTTCATTAGGCGATGCATGTCCGTGGTGGGATCAAAATGATCGAGCGAGTTCCAGTCGTCGTCACATCCCGTTAAGGCGGACTCAAGCGGCATGTTAAAGTATTGGGCGGATCCAAGTTTGTAGCACCCGTGGCGCTGCCAAGCCTTGTTGCTCATCATAGCCTGACGGCTAAAAGTAGCAGCATGAGTAAAGTATTCACTTGAAGGCGTTGGTGACCCACCCGAATAGATAGTTTGAAGCTGTGGAATCGTACAGATAGAAATTCTGCTCCTCGCCGTAGTAGATCTGTCAAAGGTAAGTACTGCAGCGACAAAAGTCTAAGGATAGCTCCCACCAATGGAACCCCTGGCATAACCAGGTACGTAATGTAAGATGCCAATGCGGATCTCAACGTGCCATTCGCCAAACTGGGCCAGCGGAAAACGTCGAAATTGCTTGTTCCAAACAAATGCTTCGGGTCGAAATCGCCGTTGTTTGGATTCAAGAAGTCGTTGTTCACGAACATCTGGTTCCAGGCAGTGACAAAGTTGGTGTTGAGATCGTACGCGACGGCCAAGTTTCCGTCCATTCCAAGGAAACGGGTCAGAGCGCGGTAGATTGAGTAATGGAACGCGTAACCATCGAGGCCATTCGAGGACTGTGGGCGCAAGAAATACTGGTTTTCAGATTCTGTCAAGTTGGCTGCTTGAAGAAATCCGGGGGGCAGCTCATCCGGCGTACGGCCACGTCCCCTGTCAACGCGATCAATTGATGTGGGTGGTGAGTGAAATAGTAACTGACATATATAGGGACCCAAAGGTGTCACCGCCAGTGACTTCACCGGTGATATAAAAGTTCTTCTTTCCAAGATTAGATGCGCAAGCACGAGTTGCAGATGCCCAAGAGGTCATGCCGTCGACGGTGAGCTGTGTGGACTTGTCGACACGAATGGCATCGATGTCAAGGGCTGTGATGGTCATACAAGAAAAGGTGGTGAGTTTTTGCATAACGGAAGGCTTCCAATCTCGTAGACGGTCCTGTACGGATGCAAATTTGGAAAGCTGACGCTGCCAGTCAGGGTGAACACCAAAGGCTTCCATGTCACCATATTGATCAAAGTCGGACTCGTAACAACCATCATTGCCCGTTACAGGCTGGATTGTTCCGTCGTCTTGCCAAAAGACGGGAAGTTGGCAAGAGGTGTTACGGACATTGATGACCTAGTAGAAAAAAAGTTGGTTGAGGGATTCAGGCATGAGGCGGACGAAAATAACTACTTACGGAAAAATCAACATACTGCTCAAAACCCCAGGGAAGGTAGTTTGGGTTTTTGTAGATTGCGTCATATTCATTGAGAGTGAATGGGGCGCTGACGTTGAGATAACTGGTGGGTGTGAGTAAGTGATTGTAAGTTAGTGGATAGGGAAAACAAACCCCTCAAAGCCGATAAGGTCGGACAAGGTTCCGACTGTGAAATCCAGCATGACATACATGCCGCGTTGATGCACGGTGTCGATAAAGTTTACCCAATCATCAATAGTGCCCCAGTGAGGATCCAAAATGGAGAAGTCAAGAGGGGAATAACCTAAAGGAAGTGAGTATAAGTTGTAAATGAGATTGAGATAAGGACATACTATCGGCTTGCCAGATCATGTTCAAGAATATTGTACCTGAGAGGTATATTCCCTTCACGCCCATACCTTGGATGTAGTCCAGTCTTGAGGCTAGACCTTTGAGGTCACCGCCGAAACGAAGTTGGGTTTCTCTCCAATCCCATTCGTATGGGGAGTTAAAGAATTGATTATTTGTAGGGTCACCATCAGCAAACTTGTCCATAAGGACGGTGTAAATTGGGATTGAACGCCAGTTCTGTGGTGAAGGGGTGTAAGTGGTATTTGATCTTGTGGTTGAATAATCTGTGGGGGACTGGGCGGATTGGTTTACATTGAGATTGTATGATGTGAGGTCTGAACGATATGGTGAAGCGTATGTAAATGAAGAAAAACATAGTGATGAAGCAAGGGCGGTTAGAAACCGCATCTTGTATCACTTGGAGTATGAGGAGAAGTCGAGAAAATGATATTATTTGACAAGGATGGAGGGGGTAGAAAAGAAGGGGGGAAAGATACGTTATAACTTACATACTACCGAGAAGTTTGTTGAAGAATCCGAAGAAGGGGTCCATCATGCACTGCCCCCGTGACAGGGCAAGCCTAGGTTCAGACTGGTTCGCTCGGTTCGGTCAGGTACATGTCAAGGGTTCATGGTGACCGATCCGAAGGGTATGTAGTAGAGAGTGTGAAAATCAAAATCATATCCCACGCTCCTCTAAAAAAATATGAGACACCAAATATTGAGATTGCGGCAGTGCACAGCAGCTGTGACACAGTGCGCAGGCACTGACTGGCATCGCAGTCCGACTTCATCTCTTCGACTTCATCAATGTCAACTAACTCCATACTAGACCCCCCACATGGTACCACATTTTCAGACTTCATGCGCACCTGGAATGACGCCCACGTCGCAAAATGGCTCGCAGATAATAAATGTAGTGCACATGTCGCCACATTCAAGAATAATGATATTCGTGGTGATATTCTCTTAGAACTAGACCAGGACACTCTCAAAGAAATGGGCATCTCCAGTATCGGAGATAGACTTCGCATAGTCAATGGCGTCAAGAATTTGAGGTCAAAATGTTCACAGCGCACTACAATACCTTCTCTCTCTTCCATCGCACATACCAGGGCCTTTTTGGCTTCACTTCCCCAAGAATCTTCAAGAGAACCTCCACCTGATCACTCCCATTCACGCACAAACTCCCAAGAACTACCCTCTTCTAGAGAACCCTCACCAACCTCTCGCACATCCCATAAGCGTCTTGATAGCAATAGGCCGGCTCCACTCGTACTATCTCCAACTTCGGGACGCCCTGATCTTCCCCGCATCATTCGGGATCCTCAATCTGGCGACTCCATACGCAACCCTACCACAATCCGTCCACTCCCCCAAATCAGCCAGTCCACAACACCGAATAGCTATACTCCCCGACCATCCTTGCCACCCCTTCCTCCTGCACCAAGAGGTCAACCACCTCAGCCCCCACGTGGAACTTCCCGCGCTCTCCATCCTGTCATCGGCCCACGCACCCGCACACCTAACCAACCAGACGCAACAAACTATGCCAACTCACCCCTCCCACCAGCACCAACACCCTCCTCCTCAAACATGCTCACAACCCCATCTCAATCAAGCAGCTGGTCTTTTGGTCTCCCCTCAGACCCCCGATCAGGCCCGTCCCCAATGAAATCACCCTCTCTCCTGGCCTCGCGATCATCCCCACGTGCCATCAACGTCGCACATAACAGGAACATCTCATTCAATGGTGTCCCTTCCCCTCTTGCACCTACCCCCACAAATTCAAAACTCCCTCCTAGGCCTTCAACGACTGGAACAAGCACTCATCCATATGCGTCTGTTCAAGCTCCTGCATCTTTACAGGCCCCCGCTCAGAATGGGTTGGCTCTTTCCCCGATCGTAGAGTCGTTCCAGGGGCAAACATCAGCTTCATCATCAGGATCCTCTTCACCCCCCGCATTCGCAGTCGGACGCGGTCCGTTCAACCCTCCTGCTCATAATACCCCATCAGATACTCTCCGTCGTAAACTCGTTAGATTTTCCATGCCAGAAGAACAGCGGTCTTATACCGTTGATGTCGCTGATTGCGCGGGCGGTATAGAGGTCTTAGAGAAGGTACTTAAAAAAGCTGACAAGGTGGGATCGTCGCGGAGGAACGACCCCATGAGCCGCGTCGAGACGGATGACGGTGGACTCAGCGTAGACGGATGGTCCGTATATCTCGAGTGGGACGAGACAAATGACTCGGGTTTGATTCATCACTCTTGTAAAATCTCGAAATCTGACATTTGTAAATAGGTAAACCACTTTCCGAAGCAGAACTACTGGCAGTATGCCACAGCGCCTCTGACGAGCCAGTCAAAGGACGCTGGCCTAACGCTCCGCAGAAGTGGGCGCACAAAACGTTCAAAAGATCTCCAGCGAATATTCGGAGAAAACCCTCCCCGGAATATCAGTCCTACCTCCCCCAGCATCCAACCAAGGCCATCCGAATCCGATCACGAGCCTGATGCTAATATGATTCTAAATATTGAGGATTCGCAGGGCCAGAAAGCACGCGCAATAAAACGGGCAAGTACCATCAGCGTCCTCAGCGGCCTTGGCGTGCGCGACCCAGAAAAAGCTCTCGACCCTAGCGCATCGCCTACCCAAGGCCAGCCGAAACACCCGCTCCCGTCCGTAAATTCTGCCAAGAAGCCTTCAAAGCTACGCAACTTCTTCGGACAGCGTCCGCCGAGCGAGTTGATCACGACGCACTTGACGGAATACTTCCCGTTCACAGACAGGAAAATGTTGCGCAATGCACGACATAGCATGATGCTCCGGGCTTCGAGCGTAAGTGGGGAGAAGAGGGACAGTATGCTATCTCTCAATCCACCGCCCCTTCCTTCGCGATTCAGCACCAGCACGCAGGGCTCCGGATCAGCACATCGCCCGAGGTCGCCCTCACGAACGTCGTCTTCCAAGAGGAACTCTACTATATCTACTAGTTCAACGATACCAGACACGCGGTCTTTGGCAGCACCTTCGATTGGGGAGGACCCTCCGAGAGTATCGATATCCACTGAAGATGGACGATCTGTGATCCTGACTGGAGATGACGTTGAGAAGCTCTCTACTTTCGATTCGAAACCGCATTTACTCCCTCCTGTAACGTTCCCTTCGATATCGCTTTCAGAGTCTATGGAAGACCTTACAGGTCCTCTCCGCCCGAGGTCGAACTCGAATGCGTCTAAACGGATGAGTTTCATGACTGAGTTGAGGAGCAAGCGTGATCGATCGGATACTGCCAGTTTATTGACCGTGGATGAGATCACTGCTGAAGTAGAGAATCGGAGACAGAGTATGGCGGTTGATATGGGCGTTGAGGGCGCTGAAGACTGGACGAAGGTGGAGCCTGATATCGATGATGTCATCAGTTTTTCGGAGGGCGATGCCGTGCTCGAGGACGATGAAGACGATGAAGATGAGAGTGAGGATGTTGAGGAGGAAGACGAGACTGGTCAGGCTATGAACTCTAGTGGTGGTAAGTCAAAATCAAATCTCGAATGTTATGCGCGCTGACTTCATATTTTTAGGCAAGTGGATTAAGGGCGCACTCATCGGTGCAGGGTCATTTGGAAAAGTCTATTTGGGTATGGATGCTGTAAACGGTCTTTTGATGGCAGTGAAGCAAGTCGAGCTACCAAAAGGTTCAGCTCCAAATGAGGAGCGGAAGAAGAACATGCTTAGCGCATTGGAACGAGAGATCGACCTTCTCAAAGATTTATCACACCCAAATATCGTTCAATATCTCTGTAAGTCCGCGCATTCCACGCTATTTCAAATATCTCACCCACGGAATATCAAAAGATTCCTCGGTTGACGACGATTTTCTCAACATCTTCCTGGAATATGTTCCTGGAGGTTCTGTCACTGCATTGTTGCGTAGCTACGGCGCGTTTGAGGAACCTCTCGTCAAAAACTTTGTACGACAAATATTGCAAGGTCTCAACTATCTCCACGAACGGGACATTATACACCGCGATATTAAAGGTGCAAACATCCTCGTTGACAACAAAGGCGGAATCAAAATTTCAGACTTTGGCATATCAAAGAAAGTTGACGGCAGTGAGTAAAAGTAGTTTCATCTCGGCATCATGGCGGTTCGTGTTGACAATGCGTGTACTTTTCAGACCTTCTCACAGGCAAGCGGATGAACCGACCCTCATTGCAGGGATCAGTGTTCTGGATGGCACCCGAGGTTGTGAAACAGACCGCCCATACTTCGGCTGCCGATATCTGGAGTGTGGGATGTTTGGTTGTCGAGATGTTGACTGGGGAACATCCATGGGCGCAATTGACCCAGATGCAAGCTATTTTCAAGGTCGGTGGTGGTTTTGGGTAGGTCGTGCTCTTATGGACGTTTTTGCAGATCGGTCAATCTGCAAAACCTGCTATACCTTCCGATATCTCCTCAGAGGCTCAGGACTTCCTTACGAAGACTTTTGATCTTGACCATTCAGCTCGTCCAAGCGCTGGTGAGCTGCTTCAACATCCTTGGATCGTCGTCAAGAAGCACGCAGGATTTTCGAGCAAGAATGCCGCGTTCAAGTCTATTCCAACTATCGAAATATCGGCATGATACCCCTCCATTCGGATGTTTACTTTATCTTATTTTGGCATTACCATACACGCACACACATGTACCTTGTTACAATTGCATATTTGCTGTACCGATGGGTGCATGCTCTAGATTGTCATGGATTTGGGCTATTCATGTTCCTCTTCGCGTTTGCGCTTCGTACCGGAGTCTGCTTTCGTACCCGGACCCCAATTGGGAGCTGGATTCTGCTGGTAGCGAACGAGTTTTACTTTTGAGGCTTGCGTTACAGATCGAGGATGTTTGGCGAAATTAGCCTCCTTCCTACGTACAGTGTTTGTGATCAGCTGGTATGGTCTGTTCTTAGAACTGGCGCTTGCCTTGCTTCCTTCGCGAGTAATTGCCTCGCGAGAGAGGTCTCAGAAACTTTGTCCATTCTCACCGGATGCTTCTTCACCCAGGACCTGAAGACATCATGCACATCTTGACGTGTTGCATCAGTCTTCAGAGAGCCTGGTAATGCATGTGAACGCGATACGGTGTGACCAGCATTCAGGAGAGCAGATCTAAATGTACGTTCAGCACATGAATGTTTTTAATCTTAAAGATAACGGCATACGCCACGTCATCCAAAGGAGGACATATTGAATGAAAAAATCCAGCTATCCGGGATGGTGTAAAGTAAAACGGGACGTGTAACTCCTACAAGGTCGGAGATTGGTTGTCTGCAGTGTAGATACAGATCAGATCGTACCTCGTTGGCCACTGTCAACATCCCTTTCATGCGGACTGCTGTACCATATTTATCTTGGTTGCTCTCTAGGTGCTCAAGCACTTTTGAGATGAAACGATTATCGTGTAATGGACCGGACCACATGGGCCCAGCGACCTGTCACGGCATGACTTAACCCTTGATCCGAGTTGATTTTACTCACATGCAACGCGCAACCACACTCGGTGCATTTTGGCGGAACAGGTGGGCCCGCTTGGGTCTTGAACAGGAGATTTACGTTGCCTGAACGTTCGTGAACCTTTTCCACGGTCCGGCCCAGCGGCTGCTCGTAAAATGACTGGCAACCTTGACAAATGAAATACATCGCTGTTTTGCTAGGAACGAGAATCCATGACGATGTGTTGACATCATAAAATGACGACAACTTGCCTGGCCGTCTTTTTGACTTCTATCGGCGCGGAGTGAATGCGGACGAATAGGCGAACATAAAAATCGATAGAAAGACATAGAAGGGGCTGGATGTATCTTCCGTACCGGCCTGCCGAAGTCGACAATGTGTTTAACACGAGCCTGAGAGCCTTCAGGGACGTCAGTGAGGTTGACTTGATCATGAGGATGCCCATACTGCCTCATGGCAGTACTCCGCTTTGACAGGAATACCACCGTAATTAGAGAAACTTCACAGCCCATTCAATGAACATTTATCAGTTCCAAGCCGGCTCGAGTACTTACCACTTCTCATGGTAGTTTGTTGTCGCCAGAACTGACAGGTCTGTGCATGTGACACATAAAAGTCCTGTAAGGTGCCTAAGTAAACTCTTGGCGTGAGGCACGGGTTGTAGGCGACTTGCCTCCGTCATTGACACACTGAACAGCTCCATCAATGAAAGGTGCAGCAGTGCCATATGGATCGAGGTCGACAACATCGACACGTGTCTTCTCTGTGCGATGGCTGTACATGAGTGCACTTACGTAGTATATACCTCAGACAAAACCACAACTCAAGAACTAAGGACTTACCACGCATCGCCCTCGTTAATTCTCACCTTTCCGCGATCAGGGAGGGGCTGGTGCTCCGACACCATGGATGATGACGCGCTGTCAACTGGACCATGAGATGAGGGTCCAAGACCATTGAGCTCTACATTTCTCTTCATGGCAGCCGTAGCAGATGCAGACAGGTCATTCGCAATGACAAACCTTCAAGGTCGATGAAATATCTGTCTGCTCACAAAACTCAGACACAAACCTCACAAGGGGGATCTCTTTTGCATATCGGATAGACCGAAGACCAGTTGCCGACAGTGCTTCAAGCAGCACAAACTTATGGGGACGGTACTTCAGAAAATGATTCAGTACTATCATCGCAGAATATGAGGCAACCCACTAGTACCTCTCGTTTGTTGCCTTCAGATGTACCTCCCGTAGTATGAACATCTCCTGCTACTAAATCATCCTCTGGACCATCAGTGCTCGGTTCAGTAGATTCCGCTTATAACAATCACTCATTGAGAAGACCTTGAATACCTCACAAGAGATGCTCACTTTTTGCCCTCTTCTGCTGCCCCGTCTTCGCCTCTCCTTCGGCCTCCCTTTTCGCACGTCTCTCCTGAGCCTGTTTCCACTTTGTTTCCTTCTCCCTATTTATTTCTTCGCTCCATACTCTGATGCACGCGACGCTGAGATCCCGATTGAATTCCTGAACCGGATTCAAAAATGCCTCCTCCTTCGATGAAATCAGGATGTGGGATGTGTTTTCCGTGTGAAGCGTAAAACCTTCGGGCACTGTGATGGACGAGCTACCAACGGAATCTGACATGGTGCTCTTCTTGCGTGATATCTGCAATGCAGATCGTTGTGGACGACAATTTGAAATGGTGAATCCAAGGCGCAGAGGCCTGCTAACGAGGAGTAGAGACCTCACGATGCTAGCGATTACCAAGATAAATATCTTGTCTACTAGAATGTTTTCATAATGTGACTCGATGCAGACCTTCCATAGGACTACTACCACGTAATTCGCGTAATCTTTTACGTTCAAGTTAGCCCACCATGCAGAACCATCCATCCGCAAGTGACAAGTTGTTCGCTACAAAACTGGATCCTCACCCCTTTTGCGTGTAGTACCCGGTGCTTTCGCAACTGCTCGCAAAGTATCCTGCAACCGGAGGCGCGCTGTTTCAGGTATACAACGACCTAACTCTCGGTACGTACTAGCCCTTATGGGTCATGATCCATCATTCGGGTTGACGTAGCCTCCTTTCAGCACAAAAGTGGATCGATGTCGAAGTTTTTGACCTTCCAGCTTGTAAACGAGCCGCGATCAGAGGCCAACGACCAACTCCTGTTAGCATTTTTTGCGCCAGTCGTATGAAATTCATTGATGTGCACGACAGGATACAGACCGTGTACCATCCATCTGCGTTGTAGTACCCTGCTCGTTGTCTGAGTCAATATCTACATCGTGGTATGTCCGGTAGACCACCTCTGGATCTACCTATATTCAACGCATCCTTAGGCTTCGCGCTGCTTTTACCAGTCTTGATCCTTCACCATCCGAGATCTATGTGGCCATCACCTCAGAAGACACATCAACAGTCTATTACAAGATCAGCCAGGGAATCGTCAAGCCACCTGTATAAGGTGTTCTAGCACATCTCATCAGCACTTAGACATCTGGTTAATGGGTCTATCTGTACGTCAATGGAACGACGAAGAATACATTGGCCAAATATTCTAGTGGACTTTATTATGTCTGGACAGCGACTACAACCGATGCTGGGATGAGATGCAAAATGTGAGGTAAGAGTGTATGTGGAAATGTAAGATACATAATGACAGTATGTTCGATGAAGAGTACAATGAAATGTCCCGATGGATCGTCAATATTCAAAGAAATGTTCAGGTGAAGAGTAAAACAAAATGTCACGGTGAACCATCAATACTCGAATTCCTCGGAAACGAGTGATATCGACCCGCGCATATCACCTCGCCACACCCGCCAAGGGTCGATCTGCGCGGCAATGATTTTGCGAACCATCACGTTGAGCGAGGTGGGACCACAACCTAGGCAGAATAAATGAACACTGTCCGAAAAATCAGCGAGATAGGCCTTACAAGCAACCATCACGGAGCCCTCCGACTGCTCAACTTCATCTGCAAGGATCCTGTCAAGCTTGGGTTTACCAGGTCGTGCATGCTCTGCAATAACACTGATATCCCGCGATTCTTCCTCGCTAATATCAAACTGGACTGGATTGAGCGAGCCATCAGGTGCGGAAGATTGTAAAAGACCCCGGGAACTGCCAGCATCTGATTTGCCTTCCCAGCTACTGGTGGAATACCTGGATGTTGACGCCCCTGCATGACTCATTTGAGAAGAACGACCGCTGGCAGAGAAGTTATGCGCGGGGTCCGTCGACTGCTGACCGCGTGTCGGCGAATCGCCGTACATGGAAGTCGGAGACGTGAAGGTGTCCATCGATATCTCAGACCATCTGTTGTCCGAATTTATAGATAATGGAAGTAGTCTGTCTGATGAAAGTCCTGAGGTGGCAGAGATAGCAGACCCTCTATTTGCAGCGAGTTGCATGCTGTGAGGACGACTGGGAGGCTCTAGCAACCGCACCGTTCTCTCATTGGAGAACTTCCGCGACTGAGCTCGTCGCAGCTTGCCTTCCTTCTTCACCTTGTGAGACAGATTGTGCTCCCCTGGCAGAGTAGTATCATCGTCACCATCGAAGTTGGTCAACTCGAGTATGTGAGACTCATGTGCCAAGCCAATATCCTCCTCTGGTTCCATTGGGTCCCCAGGTTCTCCAGTGTAGTAGCTCAGGTCAACATCACTCTCAGGATTGTCGAGAGAGTCTTTGGAATCAGAGCGAAGCGGCGAAGGACTGCCACGTGCAAAGGATGGGTGAGGAGGCTGCAAGTCCTCGGAATGAACAGGTTCAGAAGTATAGAGTAATCGCTGAGGAACCTGCAAAGGAGGCAGATCGGATTTCTTGAGAGCAATGGGTTTGAAATTGGTGATAAATATGTCGATCTGCAAGGCAGACGATGGTACCAAGGAAAGACAGCGGCGAACAATAGAGGCACACCACTGTATGTGAGCTACACAAGGGTGACGTTAGTTCATAATGATCGAATGAAAGTTCTCGGGCACTTACAATATTCACGGACAAGCCATACGAAGCGTACCCGTTTGGTCAGGAATGATTTCTTCCCCCAACCTCCAGGTTGGCCGCCTAGATTCTTCCCGTCCCGGCCAGAAAGGCACATACAAATGTACTGTAACACAGACAAGCCAAAGCTCACTCCTGAGCCACCAGCGATTATCAACACTGTCGAGTAGTTGCCCCAACGAGCACGAATAGAACTACCAAAAGGTCCGTCCACATATGTCCTCAACAAGACACCATGCTTAGGAAGATTTTCTGCGGCACACATTGGGATGTCACCAGGTGATTGCTCAGTTGTCATACGTGAAACTAAATCCCATAAATCTTGAGTCCAGCCGTTTCTTGCACGGATGAGCATAACCATCAAACGGCCCTCATCTGTAGGTGACTCATAGTCACACACAGAAGCGCAGGTGAAAGGATGGGTGGTGAATCGGGAAACGCTGGGGATTTTGATGAGAAAATGTTGACCCGGAGCCCACGATAGAAATCCGGGGGTTATAATACGCAGCCTTACTGTATGCCCAGAGAGAAGCTCAGCGTGGGCATATCCTGGAGGAGGAATGTACGGAGAGAGGTGGTGTATTGTGGACCTAACAGTGTCCGGTTCGAACGATCCTGTGGGTAGATGGCGAATGGGCAGCGATGATGAATGTGGACTATCTGTTTGTCGGTCAGACTGATCATGTGGTTTCAAAGAGCTCGGTGAACGGAAGGATTGTGAATCAACGAGTGTGTTCAGTGACTGGATGCCAAGATGTTTCATCTCGAGCGTATCAGCAGCAGTTATTGCAGGATCTAAACGCTTAGATGACGAACTGCTACCTAGAATGCAAGTATTTGTGGCAAACCACCAAGTCCACCGCCAGAGGCGTTCACCCGCCCAAATTGCGAGAGCACCCCAACACCACCACCAGAGTGTAGGATGATGGAATGCGGCAGAGATGAGCATGAGTGGGACAAGTAAAACATGCAAGAAATAGAAGGCTTCATAGAAGTTTCTTCGAATGGAGTTCATGGACAGGACGATTATGAATGTCAGCAATGCAAACGCCTAGCTAATTTGTTAGACTCTGAGCATGAAAGAGAAATCTGACTCACGATCCAGCCAAAGATGAAGGGTGTGTAGGAGAAAGCGTATACGTATGCGACACGACCAGTACTAGGTTTGTGATCTCGAACGAGCTGGACACTCCACAGCGCGATATGAATTGATGTAAGAAACCATATTAACCTGCCTGTCCAGCGATGGAGCCAAGCGAGTTTGTCGAAAAAGAACTGTATCATGAAAGGAATGGCAAAGATCGCGAAAGGAGGCGATTTGAGGGCAAAAAGTACACAAAGAGGAAAGAGAGCGAACGCAATTTGCCCCGCGCGTGCCGATGAAGTCCACCATGCTTTATCGATACTATATTGTGGTTGAAGTGACAAATAGGGAGCGATGTTCGGAATAAAATTACGACGCTGGGCCTTCACAAAGGCAATGTCTCGGCGAACTTGCCACACTTTGAGAGTCGGAGAAATATAGTCCGGGCCGACAAATGTAAGGGCTAGGGAACCCCCCAAGAGCAGTGCCAAACAAAGAAGTTGGGCATTGGAAGGCAAAGAATTGGGCTGGCGGTGCGGGTAATTGTTTTTGAGAGCGAGTGTGATGTTGTGTTTTTTTCTCCAAGTTCGTCGGCGGAGAGTCCATTTCGTCCAAAGTGCCCCAATAAAACCACCCCTTGAACCTGTCCAGTGGAGGATGGCGAAGACAAGAAAAAATAAAACGACGACGATCCAGATAAGAAAGGAATAGCGTCGACTGGGGATACTAAGGGAATGAATTGTAAGATATGCTGTGATCCATTCAAGGTCGTCGGAGAATGCAGGGGTGGTAGGATTCGTGAGAAACGCGGTACTGGACACCGTCGAGGACATGAAGTCGGCCCAGGCTCCTACGAATTCGCAAATTCGTAGGCAAGGTTGGGAGTGAAAGGGTATAAAGATTCCGTTCTCAAGGAGAGACTCTGACTCGGGATGAGGCCGGCGGCCAACAGGTAACTAGCTTGGAACTGGGTATTAGACCAAGTTTACTCGAAGATAGTAAAGAAAGAAGGGTGAATCATGGCAGTGAAAGTAAGACCTGGTACTATTTTGATTCAAACTTGTGTTAAATAATCATTGGACCAGACCTTGAACTTTGTGGGTGAAGGCCGAGTTGAAATAGCCGACAACGTCATTGTTCACGTGCACACAACGGAGCGAGACTATATTTAAATAAACACCAACAACAGTCGCTAGGGAAATCATATTTCGGACGCCTCGCCGAGACGGACAACGGGCATGAAGACCTCCTCTTATTCATATTATCACCTCAAACGCCCACATCGACCTCCGAGTTGTCCAGAGACGTAACGGATATAATCTAGAAGCCATATCACTCCATCAGTCATCCCAGGAAAACCATGGTCTGTGCCTTACCTGCTTACCCGTCTTCCGAATCTTCTCCACCAGGGCATCTTGTTCGATAGGACCTCTAACGTTCACGAGCTGGGTATCTAAGTTCACATCAAAACCTGAAACTGATCCTATCAACGTATTTCATTCAGTCAGCCTTGGATTAATCATTCATTATAACCACCGCACCTTCCTGCTGCGCTTTAGTCAGTACACGAGTAATAGCTCCAGAACAACCACCACAAGTCATCTATGCAGTTAATTAGCAGCTCATATCAGACTGACAGATCTATCCGCAACAGACCTTGACATTGAGTTGATACTTGTGCTCAGTGACTTCGCTTGCCATACTTGATCTTATAAAGATAGATAGATAAGAATTATATGATACAGTTGAAGGCTTCTCGATGGATGATGTGATCTGTCTTACAACAAAGGGCTCAGAGTCTTATATGACCTGGCAATGCTAGCTAGCGTCACCCGCCAGCTGTGACGACGGAGCTTGCCGACATTTGTCATCGTGTGGTACCTGACCGTGTCCTACATAGTACTTCTGAAACGTGTGCAGTCGACATACATCATGTATAAGATCGTGCGTCACTGATCATCAAGCATCAAGCTTTCAAGTCCGATTATCATGCATCTCCACCTCGTCACCCTCCGTGGCTACCGCAACCCATCCTGCGCCCGCGGACGTCTGGCCTCTAATTCTAGCAATGCAAGTACTCAAAAACCCTGAAGAACACATGAGCATCATTCATTTCATATCGGCGTAAAACTCGCTACTCACCAAGAAAGGTAGGCAAACCGGCTTGATTACGATTCGGATTTGTCAAATAATAAACCGGTACTCCTGCCATCACGAACCCTGCAGATAACGATATCAGAAGTTCCATTCGTTATAGCAAAATCCATCAATCACCTAGAACTGCCATAGCTTCTAGCGGTGCTGCGATAATTGGCATGCATAACAAAAATAGCGCAACCTGTTGTTGTGTGTTAGCCGATGCCCATTTGGAAGTAATTATAAACCTTACAGCGCAAAACACCAACGGGGTCACAATCCATGTTTTATAAGGTCTGATTTCAAGGTTAAGTTCAACCCCGTAGCACATTGGGTTCTGACGACTCACCTTTCTAGCATTGGTTCCTTCACACGAAGTATGACAAGGCCTAGAACCTTGGGAAAAAGCAAGTCAGATCATAATGGCATTCGTGGGACACCCAAACATACAGTGAGGAAGAAAAATGACCAGGACGCCACAACGGAGAAGTTGATCAGCGACCGAAAACCACCTCCGACGACGATAAATATAATAGTGATAGTCGCTTGGAGGACGATCGCATTGACTGGTGTTTGCCTCGACTTGTTCAGGCGACCAAACATTGCAGGAAGGTATCCCTCTCGTCCGGCAACGCAAATAAGGCGCGCAGAAGTGAAGGTACTCCCTGTAGGTGATAAGCACGAGTACCTGGAAATTATGCAGGGACTATCTACCATTCAACGCTCCGAAGCAAGAGATGGCAACCATCACAGCAAAAACTACACCGCCTGCTGGTCCAAAGAGCGTTCGACCAAAATCTAAGGCAACCGTATTGCTTATACCAACAGTGACTTTGTCTAGCACCACGAAATACGACACATTCGCTAATAAGAAAAGTGTCTGAAAGAGCTTAACGTCACACGTCTCAAATGGTACTTCTGTTGCTTACCATCACAACCGCCATACTTGAATGTATGGCTCTTGGGATATCTTTACCGGGATTCTTCATCTCGCCTCCGACATAATTGGCCTGATCCCATCCATCGAATGCCCATAGCCCGGAGTAAAGAGCCAATGAATATGCCGATGGACTATGGCTGGAGCCCTCAAATAGTGGTTGAGAGAATGACTCTGATGCTTTCCCCCGAATAAGTTGTATCATCCCTAGTACGATCACAAATATCTGACAACGAATGAGCCTCAACTTAGTACTTGTATGATAACACTTACAAGGGCGGCGATCTCAGGTCGGGTCGTTATTAGATAGAAACAATATCAATTAGCAACAAACGCACCTTCACCGTGGTGAACACCACAGAAGCCCTAGTGCCCAAATTCCGCGTACCTGCACAAATCATGGAAACACCGAGCACTGCTGCCACCGCAGTGAGTTTGATGGCCCATTGGGGTATGTCATCTGGTGCTACCTCGTCCTGAGCAGTGTGCCATACAAGCCGGTTCAGATATTCAGCAAAGATGAGGCTGATGACCGCATTTCCACCTGTAATGTAACTGGATGTATATCTAACAATCTCACACGAAGTCAGGTAGAAGACAAACCAGGTTTCAGTGCTGAGATCGCTGTCCATGCAAACAGGTAGGATACAAGTGGCCCGTACGCATACGCGAGATAGGCCTGGGCTCCGCCGTTCAGTGGTATACTGGAACTGTACACCAAAATGATTATCGATTGCCAGCAACATGATAGGTGGCATAGACGAACCCTAGTTCTGCAAAGCTGCTGGCTCCCGTCCAACCAAGTAATCCAGAGATAAGCCAAACAACCAAGCTAGCCCCCACGCTCTGGGTATTCGCAACTACAACGCCTGGTGAGGAGCTAACCAACAGTAGCAGATTGGAAGTTTGAGCCTGTCTAGTTCAAGTCTGGTTGTTTTACTCACAAGATTCCCGATCCAATCTTCCAGAGAACATGTCAGACATGTGGGTATGGAATTAAATAAATGAACTGACTTGAAGGCCAACGATGAGTCCAATACCTATTTTACACTGTGAACCGCTTGTATCACGCCAGGCTGCCAGGAGGACAACTTACCATGTAGCAAAGTGATATTTTTCTCCCCACTTTCTCCGAAAGAGGTAGTATCTGGTTCACTCAAACTCGAGCTCAAGGGCAATAGGTCGCGCTGGAAGTCAAAACCCGTCATTGAGTAGGACCTTGACCGCCCTCTCTCTGAAATAGGTCCCTCCGAGAGCTCCAGGTTCCGTAGGGAGTCTGACGAATCATTGGAAGCGCGTGCTGGGGCAAAGGTGAGATGGTGGTGCTCCCCCGATGATTTGAGAGAGGCAGGTAGGGAAAAATCATTGTCGTAGAACAACTCCGGCATCAAACGAAAGGTTCGGTTATTAGTGAGTGTGAATAGGAAGTCCAAATCAAGTCGTGAAACTTTCTGAAAGACTTGTTCGCGGTTGAGAAAGAACTACAAGCCGTACCATAAACAATTCTCGTTGACTCGTGTAGGCGCGTGTACTATCATAGACCATATAATGCAAACATTCTTGTCACAACAAATAACAACTTCATTACAGTGCTGAATAGGATAATCTGGCAATTGCGCGTCAAGTACCTCAATAAAAATTCTACATATACTAGATGGGTGTACTAGTTCGAACAGTTGAGCATTGTCGACATAGGACAAACGAAAGGCTTGGAACTTTCTTTGCCTTCTTGAGAAATTAGAACCACTCTCGTCAAAAGCTGAAAATAAGGCGTCGTCCTGACAAACAAGTTCTAAGGTCATGTACAACGGCCAAGGTTGATGTGTGAAAAGTGATATTGCACCTCGGAGGCCGAAAGTGATGTCAATCGGTTCTCCTATGTTCAAGTAGAGACTGCGCGACTATCGAATGGATATCAATACACCGCTCATAACATTGTTCCATGCACTGTGGTACCTCGTTAGCATTTACTGTGGTCAATCAGAAAGTTTTACCTTCAAAGATAAATCAGCGGACATCTGTCCCGATTGCCAGATGCTAGTGATACTATCCGATGCTGGCATACAAGCAAGTATTACAGTACCGCTTGATGCCCGTGCTTCAGCTTCGCTTGGATCAAGTTGAATCTCATCTCCGACAACAGCCTGACCAGATATAAGCTTAATTGTAAGCGGAAAATGGAACCACGTACAGCTGAGCATGATGCAACGAGCCCCAGCATTTCAATTCCGGCATCAGCAAGTGCAGTGCTTGCAGCCAATGCTCCAGACGCGATACAACCTTCAATTCCATCGTTCTCTATGATCGTGATAAAAACATCAATGGTCGACTTTGGAAATAACTCCAGGCGTATTGATGATACGATTGCTTGATGTATCGATACACCGAGAGATCTATCCTCGGCATCCTTGAGAAGCCTATGACATTCAATACGTTAAGTGCATGGTGTAAGTGTAACTTACGCGCATCGGTGCCCTTCGACGCATACACGAAAAGGGCGCAAACTTGACCTCAACGTTTAGCCGACCCTTTTCGCTGTAGGTAGTAGTTTTAGACTGCCGTGGTCCATATCTACGATGGCACTTAGAAAAGGTAGGTCTCATGGAAGTTCAAGTGATCTCGAACGTACACAGCGCATGCGATTTTTGTTTTTTCTGTTTCGATATACGCAGACCCGTTGGCCTGGCTTAAAAGACCTGGCTGGAGGACTGTCAAAAATTCAGCATCATTTGACAAAAATGCAGGAAAGGCACCGACATATCGGCCTGATATCACTAGGCGCCCGCCTGCGCTGCGTTTTCAACTTGAGATCATCCTCATCCTCATCATCGAATACGGGCGGATAGCTTTCTTCTGGTCCATTTATCCGCCGGCGGTCGTTCACACTTTGAGCCATAACGTTTGCATTCAAGTCGAAGGGACAACAAGTTGAAGTTTATCAGTTCTAACATGCTTACATAACCCACGAATTCCATGAAGCTCTCCTTTTCCCTCCCCAAGACCGCAAAGCCAGTCGGTGCAGCACCACCTCTGAAGAAACCGGCAGCGTTTGCATCACTCGGCGATGATGACCCTGTCGATACTGCTCCAACGTTATCCGACAATAAAGGCGCATCAGCGAATAAAAAGCTATTAGCTCAGAATGTTGAATCTTCGAAGGCCGCAAGGAAACGCATGGAGCAGGAGATGAAGGTTGATGCTACGATATATCAGTATGATGAAGTATGGGATAGGATGCAAGAGGTCAAGCTGAAGCAGAAAGAAGCGAAAGAAGTTGATTCCAAACAGCGAAAGGTGCGTTTCTAATCATCCGTGCTGCTGGAACCATTTTGCCAATAATGTTATATAGCCCAAGTACATCGAAGGCCTTCTAACGTCAGCTGCCACACGACGTCTGGATCATTTGCGCGCAGAGGAGAAAATGATGCAACGAGAACGGGAAGCCGAAGGAGACGAATTCGCTGACAAGGAAGCTTTCGTCACTCAGGCATACAAGGATCAAATGGCTGAGGTCCGGAGAGCGGAGGAGGAAGAACGACAGAGAGAAGGTATGTTAAATCACGATGATTACAATTTACTGCTTATTTCCGCTTTAGAGGCTGAGAAAAACAAACAGAAGGGAGCACCGACTGGCATGGCCCATTTCTACCGTAAACTCCTGGAAGAGTCAGAGCAACAGCACGAAGAGGCAGTGGCAGCAACAGAAACTAAACGCGTCATTGGTCCACGAGGGCCTGCTCCGAATCTAACTATTACCAAGCCTCCGGAACTAACACCCAAGTCAGATCTTGAGCTTGCGCAATTAGCTAAAGAACAAGGCAAAGACGTTGAACTCAATGATGACAATCAAATCGTCGATAAGCGAGAACTGCTCTCTGCTGGCTTGAACTTGTCTGCTCCTAACACCCGACGACTCGGGCTCCAGACCACGAAACGAACTCCCAGCACGAACGAAGTTCAAGCTCACCAGGCAGTAGGAACAGCAGCAAGCCGGAGAGAAATCAATGAACGCCGTGCACGGGAAATCAGGCAACAGCTGGAAGAGGAACGTGAACGGGTGTCGAAGCAGAAAGAGGCGCATGAGGAAGAGGCAAGACAACGAACAATATTAAAGCGGAATACACAAGAGGACGTGCAAAATATCCGTGAACGTTATTTAGCAAGAAAAAGGCAGAAATTAGAGGAGGAAGCTGTGGTGGCTAGTGGAGGTGACGATCCAGTATCATAAGCGTAGAGATGGGTCTTGATGTGCTTAAATGATATATTACATACTTGCAAGGGTTACCTGCCCCGACGTCAATGCTGAGCTTCATGTTAAGTCCAAATGTGACTAGATAATAGTGCTAGGGAAAGATGTCATGGCCATGTAGTGTTCTACTCTGTATTCGTTGAAATTCCTTCAGTACTGAAGCGGCCGGTGGCCGCTTGTCAGGGTTTTCATGAAGCATCGATTTGGCTAGACGCATAAGTTCGGGAACGTGAAATTCAGCGAGCTATTTGAGTCATGAGTCAGTCATAATTCTGTGGGAAGTAGTCTACTATGGTACGAACCTCGCACGCTCTGAAAATTAGAACCCCTAGTGCCCATACATCGATCATAAACGGGTTACATAGTCGACCATGTGCAGTTTCTGGTGGGATCTCGGACCCCCGAGAGTATGATATCCGCGGACAAGATACCTCATCTATTCGGCGACTAAGCTCGTAATCTATGCAAGCATAACGCCCGTTATAATCCGTGAGGAAGTTGTGCAGAGAAATGTCAAAGTGCGCGATGCGATGACGATGCATGAATGCAATATGCTGGGAACTATCTTTTAGTATGGTACACAGACCCGATAAATACGCTCCATACCTCTATACAATGGCGCAAAGATTCCATTAGGCAGCCAAGACTAAGTGGAGCTTCTTGGAACATATTTGCAGACCATTCCTCCATAACGATGAAACATAGATCATCCTGGGGCGCATCAATGAGGTCAAGGATAGCTAGATTTTTCGATGGTGAACTAAGTTTAAATATCTGTTTGAGAAGCTTACGTATACAGTGATTCGTGGGATCACGTTGCTGAGCTGGCGCAGACAGATACCGAACGATATCAAGCTCCCTGCTATCACGATGGACTGCCTTGACCATCACCTTTGCTCCATCAAGACAACGGGTAGCTCTGAACAGGCTTTCTCGCTGATTTGATCAGTGACATCGCGTATTGCACCTGACAGTTTGCTAGGACCTACCAGACCAATGTCTTTGCAAAGAGCATCTTCGTCGCTCCTCGCAAGGGCGTGGTGATAGCCCGACAAATATGCATGCAGTCCTTGCTTCTCTATATTGTTACAATTGTGTCGATAATAATCTTTTACATCACGGACAGTGTCCAGACGGTAGCCCCTGCGTTCGATGTGACAGCGGTATTTCGCCCAGTCAGGCGAAACACGAGCGTTGACTTCATCTTCATCACAGGAAGATAGAGACGAGGACGTGCTGGACCCCAAGGATTCAAGGTCCCATTCAGTGGATGAAGTCATGGCCAGATAATGGAAGATCAGATTGTTTTTGGAGGATAGGAAACTGCAGCCGTCTTGAATACCCACAGGGAAATGTCAGAAAATGCATCACTGACGTGCATGCATGATTAAATCCCAATGCCGTGGGTGATATAGGACGACTTGCGGTCGTCTTCCTGATGGAACACGGCATGCCGATTCAGTCGTATTTCACGAGAACGGCTCGACGGGCACGGTCGAAGAACAAGTGACAAGAAACCGTTGCCAAAAGAGATGCAAAAATCTGAGCGTGCGATGATTGCAGGGGAATAGGGCCAACATGAATTTTTTCGAGGATGTATCTTCTCAGGCCGATAGAGGAGGTGTGACTTCTCACCACAAATCCGTCCAGTATATGACACCTGCTCCATATTGTGATCTACAATGAACAAATTATCTTCTAATTAGGCAGTGTTTTCACCTAGTAGTAGCCCCATTTCGTGATTTGGAATGATGCGCTGCCAGATGTATCTGAACATGCTTTGATGGCAGGTGCCTATAGGAAGTGGGACTGAGCAGCAGTTGACCAGAGTTTGACCGGTTTGAGGCACCTATTGGCGCTACAGACGAAGTTCCAGTGAACAATAATGCGAGACGATGATGTGGCGCTCGAAATTACTGGTGCTTAGTGCTTACTGGGTACTTTGGCAATTGGCTGCGTAATAGTGACAAATATTGAATTATGTAAAGTAAGTGTTACACACCGCAACTGTAAGAAGGTCATATTACTGCAACTCAAAGACTTAGAAAAATGTAGAGGAGCCTCCACCACTGTTGAATCCTTTTGGCTGCGAACATTATCATAATAGCTCTACAAGTTCATGATAGACTTATCACCAGTCTTCTCCTGCTTTACCCAATAGGAATTCGCGTATGAAACCCATTGGGGCCAACTGGTTGCTCTCTCGTCAATTCCCCGAGCAGCTGAGCTCCCGGTACCCCCGACGTCTGTATAGTCGTACTCCAAAGTCTTGCAGTCACTTGATCTGCACTGTTAAGTCCAGTTTCCTGCCGAGGTCTGTGCAAAAAATCCACCAGTCGTTTTGCGAGGCGTCGTGAGAGGCCGAGCGAGTGTTTCCATGTGTTCTTGTAAGGAAAACCCCACTGCTCGTACGGTTCACTAGAAGAGCTGTCCGCATCACGAAGTTGCATGACGTATGGTTTGATGCGTGGGTCCCAGAACACAGAGTGAAAGAACTGCGTCTTTTTCGACCCACTGAGTTGAAAGGAGTCTGTGGTCGGCTGCTCGCGTGATACGATTATGAGGTTCCAAGCACGGATGGGGGATGGCTCGTAGGCGGTGCCTCTTACAGTACTGAGCAGGAAGAGCAGACCCTGGGGAGATATCGGGCGCGGTGGTCCATGTGTCACCTGCACAAGCCAGACCGTGGAGGTGCTATCGTTGAACATGATCGCGTCGATGCCTGGGTGTACGAGCGCATGCTTTGGGGAGTGAAGAACGTGCGGATAATTCTCGGCCAGCGCCGCAAGTTCGCTTTGAGTGGAGTATGTATAGTTTGAGGGCAGTATAGCCCGCCCTTCTTTGCTCTCGAGGTCAAGCTTGCCACGCAAACTCAGGTCTTCGTGTGCTGGCTGGTAATGCCCCTGTGAGTCGGGACACCCGAGCTCGAAGGCCCCTCCGAACCTGGACATAAGCGCTATCGCAGCCTGACGATATAATATCTTGCCTGACTCCTCGGTGTCTTCTGAGTCAAGTAGGTTGCAGACAGCATCCTTGGCGGTAGAAGGGTCAAAGGAGGCAATCCCGTCTGCGAGGAGCCTGCTGGCAAATTGTGAGACCGGATAGGGCAGTGGCTCTGTGCGAGTATCTCCGGGTTGCACAGCGAAGAGGCTACGGCTGAATAGGGCTGCATGCTCACGCAATGCGGGACGCTGGAACCAGAAATTATCGCGAGTGCACTCTAATTCGTTGAGGTAATATTCAGCGTGGCTGGGGTGGCGAGACACTTGTAGGCAAGTGTGCGCGTTGGACCCGAAATGAGTGTAAGACCATCGCAGAGCCTCTGGATCGTGCTCTTCGTGCTTGTTTGCAGTAAGAGCACTAAGGGAAGTGGTCAGTCATCACGAAGAATGCGTACATGTTGATTTACCTCATCGCAACGATCTCGTCCCATGTACACGGTTTCATCCACCGCTGAAGAGAAACTTCATACCCAGGTGACCAGTCAATTTTGAAGCCCAGACTATCCGGCCAAAACGTGGTGAAGATAGCCTTGCCACACGTGCTCCACATCAATGCCTGAGTGTGTGCGGTGTTCGGGTGCGTGGTGGGATCTTCATGCATGCTGTCGACGAGGTGCCATACATCTTCGCGTTGGAACAGGGGATGATACTCGCTGTTCTCCTGCGGGAGGATAAAGAACCCGTCCGCGGTGAAGCACATGACGAATGAGTGTAATTGGTCAATCTGATACGTCACCGGTTGACGAGCGAGAAGTCGCTTGACGAGGAGGTATGCCAAGAAATGTGTCTTTCCTAAGGATAGTCAGTTGTATTGAGCAGCAGTGCCTATGGAAGGAATTCGACTTACCAATACCTGCCGATCCATGCACTATGAAATTGCGCTCAATTGCGGAGATGTGTTCAAAGAGTGATTCATACTCTGAACGGATGACCATGGAAGTCGCTCCGTTTGGTAACTCGACACCAGGACATCCAGAAAGATCAATGGCATCGAAGGTGAGTGGGTATACCCTGTATTGGCCTCAGTATGATTCCAAGACCATAAGTAAAACCAACTAACCCGTTGGATCCCTCCAAATCTAGAGCATGACATTTCAACCCTCGCTTCACGACAGACTGGTCTTGTCGCTGCCAAAGATAATGATAAAGGGACAATGAAGTGGAGTGTGATCCCAAAAATGACATGTTATCGATATCCTGCATCATTGTTTGTGAAAAAGGACGTGTAAATGAAGGAAGTGAAAGTCGTCGCCATTAAGTGCAGCAACATCCTCGAGCTCGGATGTGACGAATGACGGATGGACGGATGTCTCGTCTAATAATTGTATTGAATTCTGAAACCGCTGACTAAGCAATTGAATAACAATTTGGCTCAACACCAAATTGTTAGTAGTAGTCGATGGAAGAAGGCACCAAGGGTAAGAAGACCATTTTCATTGGGGGAATTGGGGATGATGTCGACGAGACGGTGATCTACGAGCATTTTGCTGCTTTTGGTGAGTGTTTCGTTTCGCGACAACTTCACGCTAATCGCTTCGACACCGCAGGTGACATCATTGAAGTACAGCTACCTCCAGCACCAGCCAATCCATCAAAGCCGACAGGCAAGCGGGCAATTGTGAACAGTGGTCCACATGTTGACTATCTGTAGAAATCAAACATCGTGGTTTCGCATTCGTGACATACTCTTCTCCTACAGATGCTCAGGATGCAATCGACAACATGGATCTAAATGAATTAAGGGGCAGGGTGCTGAAAGTCAACCAAGCCAAGCCTATGAAAACCCTGCAGCCTCCAGATGGGAATAGAGCTAGTACGTACTATTTCTACAAGTTACTGCGACCTCCTCTAAGTCCTTCCTTCCAATAGTCTGGGAGTCGGAAGAATGGCTGCAGGAGCACGCGAAACCATTAGCACAAAGTGGAGGTTAGTAATTTCGCGGATTTTCGTATTGTTTCACTGACGTTCCATAGGTGTGCAAGGTCGTACAGCCCAACGAGCTACTTCTGGAGAAGCCGAAGAACAAGCCGACGATGGAGAGTTGGATGCAATGGAAGAATAACCAGGTCATGCTGATCTTAGTCGCCATTTCATGACAGGTGTAACGAGCTGTTTCAGCGAAACCCCACCACCCTGTTAGTCTCGACAGCTTTCTCCCTCGTGCCTGCAAGAAAGTGATGTTGCGGAATCGGAGACTGTAGTGTTGTCATTGGCGAATGGGTATGCGGTGCCAAAATATAAAAAATACAGATGTAGAACAATGATGTAGAAAATAAGACAGTGCTACTACAGTAATTTCCCTAGTATTCCTTTGATTGCGTGATATCAGATTCCTCGAACTGGGCCCGAGCACGCTTGATATCCTCCTGCATGAATAACAATTCCTCCATACGAGCGAGCTTCTTTGCATCTGCCAACCTCGACAGAGCTCGACGAAGGTCTTCAATAGACAATCGTGTTTTCCGTTGTGGACCACCAGCAGTTTGACACTGCCCCAAGTAATGTGTTGTTTGAGTTTCGGTACTCACATGTATGTATAACGCAATACCAAGAAACACACGTACAATATCTGCAATGAACTCGACAAGTATCTCTTCCATGACGTTTACTGTATCGTTGGCGGGATTACGATCATCGCCGAAACCATACATGAGGTTTTTCACTGGAGAAATCTGACTGAAAAGAATCCAATAGAAAAGATCTAACAGAACGCACGTTCTTTGGAAAAGAGGCCCTTGAAATTCGCCTGTTTTCTACTGCGCCCGGTACCTCCACCTGTTGTGGCGGTAGGAGCGGTTTCTCGGGAATAGGTTGGGGTATAGGACGTAAATGTAGTCGTTTTCGGGGTAGCAGCGACTGGAGTGGGTGTGGGTGTTGCGGCAGGCGGCGCAGTTGTCTGTACTGTGGGCCGCGCTGCCTGTTGAGAAGGAGTTTGTGCAGGCTGCTGTGGGAGATAGGAGTATGGATATGGCCATGCACCGTAGCCAGTCACACCTGTGGCATAGCCTTGGTGGTAAGCTGGATAGCCTGGAGTCTGAGGGTGAGCATATGCGCCTGGTGGACCTGGGTGATAATAAGGATATGTTGCCCCGGCTGGATGCTGCCCTGGCTGGTAATGTGAGTACGACATGAACATTGAATGTGTTTGTTCACTAAGTTAAGTTAGGATTGCAAAGGACAAGTCGTGGGACACATTCCTATTTTGTGTGCTGCCACGCCCCTAGTCCTGACTGTACATAGGATTCAAGTAGACAACACTTGGTATTAGTACAAATTATAGTGTGAACAACAATACTGAATATTGATATATAAATTACAGATCCTCGTCGTCCTGATCGCCTCCTCTTTTTGCGCGCATTTCGAGATTTCTGGCTTTATCCATCAACTCTCGAACTCTCTGCCACTCGAACTCGATTAATCCACGCTGATCAAGCCAGTCCATCACTTTATCTGCATCTCGCATATCTTTGGGAGGCTCGGCACCCCCGGCAAAAGCGACTCGGACAAAACCACGATTGTCATCAAGAACTTCGTCGATCTGTCCCAACAAAGAGTGATACAAGTGATACTAGTTTCAGAGTCGTCAAGCAATGAACAAAATACTTTGAAGATATCTTACCTCCCAGTGACTGAACTCGTGGAAAACTCGTGTTCGAGCAGCGCAGAAGCGACCGAGATAAAACTGTTTGCCAGAACGACTGATCATATCGTCAGAATCAATGTCCGATGAACTCGATGACTCGTCCTCGTCCTCGTCGTCTGACTCGGGCTACTCGCATTCAGTCGTGTAAAATATAATCGGATGAACTAAAACATACCTCGAAATCGTATTTGTCATATGACTTGCCGCTCACTCGGCCGATCAGCGTGGATACTCTTCCACCTAGATTACAAGCATCGCACCGGGGAGCGCTAAACTTCATTCGCACTAATTCGAATTCGGGATATCTTTCGAGCGGCTTCTTGAATTGAGGTTTCCAGACAGAGGATGTGACTAGAGAGTCTTTCATCCCACATAATTTCCGTCGTGCTACCTGAAGTGGGACAGAGAAATACTCCTCCGCTGTAGTCCATATTAGCGCTGTCATCGAATGGCAATGAAGACGCATACTTTCCAACATCTTCTTCATGAATGGGCGTCTCTCAGAAGGAAAACGAACAGCCATGTGAACAAATAACTGGCAGACGATCTTGAATTGATGGGCGAGATCTTGATGCGTGTTCATGCTAAAAGCGATGGGTAGTTGCGTAGACAAAACACCATGCTCATCATCTTCCACGATAAAGTCGTCATCTTCATCTGTTTTTTCATGTTCTCCGCTAGAGGACTCAGATTCATGACCACGATCTGGTCGCGCACCCTTGAAGGGTCGCACCGCTAGGGCTTCCGATAACTCGGCACCCGACTCTGAGGATTCTGAATCAAGTTCAAGTGTTATCTCTGAGCGTTTCTTGCCCTTGAGACCTTACAGGATATTTAATGAGATGAAATGTCACGCGTTAAGGGCATTGACCCACTCTTCAACTTCTCAAGACGTTTTTGGAATATTGTTTTCTTGTCGCGAGCGCGAAGACGCGACTCAATAATGTCTGTGAGAGTAGAAATGGCACAGCAAGGAGGAAAGTAGATATAGCTTACCATTTTCATCGACTTCATCGATAACACTTCCTTCAGGACTTGGAGGTCTGGTGCCCTTGACCAACTTTCGTTTGCGTGGTTGAGATTCTTCGTCAGAATCTGCTATTGCTTTCCTCTTCCTCTTTCCCTTCTTGCTCCCTTTCCAAACAATAGGTATGCCAGTATGATCGTCCAGCGAGTCATCACTGGCTGCCACATCTGGCAGACTGTCTGTGATAACGAGGGATCTCTTGAGCCGTCCAGTACTCGGTCGGCGTGGAGAATCGTCTTCATCGCTGACATCGATGACTTCTGCTTCAAACTTGATAGCGCCAACATCGCTATCCTGTTCTAGATCATCACTTGTGTACGAGTCGAGAGCGACAACCTTGTGCTTCCGCTTCACCTGTCTCTTCTTCAGAGGTGCTGGCGGTGAGACTGGAGGTGGAGAGGATGAAGATAGAAAATCGCCTAAAGTTTTCTGCTTCATCTTCTTTGGAGATGATGACTTGCTGGCTTTCATATTGCCGCGCGCGCGATTATGATTGGAGTACTTGGAGATAGTCAATCGATCTGCCAGGGGGACTAATAAGTACCGGTATACCGCTGTGGCTGTGGACCTACATATTATGATGACTAATACACTCACTTCGCTCCACTCATCAATGATTGCCAAGGAAAATAGTGCTGGACGAGTTTCCAATAATCAGTAATCTAGGCTGCTATGGCCACACCAACTCGAGCCTCTATGAAGCCATTGACACCATTGCTTCGCGTTGACACAGAATCTCTCACTCCTCCATCCCGTAACTCAGGTTACGATGGCTCTCCTGGCGAGACGAATAGTGCCAGCCTTACTCCTTCACCGTCATTTTACATCCCGCTTTCACCCAATGTAGACAAATATTCTCCTACAGCCCAATTAGCCAGAATGGCGCTGTCGCAACACGACTCTGCGAATCACGCCAGAGAGGAGTCGAAAAAGCTGGTGGGGTTGCTTCTTGACCAGCTTTCTTCTAGAACGCGCCCTCCCTCAATTTTTGATGCTTTAAGTATTCATGCTACTCCATCGACTGAGGCAGGTCTTGGTCACTTAATTGGAGCAGTACGCAATGTAGTTAAACAGAAGTCACGCAAACGCCTGCAATCCATGAAGGAAGATGGTGACGATGAAGGGAGTGACTATGTCGCTTTCTCTTCTGAAACCACTTTTGACCTCATGGTCCAATTGAAAGAGGTATTGCTATTTTCCGCTTCGCAGGGCTGGCAGGTATTTGAGCAAGGGTATGAGATCATTATTCCAATGCAACTGAACAGTCACTGAAACTCAACTCACTTAGAGCTTCTGGATCGGGCACAGATGCCGAACAATTCAGCAGACCATCACCATTCACCATTCGCAGCTCTACGAGAAGAAGTAGCATTAGCGGAGGGTTCTCAAGATCTCGGTCGCCTTTGTCAAAGGGACACTCGCAAGCTGCTTCGCTTATAACGCTCTGCATCTCCATCCTTTCTTCAGTGATATCGGAAGACTGTCGCTTTCAAATTTCTTCGCCCAGACCATCCAAGCCTCCAAACGCATTGCAATCAGTGTGCCTTGATATTGCTCACTTTCTTGTGCATGTTCACTCCAACGAACCATCAATAATCTCCCGTATTGCGTTTGCGGTGCTTCCTGCGTTCGGGACATTTCGAAGCGAGATGCATCCGCGTTTGCTGTCCTTTTTCGACAATGTGATACTCAGGGGGGTGTCTGAGGACCTCAATCGAATCAGGGGATACACGTCTACAGATATTTCGGGTACGTTTCAGTCAGATGAGTTTGGATGATAGGAAATTTACCGACAGCAAAAGACCTAGTTGTTATTAGTCATGGCCAAGGAAACCCTGTTTCCATTCAGGTTGAAATGGCCCTCGATGACGAAGAGAGTCTATCTCACCAGACAGCTTCGTGGCAGCCTCAGACGTCTCTCGCCACTGCAAGTCATCCTGGTATCCAGGCCACAAATGCACCTCTCCAGCCTTTGCCTGTATATTACCTGGCCTCTATAAATGCTCCGTTGTTGGCCGCCATTCTAGAAAATATCGATACTACTTCGTTGCCACCCACGTATAGTTTATGTCGGCTGCTTGATACCATAATCAGCTCTAAGCCAGACTCATATTTGGATGTATTGGAAGTGATAGCATATCATGTACCTCAGAGTCGCCGCGCTGCTCTTACTTTGCTGGCAACTTTTTGGCCACGGGCTCTGGGGCATGTCGTCCTCAGCAAGCCCCTACGTGTCCTTCAGGGGGAACCTCCTTGGACAGGGAGTATGCCCGATCCCCCATTGCAATCAAGCACTTCTTGTGCGCACGATTTTGTACCATGGAGATTCCGGCAGTCACAGCGGCCATCGATATTTGACGAAGCCGGCTCAAGTTCCTGTCAATCATGTGCTTCCCCCATCATGGGGTTTGGACTTCTTTGCTGCGGATGTATGTGCGCCGTGCACTTCGAATGCTACGACTACCCGGAAGGCAATGTTCATCATCAATGCGCCGTGGCGTCCGATTCGGGAACAAGGAAATTGGCTGTCCACCGTTTCTGTCTCATTCCCTCATCTAAGCGGGACACCGACCTCATTAATGTGAAAAGAGCTCAACATATTTTCAGACGTGTCAATCTCTTTACCCTGCCCATTTGCTTTCATTGTTTTCTGCCAATATGGGGTTCTCAGGCGTTCCACTGCACCTCATGCAAGCTTTTTGTGCACATCACGTGCTTCGATGGACCCTTCGCGATTTGTGGATCTGTAGATATCAGTTCCGTTCATATGGCAGTATCATTGGATAGCATCAGCCGCACATTTGCGGACTACTACGGGGATCTCTTCCTCTCCTCTGAAGACCTAGGGAAGCGGAGTTTTGAGGATATCTCTGTGTCATCTGCGATGCTCTGGACGCAGCTGCAAATCTATAACAATGGACTCGCCCTCGGTTCGTTTGTCCTAGCATCAGACAGTAATGAAGATCCAGCCAAGGGATTCGAGCTGCAATTTTTGGTTGAACTTTACGAAGCTTACTTGTCCTCTGGAAAACTGCCCGTCTCTGCGACTCTCGGAGAATACCTAGAAGCCAACCAACACAACCCATCTTCTTCGGCGATCATGTTTGATTGGTCAACATTAGCTTACATCTCCTCCACCATCAAGTCATCGTACGACGTACAAACACCACCGTCAGGTACTTGGCCAGACTTGCGTGTGCCTGGCGAAAATGTGGCGATACAAGATGACAGTGATGCAGCACGTCATCTGTTCGAGGTTGTCACGTTGGGGCATCTCCGTAATTCCTTGGGATACGAATTTAACATGTTATCCGAGGGCCCTGCGCGTCACTGTCTATCTCATCTTCACAAACTTGGCTTCTTCACATGCGCAGAGTTCCCTACATGTGTACCCGAACTTGCAAAATCCACCCAACACTGTTACTTCCCACTGCCGCTTGGATTTGACTTATCCACTAATGTGGAGACGTTAGTGTCAGCTATCGAGGCTTGCCTTTCAGATTTGGATCTTTCGGTCAACGAATGCGGCTTCTTGCTCTTAGTGAGGCGCTTCTGGCCTAGCGGGCTGGCATCAGATTATGCCCTGCGCAGGTTATCTCATGCAGTATTATCCTGGATCTTTTCTGAGGTAATCTAACTCTTTGAAGACTGGTACATGAATGACTTTGTTTTCCAGGATGACAGTTTGGCAAAAATTCTTCGTGACTTCATCCCACAAGGGATCAATCTCCCAGGTGTTAGGAGCGGATCCGATGCTCCTGTGTGGCCAACCACTTATGACGCGCGTCGCGCACCAGGTGGTTCCATTAATAATGGTGGAGACTATGTTGCAGCCAGGCGTTCTCTGCTTCCAAGATATGCTGCCCGATGGCTTCTAGCACTACATGATCAAGATTTTGTTGCATATGCACGATTATTGTCTGATATTATCCAGGATATTGCTTCTCGTCACAAACGCTCAGGTCTCAATGCACAAGAAGTATGTGCCACTTCTATGAACGCATAGATTGCAAACTGATTCTGAGGCTGACAGTCATTGTCAACCGCTGAAAGATCACTGCACTTTATCACAAGACTGTGCAAAGCTTCAGTCGACTTCACAGTGCTTGATGATTTATTTCTCATGTGGCTTCAGACACTCGAACCTAAGATGCTTGATACAGCGGTACGGGATGTGATACTTGTTGACTCAGTGACCGATATTCATCAATCCAAAGTCTCTTCCAATTCTGCAACGTCTCCTCAATCGAGATTTAGCTGAGAACACATCTCGCCACACTACATTTGTCGACCAGGCTTTTACGCAAGTTGATGGGCACGTAGTGAAGCTATCTGATCCATGGGGCATAGTTCGACGGGCGGCCAAGGAAAACGGACTTTTGGACAGCCTCCGCTGGTTGAGGTTATTTGCTCGTTCGGGTGTTGACATTAACGTACCAGTATTTGCTGAATACAGCGAACTGTCACGGAAGGGTCTTGTTACCCTGAAGCAAGCTTCTGTTTTCGCCGAAGCTACCCTCCTATCCACGTGGACGAAGTCTTTGGGTCAACAAGACCTACAGAAATCGATCTCAACTATGATCACCACCCTACTACCTGCTATCGAGAGTTCCCTCCGATTCTCAAGTGGCAATACTTCATGGTGGAGTTTCCAGACACTAGTATTTATACTGCCTAATTGCTGACAACATGATTGAAGTGCATTGACATTCATCAGGCAATGCCTTGCCACTTGCTTGTTGCTTTACGGATGTGATCGTGCTATGCTTACTTCAAACGAAATGGTAACAGAAGAAGATATCAAAAATCTTCCTTCAAAGTACGTTGAACAACCACGTTCAGCTCATGGTTCCCAGCTAACCGAACACCAGGAGAAAGCAGAACACGCGCGCAGCTCAGGCTATCGACCCCATTATCATCGATGGCGAACTGGTGCTCGTTCTCAGTATTCTCGTTGCCACCGGCATGGAGCAAGTTGTCTGTCTCATTGCAAAATTTCTACACTCTTTTATTATGCACGCTCCACTTCTCGAGGCACATGAGGTTGATAACTTTGTGTTGCGCAATGGAAGCACCCTGTATCCATGGTATGCACAATCATCTCTTAATTTTGTGATTGGCTGGACAACTCTTCTTTATCACAGTGTCTGGCACTTTTACGGGATCCAGCATCATGAGATCGCAGGCATCAGGACCGCCTTATTCCTTAGAATATTAATCGTTGATTCGCAGTCGTTTTATGAGTTTGCGTCCTCGATGAGCGGACCAGCAGTGAAATGGGATATCAGGTATTGACATTTTTGTCGCCTTTGAGATGCGAATAACGTACTGGCGACTAGACTCTTGGCCCTGGACAGATTCCTTCGCATGGTACTAGATATTACTAGTCCCGACTTCATGGTTAAAGATCGGCCCTGGAAACACAGCGTCAGTTGACCTCTTCTACCACGCATTTGAACCGCTCTGGATCGATGAGAAGGTATGTCGACGGTAATTTATTTTGTCAGCACCCGGCTGACGCAACCCTTGCCGATAGGAAGAAGTCAGAACAGCGGTTGACACTTGGTTGCAGACATTGCTTTCGGCCCATTTGGATGCCATTGCATCATGTTGGAACGATGCTTTCCCCGATCTACCTACGTCAAAGCGTCTCCGGCTGGTTTCCTTTCTTCTTCAGCTCCAATCACATTTCCCGACGTGGAGAGGTAACATCCATTTTTGCACCCTGATTCTACTGATATCAAGTGTGAATTTGTCATAGTGCTCTCTTGGAGCACAGTTATCGAGACATTGCTTGAATATGATTACTTGCAACACAACAGCAACGATGAAGATGGTCCTGCCATTCCTCACCTTGTTTGTCACAATTTCTGTCCATGAATCGAGCATTCCGCTGACCATATATACTGGCAGGAAATGTACGGGTTGGAGGCTCAAAATGATGCCCACCCGCGAGACTTGGACCCAGAAATTCACTCCATTCGGGTGCGAGGGGCTGCTGTATCACCATTGTTTTTGTTTGACCCCTCGAACAGATATCGATCGCGTTGCTTGGGTTGCGCATGATGAAAAACGGAGTCGAGATCGATCTTATGTCATGCCTGAAGTTCAAGCTGTATCTGGTCAGAATGATTGGCTTCAGTGGGGCGCAGATGGTCTCTGCGTTCAACGGGCGGGCATTCTCAGTCCACTTGGATGACTTTGGTGGTATTCCACAAGAGTCTTTGCCGTGTGTAAACGAATTCGCACGCATCTTGGATGCCCCTCATCCATTTAACCTGCCGCCCTCCCTTATGAACAGCCCGTTTACTGAAGACGACAGACCTTGTCGCGTGCTCATCGGGTCTATTTGGATGGATGTCGTGCTAAGTGCTTTCTGCGCGGTAGACAAACCACTCGAGCTCCCAGCTCTTACCTTGAAGAGCTTGCTAGAAGCACTGATGGCAATGATTTATAAGCATGACTTCGATAGCCCCGCGCTCCGACATCTCGACGTTATGCTCCGCAAGGCATTAAAGAAGACCTTGGACCTGTTGTTGGTTGACCTGAGCTATGACTTGCGGCAAGTGGCATTATCAGTTATAGAGACATACATCAAGAGGGGGTCTGCCATATCTGGCGCGCTAGTGACGTGAGCGTGGTATACCTGTCAACTTAGTTGGTAAACTGAACTAAAGTTGCCTATAGTGAATCAATCGAACGTGCTGTTGCACTGATTGCATCGTTGAAACATAACACTGAAGACATGCTAGTCACTCAAGCGAAATCGTTTGTCGAGAACACGCTTGTCACGTAAGGTGCCTTTTACTGCTCGTTTCCTACCCGCTGACAACCTCTGGATCAGATTGGCACAAAGTGGAGTGTTCTGCAGTCTGTGCAGAGTATGTTATCCGCATGGTGGGAGTGTCTCAAACTGATCAACATGCATTTTAAGCGCCCGCTGGACTCGGATTTTTTTATTGTAATAAAATCCATCGTAGAAGCTGAATCCCTCAGGGCTCCCTCGTCACAAGAAAGCCTACGAGAAGTGCTCTTGCAGAGTGTCGTGATACAACCTCCAGACGCAGATTGGGAGATCAATCATAATATTGCTTTGAATGTGAAGGAATACACAGAGTCGGTCTACTTTGAAGGGCTTAGCAAATGGTTAATCAAAGGTAAGAAATACTGCCCCCGCTTCTACCCCTCGTACCAACTGGATTGACAGACCTCATAAATTGGCTTACGGTGACGGCACGCCGAGCATTGGCTCTGGAAAGCAGCGCCAGATTTGACCTCAATCTCCTATTGTATATTTCCGCAACTCTTTTGCAGTATAACAAAGCACACACTGAGGTAAAAAGATATACAGCCTTTTCGACTCAAACAATTAACGATTGGTCCTGACATTTCTTTTAGGATCTCCTGGAGTGTATAGAAGCTGTACTGAGAGTCGCATTATCGAGGTGCAATGTGGAGAAACAGTGTCTAGTCCGGGCATCACGAGCTGTTAGTGCTCTCAGCGACACAACTCTAAGTTCGAAGCAGGACTTGATATCTTCTAACACGAACCGCATAACGCACATCTTGCTGGAAGTTCTGGAAGATGTTTTTCGAGCCAGAGCACAAATCACGCCTTCCACTTTGAATGCGATCGTCGAAGTAATAATTTTTCGAAAAGACGTGCTTCATGATCTGATCATTGCCTTAGACGATCCTTTGCACTGATGTCCGAATTGTTGGACTACAACAAGTGGCGTGCAGTGGGCTATACTTTCTACACAATCATGAATGGGTAATATCTGACCCAAGCGCGGAGTTATCTGCCTCAATTTCTGTTTCGCGATTGGTCCTCCGTGCTGTAGATGTCGAGCACGTGTCGCTTTCAGAGATGATTGCCGAAGGTTTCGAGGTATACCTTCGATCCATATCGTTGGCCCGAACTCAACGAACCTCATCAGAAACCCACACAAGCTGGCACAGTTGTCCGTGCTTGGAATATTCTACTGCTCGGTGTACTTAGCGACTCTACTGGCGCACATGTCCGGATCTTATTACCGCAGTTGAATGTCTTCACGCCGGCATATTACAAGTGCTTGGGCACATATGTGCTTGAAGGGACGACGCCTTCCGAATCTGCTATGGCAGACGTGGAACACGCTTTCATAGCTCTCAAGTTGTGGTTGCTGCTTGCACAAATGCCGCTTGCCAACCCAACGAAAGATTCGCCCAGCGCTAAAGTCATTTGGAACGAGTTGTGGCCTCCATTCGAAGCGCTGGTGAATCTCTTCAAAGCTGACAGTGTCCCGGAAGACCTCTTGGTAAATATTCGATACATGACATTCGCTTAAGAATCGTGCTAACGCAGTGTCATCAGCCACTGGCCACGACAATATGGGCTTCCGTAGCAACCTTATTTCTCTTTGTGCTCCAATCACGTTCACCTGTAGCATTGGACACCGTACCGTGTGTGGTAATGCTGAATCACTTGCATGACTCTGGAAGACGAAACTCCGCACTTAGCAAGGCATGTTTTTCTGTCCGGTCTTTGAAGCATGCTTATTTTATTTCCATGTAGTTGTCCCGGGCTCTAGATGGAGAACCTTTACCTGAATTGCTGTCGAGCGCGGTCATTGCTCAAGCAAAACAGGATGTTGAGAATGCAGAGAAGTTGCGACTGTTGGAAAGTGTGCAGCGACCCGTGGAACGTAGAAGGGACACGCGGATTCCTACGTGGCCCCCATACAACATCAATTCACAATAGATTCTAGGATGCAGGAAATTAATGAATCTGAGCAAATGTAGACAAAAGGAGAGGCGATGGATATGCATATCTCTGAGGGTCAGGCTGCTCTGAGTTTCGCTTTTTGTGCCTTCTTTCTATTTTCCTTCATGATCGTGGAGCCAACGAACAAACCAATACCCGAAAGTCCAACCACGAGCACAAATGCTGGCAGCCGTATTGCCCATTCCCGTGCAGGAAAATAGTTGTGTATAGGGCTGGTTGCATCAAAGAAGGGCTGAAGAATGGACGAGTAGCTGTCAGTTATATTATGGCCCGTCCAACGTAAGCCTGGCAAACTGACGAGTAAGATGGCCCACGTCGTGTAGTACGTGAACACGAAACCAGCAACGAGTAACATCACCCCTCCGAGAGATTTGTCGCTTGCACCCTTGGATAGTTGCTCTCATCAGCCAACCTTGAAACATCACACATAGATTTACTCCTCACCATCGCAAAATCTGTCAGACCTACTTGGAAGTTGAATCTGAGGTCGAGTGTAGTTATAAAGAATAGAGCAGTACGAGTTCGGAGTTGGTCCAAATCAAAGTTGTTATAGGTTGGCGGACCGGAGGAAAACACAACCTACATACATAACACGAGTGCGTAGTTTGTTTCTGAGTCAAAATCATGCCAGCTCATTGTCGACGTTTGCGAGCAGCTGAACACCAAGAGAATCCAACTTTCGTACTTGATGATTTGAGCTTGTAACAAACAGCTCAAGGCATTCCATGAACTCTCATGCATTCGCAGCGCTTGCACATATCCCAATCCTTGTCCTGCCGGTGGGCCCAATACCCCGTGCTGCCTTTGAGAAATATGCGGCAGAAATCAGGACGTTCGACTCAATTCGCTTAGGTGACATACCTGCTGGCATGAAGGATGAGAGAGGTATGCCAGTCCTTTTTTTGCTTATACAACAGCTGTTCATGGGTTCTCAGCTCGTTTCATGCCAAATCCACTTTCCAGTGGTCATCTGTATCTGAGCTACCCATCCCATCCTCCTCCTCCTCGTCATATATCGCTATCTCTGTTCCGACCATCTCACTTTACGCTGGGTATAATCGGTGTCGCTGCGTGTTCATCCTCATATTCCCTTACTTCTGCTCTTGAGCAATTCGAGAATACTGTGCTTGATATTTTCCCGGAAGGCTCGACATTTCCCCTGTCGAAAGTCTGCTTTGCCTTTGAGGATGAAGAAAGTGCTGGGAGCACCGGTCTCGGAGATACGTTACCTGGGATTATCTCGATTCCCAGCGTAATGGGGAACAAGAAACTTTATATCGGTACTCTGCTTGCTGATTTGTGCTCTCACATTCTAGCTGAACTTGGTCGTGTGGTATGGATCAACATTCGATAGAGTCTCAAGGACACTACTAACAGATTTATAGTATCATGTTCTGGAGAGTCCTATAGGAAATGAGTACTTGAATTCTGCTCTTTTCCCGACACTCCCTTCTCCCTCTGAGATGCCGCTTTCTCTCAGTTCCGCAAATCTCGGATATCCTTCGTACTCGAGCCAGCCTGAACTCGATTCATCAAGCCTCTCAACGCCAAATATTCAGATCAAGCGTAGTTCGACTGCTGGACCTGGTATCAGTCACACGGCATCCCTTATTCAACGGCAAACCACACTTGGTCCCCCAGCGGTCAGGAAACGCGTCAGTGCAGTCGGCGCCGTTTCGTCACATGGTAGACTCTATAAGGTTCTTGGTGATTTCTTCCTGTTGGCTGGTAGGACAGAAGATGCATCGTTATGGTCCGTGTTTATTCATTTTGTCAGTTCACCGCAGTTAAAGTCGCCCAAGGTATGCAGAAGCTATTGTGCTGTTTAAGACCGGGCAAGATCCTGTATGGCATGCGTCCGTGTTAGAAGGGATGGCAACGGTTTTTGTTCTAGATGCGTGGTCGGCTGGCCAAGGCCTGGTAAGTCAGCTATAGCTCTTGGTGAGCGATATTGAAATCGTATGTAGCAATCCTCTGTTAGCAACAATGGTATCAAGGAACCTTGGGCTGACATATACGAGCAACTGTCTCAGGCTATAGCCCTCTATCACAAGGCTCCTGTGTCTTCTGAGCTTAGCCAAGATCATTCACTTCTGGCCTTGACATACTGCACAGCTGTCATGCGCCAAACATCCCTCCTCTTCTGCACATGGTCTACCAAGGGATGGGGTGCATTAGCTTTTGCTTCAATGCTACAACCAGCGTCGACCTCATATACACAGAAGACGACATCTGATAGCTCCTGGACAAATTTGGAGCGCATAAGTAATGTATCAGGCGTGTCCCGTTCCCAGATAGCGAATACCGTGTCACAAGCACACGGACCATGGTTATTGCATCTTGGTCCTCATGAGCGGCTCACCATTTTGCAATCTATGGCAAGCATTTATTCATCCGTTGGATACAGGCGGAAGGAAGCTTTCATTCTACGCGAAGTCATCAGCTGCATCATGGATCTCATTGTCTGTGGCCGGGAAGAAAATGACCTTCTGCGAAAATCTGACGTTAGAAGTGCAAGCATAGGCAATCGCTCCGAGAATGGTGACGAAGTGAGCATAGTTGGGAAAGGGGCTGTGGGTGTGCGACAGAATGAGATCCTGGAAGGTAATCAGAGCATCCTGAAACTCCTTGTCCGTGCCTGCAAGGTCCTTGGCGTTAATCTGGAAGCGGTCGGCGTGGCAACAGCAACAGACGGTACCAGCAGCGAAGGAAGGGGCGGAGACAGTAATGGCTCTACCATGGAGGACTCAGAAGACCCGGGAGATGCGGCAACGGAATCCTTCGGGTGGCCAGAGCTTCAAGTTGGAGTTATTCGCGAAGCTATTGCTGTGGCAGAGGCACTTCCCGGTGAGTCATGTTTTCCACAAGACAACAGTCTCTAAGGTAGCCCCAGATCCGCTCGCCGTGGCTCGAATATCACTTTCAGCGTTGAGAACAATGCATTCCGTGCTGGCCAGTAGTGATCAATATCATTTGTATCAAACTGCTGGACGTGCTCTTGCTGCTATGCGTCGGCGCGGTGACGCACCTGCAGTTCAGTACTGGGCCGGGAATCCTATCATGAGTCTTGTATTATTGCCGTATGTGATTGCTACAAACGACACAACCATGTTAACTCCCGCCCTTATAGGTTGGCCTTGCACCGCCTGCCAATTGAAAATCCATTTTCCATATTGGCTTCAAAATCATCTGCCACAAATTCCCTGCTTAGTGGGATTATTGACCCTTTCCTATATAATCCCAGGAAATCATCAGGACTCCAGGTCAGTCCCTTTATATGGACCGTGAAATGTGTTTTCACCGTCTTTTCGGGATGTTCATAGAGCAAAAACTTGATTGTTCAAGATGAACCTATCGAACTCACGATCACCCTACGAAATCCTTATGTGTTCGATCTGGAAATACAGAGTATTTCGCTCAGGTACGGCATTTGCTGTTTCAGCTGATCAACAAGTTAACCTTCAGATCCTTAGCACAACTGGTGTGGAGTTTGAATCCAGTCCTGTCTCAGCCCTCGTCATCCCTCCCAATACACTCTATCCAGTTACCATCATAGGCACTGCGAAAACGCAAGGAACTTTGGTTTTCCAAGGATGTGTTGTTCAAGCCCCTTGGGGAGCTCCAAGAGAGTTTCTATTACCTGTCCCGACTGATGCCGATCAGAATCTTTTTGCACGCCGTCAAAGTGCCGTGAGATGCGAAACTGGTCGTACCAAGTATTGGGGCCTCGACTCTCTTCCGTGGAAGAAGAATACGAAACGACTCAGTACCTTACTCCCATCCCTCAAAAATCCGCCTCAATTTTTACAATGTGTCGTTGTTCCTGAGCAGCCCCTACTCCGAATCAGATGGACGTCGCTAACACACGGAGCAGTCATGCTGTACAACGGCGAAGAGTATGTATGATTGTTCTTCTAAATATATATCTATTGATTGATATGCTGTAGATCAACCATTCGCTTGACTTTGGAGAACATTTCCACATTGCCGATTGATTTCCTTCGGTTATCTTTTGAAGACTCTACCATTGGTCCCGCACAGGAAGCTCTGTCCGAAGGAGAGCTTTCCGTCTTCGAAACATATGAGACAGAATACGATCTTCTGCACCGAAAGGCATTTTCATGGCGTAATGAGAAGGAGATTACCACTATTTTGCCAAACCAAAAGGTAGTTCTTTCCGTGACATGTGTGGGGAAAGTTGGATGGTATGTTGCTAATTCTTCGACATCTATCGGCACTGAAACCATGAAATCTAGTGCACATGGCACCGTCCACATATCATATTCCCACGTCAATCGAGAACATGAGGAACAGGTGCCCGTATCCGAGATGTTCTACACTCGACAATTATCATACCCGGTGACAGTGACTGTTTACCATATGCTGGAGTGTCACGATCTAAGACTCATGCCAATGATTGATGTGGACTATGATGACATTGATCGCCGAGCTAGCAATTCCGTGATACACCTCCTTCCACAAGTTGATGATCTGGCAGAATGGTGTTTGTTTGCAATTGACGTCCGCAATACATACGGACTCCCATTTGAAGCTACATTCGAACGTGAACAAGCTGGTAAGCACAAGACTTTTATGTCCTCCTAAATCCCTTCCTGATGCTGAAGTTCCACAGGAACGGAAAATGCAGCTGTTTCATCAACTGTTCCTCCGGGGTCAATGTCCCGGTAAGTCGTTCACAAATCATTGATGCAAGTGGCCTTACGCCAGGTACATCAAGCATCATGCTTCCGGTTAAGAGGTTCAGGCTATCAGATGATCAGATTTCGCAACCTATACCGACGTTATCAAACCGTCAGTTCGTCGTCGGAAAGTCCAAGTTGTCGATAGAAGAGGAACGAGCTCAACGAGAGCTGTTCTGGTATCGTGAAGAGCTCCTCAAGATCATTTCCGCTCGATGGAAAGAGGTCATCTATTCTTCGCTCAGATTATATTTGTCGTTGATATTTATGGGTTTAGACGAATGGCGATAGACACGGAGATCTCTCGCTGCGACAACAACGATTGACGCTCCCGATGTTGAAGGCCCTGCGGACAGACCTGGTGCAAGTTGACTTGACGCTAATGGTGGACAGCTCGGACGGTTCACCCCAAGAACTGGATTACAGCCGAGGAAAATACATCGCCAGTCCAAACGAGATGCTCTATCTTCGCGCCGAGGTTACCAATTCATCATGTTCGCTATTTCTCGAGAATCTTTCTCACTCAGCCCGCTAAATTTGCCTACAGCATTGCCTCTTGCGATGACACTAGAATTGATCTTTGATCCAGCTGAACAGGTCCTTTCGGAAGGCGTTTTATCTAACATCGCAATAGGGAAGGTGCAAGACGACGAAACCAAGGCTGTGGAAGTGCCACTGTGCTTCCTTTGCACTGGTCGTTTCGAGATTGGGGCAGAAGTTCGGCTAATGGGAACTTTGAAGGACAATCGGGCGAGTGCCAGTAGAATTTGTATCTCTGTCAGAGAGGATGGATAGTACTATTGTACTTGAGATAATTCGCGATTTCTTGTCTCTCGATATAATTCCTGCATATAATCTCACGCTGTCCAGACCTTCGCAATCAGCTCCGTCAACCCTATAAGAACCCAAGTCAGATGAGGGAACGATGACGAGGTATATGCATTAACGCACCAATATCATTTGTATTGAACTGATAAACGCCGACGAGCACGCCAACCGTCGCTGTTCTCAGTGTCCAGGTCAGAACAGGGCCAATAATAGGGAATTTGCGTTTGTGCACGTAGTCCACGACCATCGAGTCAAACTAGCACAGAGAAAGGTAACGTCAGAACCTCTGCAGAATAACCGACTCCATATCGCTGACGCACCCCAATATGAGAGTGCATCACTAAGCTAAGACCAAGCAATCCGTCGAGAACGGGGTAAGATGACCCGGAGGTCACAAAAGCTGCTGCTGTCATCGGAACGAGGGAGGCTGCGAGAAGTCGCTCGAATGCCCAGTGATACGAGCCATGCGTCTTTGATGGGGTAGGGAACTCGATGGGGTCGTTGACTGTGCCTTTTATGATAGCTGTCGGGTGCGAGCGTGAGCTTGTCAGGTATCACGTAGAGTGGTTCATTGAACATACGTCCACCTGGCACATATTGCGCAGTCGAACTTGCTCTCGCTTGGATATGTACGTAACATGAGTGAAGAAGTAGAGGAGGGTCAAGATGTCCCTTACCTTGCAATGCAGATCGCAAGACATTGCGTCCAGTCGTGGAGGAAAAGGTTCTAGGCAGCGTTGAGCGAAGGAGCATAGACGAAGCCATTGTTGCCGGCGGTGTCGACGATGCTAGAGAAAGCAGAGAAAACGATGGGCGGGCCGGGGCGCGGAGGAGTACTTGTGGATGAAGCCGCGGCAGTTGTCACTCAACGGGGATGTTAGGAAGACAGCGCGAATTACCATATTTAGAAGTCAAAGTACGAAATGAAAAAAATTAGTCCCACCGAGGATTGAACTCGGGACCCTTGCATGGAATGTAACCTCATAAGTACAACGCTCTGACCACTGAGCTATGGGACTATCGGGTATTGATGCCGTATTGGCAGCTATTATGTAGAGCATTGGATACCCGGTTCAAGCCCGGTTACAACAAGGAAGGTTACGATGATCTATGGTTCAGGCATACGTGGCTCTTCCTCACAACCAGATGCTGAGATCCGAAGAAATCTAGTTCCTACCCTTCTTGCTTGCTCCTCGGAATGGGTGATCCAGACTATTGCTTTCAATCCGTTTTGCGGGGACCTGAGGGCGTTCAAGATGTACTGTTCCACAAGCTCAGTCGAGTGATGATCGAGAGCTGAAGTTGGTTCTGGAGAGCAAGAAGGCAGAGCAATCTCAGTCATAATACAGACAACATAAATTGAGTCTTACCGTCGAGTAGAAGGACTTCAGCTGTGTTCAGCCCCATTGCAGCCGCCAAGGCTATCCTTTGTGCTTCGCCACCACTCAAACTAGTCCAATTCCTGTCCCATAGCTCGTGATCAACGCCCCATCCCTTGGAGATGTCCATAGCGTTGGCGAGATCAGATTCCGAGGTCGATTTACGGGACTGGAAGGATGTGACCGTTGCCATAAAATCGCGTGGCGTGCCTGGCAGCAAAGCAGGTCTTTGGGGTACATAGAATACCCGTGTTCTAAACGCAGACACGCCTGGAATTAAGGGACATCATCATAAGCTTCCTGTGTGAGTGACTAGTGAGGGATCATGCATACCATGTGCCTTTGCTGTCCTGGCGATGGTGAAGATCGCATGTCAGACACGATATAAGTCGGCTTAAGGTCTAAGAAGCGTACCGTCCTTTGTATAAGATCTCCCCATCGTAAACGTTCAGATGGGCAATGCATTTTAAAAGCGTGGTTTTCCTGGACATGTATAGGTTCAGCCTCCAAACGAAATACCCAGAGAAGTCGATGTACCCTGCACCACTCTTGCCCTGTAAGACAATGACATCTCTCTCGTTGACATCGAAGTCCAATCGAGAGAAAATGGTATTCTTCTTGTCTTTCTTGCAGGAGACGTCGTGGACTTCAATCAACTTTGCCATAGTAATCAATTCAATGTCGGACCACCAAGTCTGTTCAGTGATGCAGTATTTGATATTGACTTCCCACGCGGAAGCACCAAGTAGCGCATTCATATTGGTGCACTCTATCAGTGCTACGTGTACTCTCGTCAAATCAGATGTTCTGCGGGTGCTGTCGACAACCACACTGGTACAGAGACCCATGAGAAGAGATGTATGCCAATAATACGGTCCGAAAGTACGTGTCTAAGTATAATTAAAGATTCAATGTTGAGGGGGCATACCCATCTCTTCCGGGGTCAAAGTCGAGCTCTCGATCATCACACCAACACCAACCTTGGCGGCGTTCTGAATTTTCAGAATGTCAGTTTGGACAACATCACAGTGAAATGGGAGACACTTGCCTTGAAGTGATCGATCTCTCCCGCCACCAGGAAGGCAAAGGTTGGAGCAAAGCGTTGTTCAAGCAGAGCTGAAATTTTGCCTGTTGAGTCCAACTGTGCTCTGAAGGTGGACATGCGGAGGTCGTATTTTGCACCGAGAGTTGCAATAGCATCTCTTCGTTGAGGAGAGGCCATAAGCTGAAGATCTGCTGCGACCTCCACCTTCTCGTGGAGCTTCTGCCAATACGTAGCCTGTAGAATACCAGATGGTTGAACTTGTGCAGTTGCAATCCAATTTTTGTCATCGCTGGTGACCTTGGCTAGATATGACGTCGTGAAGTCGGTCATCTCAGGAGTTTGCCGTTGGTAGAGCGTCTCCACGCCCAAGGCAAGATTTTTTGTCACGGACTGGAGGTAACTTCCTATGTATATGCCTGTGAGATCTGCAGGCCAGGGATTGACAGCTTTCGCGTTTAAGGAGTAATCTTGGCCTTGGTAATCGTGCTCCAGTTGGATCATGCTATGGCCAGCTTGTGATGAAACCTATAGATGAGGATGTGAGAAGGAAGGCAGGTGACGGTGCGATAGGAAACGAACCTGCGCTTGGATCTTGGTGATGGAGTTTTCGGCCCACCCTTGGTTCATACGTGCGCTCACATTGCCGTCATGGTCAACACTGCCTTGGACGAACATCTGGAGGGAAAGGATCAGACAGAGTAACAAAAGCGAGGAAGAGAAATTTGCTAACATCGTTGTTGGCATAGACAGTACCAAAGTTATATGATGGCGGTGAGACTTGCGAGCCGAGAATGAAAGAGTGTGTGACCTGAAATGCCGGGTTCATTGACAAACTCTTGGTGAGATCAGCCCTAGCACCATCGAACATAAAGTTTGTGAGGTGAGTCGCTATAGAATGTGAGATATGGCAGGAAAATCAAACAAGAGAAGGAAAACGCGTACACTTGACTTCCTTCTGCAAGTTCTCGAGTGTGCCCGGGTTCGGGAGATCAAATGACTTGCGCCATTGTGAAAAGCGACTGAAAGCGCTTGTCAGAGGAGAAAGGGCAGAGGTGTAGGATGACTTTGGAGGCTGCGACGCGGACGACGGTGATGGGTCAGTGGAGACATCCTTTGGAGAGGGAAATGTGGGAGACGCCATAAGAGCAACACAACACGTCTGCAAACTGAAGTGACGAAGCTTCAAAAAAACTAAGCGGAACAAACACTAACAAACTCGGTCTCCGATGTTCTTCAAGTTGCTTTTCATTAATTCATTCTCACATGAGCAGCTGCAAGGACGGTACAATGTTCAATGGATCGTTGGAAACTAATACGAAAAAATGAATTTCTGAGGTGGTGACAATCCAGTTTCCATGCTACGGATGCAGCTAGGTGGTCGCCCTCAGACTATGATCCATCATGATATTGCGGTGCGAGCTGTCACGCTGTTACTTGTTTTCAAGACTCAGCCTAGTTTAGTACTACTAGGCGTATAGGCTCTTTGTGGCACCATCACCGGTAGTTAGCACGACGTATGCTCTGCGACATGAGCGTTAATTTCTGGCACCTTTTTAGTTCGGTGCTACCCATGGTTTGTACTGTCAGGTCACTCATACACACTAGGTGATGATGTCAGAAGCACTTGCTAATCGTTAAGGCAATACCGTGGAAACACTAGGCTAGCCTCAGCCGCCGGGTGACTCTAATTTCACATACGTCTCAATCCGTTGTCAGATGCCGCTGCTGCGCATGATCGCACATATTAAATTGTATCTTTAGCGTTTCCTCCCCCCCCCTCTTCATATACTACTTAAGTACTTCCCGCTGTCTCATCCCAGACTTCCTCTTGACTGGCATCAGGGCGCTCTCCTCCTGAACATGGCTCTCCCGTTAACTGCGGCACATCGTAGATCTATCATCATTGCAGTCGCAACTGTGGTATGTTAAAGACACGCCCCATTTAGCTACCTCATATTCAGTTTCACATATAGCTCGTTATTTGCTATTTCATGGCTATCCGTGGTGAAGACAATTACAGCTCATTCAAATCCTTGTCTACCCAATGGTCCACAGCCTCGATACCCAAGGATTCCGTGGTTTCGGGTATCAAACAGACGAACAAGACCCCATCAAAATCGTCTTCTTCCTCAAAGAACAATCCCTCGCCCTCCTTTGGAAATATCACCACAATTCCCCCTTCCCGCAGAGCCAACGCTACACTGGTAATGTTGGCTCGTAATAGCGATCTCAATGGCGTGATATCAAGCGTAGAACAACTAGAAGCAAAGTTCAATCGCAAGTTCAATTATCCATGGGTTTTTTTGAACGACGAGCCCTTCACCACCGACTTCAAGAGGTATACCATTTACCCTGACCGCAATCCATTTCTCATGCTTTGTCAGGCGTGTCAGTGTATTAACCGACGCAGAGGTTTCTTTTGGCTTGGTCCCTCGCGAGCACTGGGTCCAGCCGGACTGGATAGATGAAGCACGAGCTCAGGAGGGACGCAACAAACTTGTGCGACAAGGTGTAATTTATGGAGGCAAGTTCTTCACTCCTCGCCCATCCTTGGCCATCTCACCATTCAATCCGCAGGCAGTGTTTCGTACGTATGTCCTTCAACCCATTCGGGTATTATCTTATCCTCAATCATTAGTTACCGCAATATGTGCCGGTTTAACTCAGGGGTGAGCGCCTCGTGTTGCGGGTTTAAAAAGGATGTTTTTCCTTAGTTGAACTCTTTCTACAGTTCTTTTTCCGCCATGAACTCTTAACACCATATAAATGGTACTGGAGAGTAGAGTCAGTCAGTCGTTCACCATACAGCTGAGTTGCGTTATGACCCATTCCGCAGGCCTGATGTTAGATATTACTGCGACATGGATTATGACCCCTTTCTATTCATGGAAGATCATGACAAAGTTTATGGTGAGCTATTCTTATTATATAGCTGCTTGAGCTGCTAAATTTATGCAAAGACAGGCTTCACAATATCTATGCCAGGTACATTCTCATCTCTGCCGCACTAATTATAGCCTGAATCGCATTCTCAACAGAATGGGAACCGACTATTCCCTCGTTATGGTCCCAGGTGAAAGGTAAACACTCATAATAACGCACGATAACTCGAGAGTGAACCAATTCGGTAGACTTCATCGCGGAATATCCTCAATATGTGTCACCAGACAACTCAATGGATTTTCTATCTGACAACGCGGGTGATTCTTACAACATGTGTCACTGTAAGTGTCATTCGATCTCATCGTTTAAAACTGGCTATTGACGCCCACTCAGTTTGGTCAAACTTTGAGATTGCAGATATGGATTTCTGGAGAAGCGAAGCTTATACGAAGTTTTTCGAGTACCTTGAGAACACAGGAGGGTTCTACTATGAGGTAAATTGCAAGTTTTTGTATTTGTATTTGCTGACTGCTCTACACAGAGATGGGGAGACGCACCTGTTCATAGCATCGCCGCAGCCTTGTTTACGCGCAAAGATCAAATACATTTCTTTAAGGATATAGGCAAGCTATGGTCTTGTTGTTTCATATTCATAACTAATCCTTTCGCAGGTTATAAACACGCTGAATTCGCTCATTGTCCGCAGGGTAAACAGTGGCGGGAAGGACACTGTTCGTGTGATCCAAACGACAACTTCGGTACGATAACTCCGTGATTTCTCCTGGTGAGACTAACGACGGCGCAGATTATGCCCAAAATTCGTGCCTTAGACACTTTATGCGGTTGCACGATTAGTAGCAGGCGTACGCTTCAATACATGTGTATTTCTACCATAGGCTGCTGTAGGGTAAACTAATACAAGTCATTTGATCCTAATAATAATGCATATTTTGATGGTCATGGCTATCAGGCACGGTCAACAGGGTCGCAGTGTCGTTAACGAGACATATGTGTGTATTGCTGGACCGAACTTAACGCGGAGATTTTGAAGTTTCGAAGGGAACAAACCACATGGAGTGACGAATCGAGGAAAAACTTTGAAACCGGACCACGCCGCAGTTCATTAGGCGTGAGCAGAGCTTAGGCTGCAGTTGGCCGTTTTGAGGTGGCGCGGCTGACAATCCTTCCACCGCGACCAACAGCAGTCTTATATCCTTTTCATCTTTTCTCTTGCGTTTTCCATCCATCTAGCTATATTTCTTTCTATTTGTGTTAATAAAGGTCCCAAAGGGACCAGCAACCTCTGCAAAGATGATGACCCCCATGCGTTACATCTTACTCGTATTGGGTGCTATTGTACGTGTTCATGCCAACTCGTCGATTCAGCTGACTTGACTACGAAAACAGATTTCAATCCACTACATCCTCAGCTTCACCCACGAAGAATACGGAAAAGCGACGTCCATCTCAAGCATAACAGAGCAATGGACCGGTTCAAAGTCAAACCCTCCCTACAAAACGCCCGTGCCCGACGAATACTACAAACCCGATTCGCCCATGGACATACAAGACCGCAAAGCGAACGCCACATTCGTCATGCTCGTACGGAACTCTGATCTTTCGGGAATCATGAGCAGTATGAAGCAAATCGAGGATAGGTTCAATAGGAAGTTTCAGTATCCTTATGTCTTCCTCAACGATGAGCCGTTTACGCAGACTTTCAAAGAGTGAACCCTTTTTTTACGCTTGAATCGTTGGGCCTGCTGACAGGCTATAATTTAAGCCGCATACAGGCCTTGACTAATACTACAGTCGAATTCGGTGTCATCCCGTCTGACCATTGGCACCAACCTTCATGGGTCGATGAAGATAGAGCAAGCAAATCCCGTCAAGAGATGGTGAATAACAATGTGATTTACGGAGGTACGTGATTGTACAGCTTCAAGCGTAAGTGTAGTCTGATGGTTTTCTAGGTAGCGTTCCGTGCGTGTGCTAGGCTGTCATCGTTGCTTCTGACTGACTGCTCCTAGATACCGGAATATGTGTCGCTTTAACTCTGGCGTACGTGATCATAATGCGTTTTGGCGAGGTTGTCTAACCAGTCTTTAGTTCTTTTATCGACATGAGCTCTTACAAAAGTACCGGTACTATTGGAGAGTCGAGTGAGTAGACGGCAACCAAAGGAAATGCAATGTAGATCGGCTCACTTTATCCTCTCAATCAGGCCAGACATCAAGCTTTTCTGTGATGTGGACTATGATCCCTTTCTCATGATGCAAGACCAAAATAAGGTGTATGGTAAATCAAACGATCCTTTCAATTATACGCTAGTCTCAGACATAAACAGGTTTCACCATATCACTATACGAATACCAAGCTACTATCCCAACACTATGGACCGCTGTCAAATGTAAGCGTATTCGGCATTCACTATGACTTCAATCTCACATTCCTCTAGCTTTCATTAATGCTAATCCTGAATTCGTGGCCCCCGGCAATGCAATGGCATTTCTCTCTGATGATGCAGGAGAGTCGTATAATCTGTGTCACTGTAGGTTACTGCGCAATCACGGCATCTCTTCATGCTGATGAAACCACGTGTCCAGTCTGGAGCAACTTTGAGATCGCAGATCTTGACTTCTGGCGAGGCGAGGCATATTCCAAATTCTTCGAATACCTTGATGAGCAGGGCGGATTCTATTACGAGGTGAGTCTTGTGTTTGCACGTATGGGACATAATTTCATTTGAAATAGCGTTGGGGAGATGCACCAGTTCATAGCATCGGAGCTGCATTGTTCGCGAAGAAGGAACAAATTCACTTCTTCAATGATATCGGATATCGACATGAGCCCTTCCAGCATTGTCCACAGGGAGATGCGCACGCAAAAGGAAAATGTTGGTGCGACCCTGGTCAGAATTTCGGCAAGTACCTCCATACAAATGTTCGACTACCACTGAAGTTCATTTCTTTAGACTATGAGTGGTATTCGTGCCTGAACCGATATGATAAGATATTCTCGTAGACACGAAACGTCAGTGCTATCACGGCGTGTGTTCTTAGCAGTGGGTGATGTGCTCCTATGACACTATAGACACTGCACTCTACGATCTGTCTACCTCTGAGAGGCGTATTCACGATAGATCGTATTGCACCTGATGTGGTTTTGGCCTACGGAATGGATTGATATATTGGTACTGCAAGATATGAACTTGTAATTCATGCTCTGGTCTCTACTCAAAGGATCGTGAAGACGCTCCTAATTTGAGTACTTATTCAAGGTGCGATCAAGACAATCCACAAGTATAACTTGGGAATCCGTATCGAAGTCTCTTTCCCCTAGATCATAGCTACTGTCTGCAATCGATAGATGCTCATTTCGACAGTTTGCATTGGAGCCGAGGTTTTCCAAAAATTGTCAGTAAGTGTGCAGCTTCTTACTGACAACGTATGCATGTAGCAGTGGGCGATATGCTCCTATATACAACACTATAGATACCACGCTCTGCAATCCGTATACCTCAGATGGGAGTTTGACCAAGGCTACAGAATGGACTGTGAATAATATTGATACTGCAAGAAGAGATCAGCTTGGAATACACGATTGCCTTGGTCTGGACTCACGGAGTCATAAAGACGCGTCCAGTTGGAGCCCAAAGAGGTATCAATGAGACGGTCGATATATTCACCCACAAGGGAATGAGTCAAAGCGGGTTGAAAGCGATCGCGCAGCTGAGCCGCAGTCTGTTCGCCGAACGCAGCAAAGCACGGCAGCTTGGAGTCTAACACAGGTCATCGATATGGACTGATTTTGCCGACTACGGATCTCTCACCTTTTTGCATCAGCTCCACCAGAGCTGCGGATGATTAATATCAATGTCATGAACAGGACTGATCAAATATAAGGCACTGACTTATGATTCGATCGCAGTGTTTTCTCGCTGCCTCGAACCCCTCACGAAACAGACGCTTAAACTCCAAAAAAGACTCTCCATCCACACCCCCCAGCACTTCGACATATTCCGGTGGCAGCTTGAACGGTGCAGCCTCAAAACCTATATTGCCCGGAGAATTGGACAACATGAACCCAAAATCTATGTGAATGAGGTGCCCCTCTCGGTCCAACAATATGTTCCCATTATGCCGATCCTTTATTTGCAACAGGTACGTTACTATGGAATAACCTATGAAACGGTTAGAGTGTTGAATATAGGGATTAAGGTGTTGAGAGTGGGACAAACCTGCGAGTGACTTCGCAAAGTTGCGTTGCGCTCGGACAAACTTGGCCGTAGATGGATCACCGTAAGTCTTGACACGTATTTCAGTACGTCATCGCTTGCATAAAACGATGAACGAGGGACCAACCGACATAAAGTGATCCAGGAGGGTGACGTATCCAAAACGACCCTCCGCCAACCGTCTTGCATATTCGGACTTCTTGATAGAGTGTATTGACACAGCATCTGTTATGGTCTCCACCAAGCCCGACGATGCGCCAGTGATCAAAATCTGGAAGCTGAAGAGAGTTGGGCTCACGCCACCAAAGCAATTTGCTGGAGCGAACTCACTAGCGGACCCAGCATTGACAGTCCTCTTCTTGCCAAATTTGCTCAAACTGCTGTATAAGCTGAACAGCGAGCTGTTCTTGACGAAGGTCGCCGCCAGTTTTAACGATCACAGAAACACAATCCCAGTTTGCTGGAGATGGCGAGTTCAATGACTGGATACAATTTCTCCGTAGTAAAGCTATAACCTTACCTAGGTGACCATAGGGTGATCCGTGCTGTATTCGACTCTGAAAAGGCGAAAATTGCAGTCATACAATAACAAAATTGGTTAAACCCACCTTCTTCGTCGCCCAAGATTCGCTGAATATTAAGGCAGAAGGATCGTCCTTGTTCAGCTCACGCTTGATGATTGTTTCGTCCTCAGCAGTCTTCAAGTTATCGCCTACGTCACCAATGCGCATTATCCCTTCTCCTTCCCTGTGTTCTCGCATACGCTCCATTCGCTCTTCCTCAAGCGCTATCATCTCCTTCATGATACGGTCTCTGATGGCGGCTGCCTCTGCATGCTGCACACGCATCCGTGTGGTCGCTGGTGAATCGCCAGCCCGTCCAGCGAGCGAGGGATGTAGTGGCCCGCTGTTTGCCAGGTGATGTGGACCGCCTAACCAACCAGAACCAGGAAGCCAACTCAGAGGACCAGATGGTGAACTTGAAGTAACAAGCGTCGCAGTTGATTCGGAAGAAGGTAATGTGGTCACTGCTTCGCGAAAGAGGTTCGCATTGAGCTGCGAAAGCATGACAGCTGCCGTACGCATGCGTTCGGAGTAATCGTCAAGTGAGAGTATATGACTATTGTTGTTGCTATTAGGTGGTGGATCAGGTGGCTGGGTAGTTGAAGGTAGTGTCGAAAATCGGCCACTAGTGGGTGGAAAGGCAGGTGGAGAAGATAACGACAATATCCCTTCTGGATTGGGTGAAGCAGGCAAGGAAGAGGCTCGAGACCACGCGACCATATCTAGTTCCTTGTTCTTCAGCACTGGTGGAAGCACAATGGACTCAGTAAGGTCTATTGGCCTACGAAGAGACTCGCCGGCCCCGTACAGTTGCTCAACGAGGTCCATTTCTTCATCATCACCAATGAGAGAACTCGTACTGCTGGTAGCAGAAGCTACAGGGACCAACGGAGTTTCTGCTTCCTCGGCGGACTCCTTTCCCAAGGCGTTTTCCGAACCAACAACAGGATCCCCAAGGGGCTTGTGCTTCGAAGAAAGAGGTGACCTGGTGAAAGCAATGAGTTCTTTCGAAGCACCTTTGCGTTCGTTCTCCTTTGTTACTATTCGCTTCAGCGTCTCCTTATTGCTTCTCTTTGTTGGATCAAAGTCGAGGTCATCGTGCAGTATTTCGATAATGAGTAAATAAGGTGCTCGCTCCGCAGAATTAAGCACAACACTTTCGCCAGGGGGGACTCTAACGATCTTGTGGTGTGGTGGAGAGGCATTCCGAGACGCAGTATTATCGGATGAAGAGCACCACATAGGCATGCACACCTGGAATATTATATCACGAACTAGGGTATGAACAAAGAGGAAGATGTTACCTCTGCGGGAAGCTTGTGGTTAAGAGCCGTTAATTCAGCTCTAAGGGCGCTTACTCGTGCAGGTTTTGGCACGACAAGTAGGCGGTTAGAGATATGTTCGAGCGTTATTAGGAATTGGATCTGTTACGTTTGTGTAAAGTCAAAGTTATAATACCAGCTGAAACTGCTTACTTCTGAACGATAATAGTGACTTTTGAGGAGATGCGCTTGTGAATCCAAATCATACCGTTGAAGGAGGGAATCGCTGAAGTTCAGTGTACTCTGCCGTGAAGGATGCTGGGTAGTTGGTATCGAGGGAGATGATTGGTATGGACTAGTGATGCGTGCTGGTTGTGATGGATCAAGCTGGTCGAGTGGATCCTCGGATAATGTTGACCGATGCATATTTTGCAAATGAACCAGAGCGGGACTTGTCTGCGCGGCAACAATCGTCCGACGACGATTGAGAATGGTCCGCTTCTTGGAGACTGCAGGACCATAGGGGGCAGAAATATCATTAGAGGAGCGTTCATGAGAACTAGCCGTATGGTCATCTTCATTTTTTCCATCTGAATCCTCGTCATCATCATCTCCAGAGTCAGTACGGGTGGTGTTCCCCGATCCCAAAGCAACGCCATTGACATCGGTCTGGACGCTTTTCAGGTCTGAGCCGTCCTCGTCAGCACGGCCCTGCTGTAACGCAACTTCACCCATGACCTCGGTAAGTTCAGGCATGGCAGGAGTTCCAGCTAACATCAGGCCAAGTCCAATGAGTGCTGGTTCGACATGGGGTTTGACCTTCCGACGTGAGAAGCGCGCCTGGAACGACATGTCCAAGCCAGAGTATGGACTAGAAACTGGAGTTGGAAGATCACCAAAGATGATGTCATGACATCTTTGTAACGTCCGCTGGCATACCTGAAAAGATGCAGAACTAGGTGACGAGGATAACTCTTGTAAAGAAGCTTGCATAAGCCAAAGGGTCTCCACAGGAATCAGCTGTGAGATTGAAGCTATGGGGGCTGTTGCCTACGTACAATCATGGCTATATGTGTGGACCGTTGGGAGATGTCTACTACAAAGCATTCCAGTGCCCGTGATTTGGAAGGCCGTGTGACGAGCAGGTGACTAGAAGAGACTATTAGTATGATTATCCGACAGGATGAGAACTGGTAGATACCATATGAAACCCCATACTTCGCGTAACTCCTGCGTGTCGAGCTCTTTCAACCTTCGGGTAAGGTAGTATGTGATGCCTATGTTGTCGGCATACAGCATCAGGTATTGCAAGGCCACATGAACGGAGAAGAAAGACGGCGATAAAAATAGTCGTAGGAGAAGGGCATGGGACATGTCTGACAGGGCTGGTCGCCGTCTAGGACGGTGAGCAGATCTAAAGCTGTCTTGTTCCCACGGCTGCTATATGAATGTTTGTTACACGTTGACAACTTTGGTCACTCTTGTTAGACTAACCCTTCACTTCCAATATGCTTTGGCCCCTGCTCGCTCTCTCACTCCTTCCCTTATCATTGGCGGTACAAAAGTCAGTGCACGAGCAACTGGTCGACCTTGCAGCAGCCGGAAACGGTCTCATACAGCTCAACGAACAGACCTATGATTTGCTTGCCTCTCCAAAGCGCGACTGGTCGGCCGCTGTGCACTTTACTGCGCTCCATCCCCAGCGGCGCTGTGCTCCTTGCAAGTCAGTCACAAGATTCCAATCACACATAGGCAGCTAATTGCGACCTCTACAGAGAATTCGAGCCAGCGTACACTGCTATAGCCAAAGCATGGGCGAACGCTCCCAAAGAACATCGGGACAAGCACTTCTTCGCTACTCTTGACTTTGATGATGGGCCCGCCGTCTTCCAAAAGGTAATTACACCATCATGTACTACAAAGCCGCAATCAAAAGTGACGCGCTATTAGCTCGGCATGGCTTCTGCGCCAGGTGTTCACGTGTATCCCCCGACCGAAGGACCAAACGCGTCTGCAAAAAAGGCTCCTTTCAAATACGATTTCCAAAAGTACGATCTTCGCTGAACCCTTGATTTACAATCCTTAACATACTCTACAGTGGTTTCGAAGCCGGACCCCTCGCCGAGCAACTCTCTGTCCACACTCCAATCCCTATCCCATACAAGGCTCCCTTCAACTGGGCACGCGCGGGCAGCATCGTTTCACTCATCCCAATCGTTACCCTTATCTACCGCTTTATCAAACCAGCACTGCAAAACCGCTGGGTCTGGGCTGCTGGCACGATCGCTACCTCACTAGTCATGACCTCTGGCTACATGTTCACCCGTATCAGAGGTACACCCTATACTGGTCCTAACGGCGCTTGGATTGCTCAAGGCTATCAAAATCAGTATGGACAAGAAGTTCAAGTCATCGCCGGGGTTTGTACGTCGTCTCGCACCTTACACACAAGGTTGGTACTGATTATTCATAGATGGAATATTGGCCGGATCTTTCTTGATGTTGACTGTTGTCGTGCCGCGCCAATTGTCACCCACCCGTCAAAGAACTCAGGTATACCTCTGGACTGCAGTGAACTTCCTCGTTTTCAGCATTTTAGTATCGCTGTTCCGCGTCAAGAACCCAGGTTAGTCTATATCAAGCATTCATCGACAGCGCTGACATTTGTGTTAGGCTATCCATTCAAGCTCATTCTATAGAGTTATCTAGTGCATTTTGCAGATTAATGGCAGTCACACAATGGCACACATGCACTTGAATTATAAAAAGCAAATAAAAATGTACATGCATGAGAAGAAATGAGGTGGCAAACAGTGAAAGCCAAAAGATATCCAGAATAAATTGATGCAATGATCTCTATGATAAGGATCTGTATGAGTAATCTAAGAAGCATTCTCTTGCTGTTGGAAAACATCAACATAGCGGTTTCGTACATTGCGTTTAGCGGCTTGCGAGCGTGGGCGGCTAGGTGGTGGAAGCGGTGTTGATGGTGCTGGTGTATTTGGGAGAGATATTGCTTCAGTAGGAGCAAGATTCGAACGCACTCGCATGGGTGGCTTAGCAGTGGGAGATATGCTCAAATCAATCGCCGAAGCAGATCGGGCTGGCGGAGGTGCTGAACTTGCACCATTGGCGTGAGGAAGTGGAGCACTTGCCCGCGCTGGTGAGGCTGTCTGTGCTCTTGAAGGAGGTGGAGGCGCTGCAGCTGGCTGTGTGGTTTCAGAACCAGCCTGACAAGTCCTTGAGTGATATCATACATCCTGATAGCATTGGTCGCATACCTTCTTGTTTACCCAACGCTTGAGGTCCTTGTCGTAATAGAAAGCCGATTCTTCTCCAAGACTAGCCTTGATGGGAGCAGGGGTTGTTTCAGAACGCTTCCAGAACCGACCCAGCCAAGAGCTTGGTGCCGCCGAAGCCGTCGCTGACACATTGGTGTCTAGTAATGACAGTTATGGAAAATAATGTGACAAAGAGGTTACCACAGCTGACCTTTCTTTTCCTCCGTTTTCTTGGCATCCTCTATAGGCGTGGCAGATTTCTCACTGCTCCCGGATCCAGCTACTTCCTGACGACGCTCACGTCTGCTTGCATTATTACCAAAGCCCAGATCCTCGTCCTCATCCTCGAAGCTTGGTTGTGGTTGGTGAGTTGGTATGGATGGGCTGGGAACCGCAGCTAACGCGGGGTCGTCCATTAAGGAGATGAAGCCATCAGATGAAGCCCGGAAATGATCGACTGAGTGAAAAGTGGCCGTGGTCGGTGTGGGGCCAGAGTCCGAATTGTTGAGCGACGACCACCATCCTGCCTCCTGCTGTTGTTGCTCAGAGCCCTCCTCAGCAGTCATCTCTAACGAGGGCTTTCGTGACAACGGCTCGGTACCATAGGCATGTGCGTAGCCATTTGTCGTTGAATGCCCATTCATTCCCGAGCCGTGTGAGGAGTAAGTGTAAGTTGATCGTGGTGGGTGCAAAGGAGCAGTCAAGGGAGGCGCTGGCGACGGCTGCCGTATTGGGTGGTAATAGTCCATAGCTGATGAGGCACGATCAATAGGCACGTGAGAATGAGAAGTGGAAACTGCCATCGCGGAACCACTTCTGCGGGGGGGCGGTATACCTGACATTGAATGCTGGTTCATCACCCCAGGGGGAGGCGATGGACTCGCAGAGGTTGTGGTTGATGAAATCTCGCTGAAGTGAGAGAAAGGTCCTAGGGATGATACCTGACTCTTGGACGGTGGCGGCGGAGGCGAAGGTTCGTCCCCTTCTCCAGCGATGAACTTCGTCAAGCGTCCCTCAAGCCAACTACCGATGCTGTCAAGACTAGGTTTGTTCACCTTCGCACCTATCCAAGATCCGCTCTTTGCCATCTGTGGAGTACCGATCAAGCGATCCGCTAACCCTTTTAACTGCTCGATAAGGACGGAATTGAGATAGTGTGATGGATGTGTCATTGCAGCGGTGATTGCCTCACAATACCTGGTCCGATTTTAATAAGGTGCAGAATCGCACCGAGAAGATAGACCCACCTGCTAGCTGCCTGTATCTCGCCAATCTCCGCAAGATATGAGGCCCTAATAAGCTTGTATGCCTGTAAATGCGGCAGACCGTGGAATGGTTCTTGTCCCTTTGTAACGCTCTTCAGCGAGAAGGCGAACTCGGCAATTTCAGACAAAACGATGGGGTCAGTGTCTTTATAAAAAGAAGGCCATGCGTGTGGATTCCGCGAGCCGATAAGAACAATTCGACCTGACGGACTCCCAATTCCTCCTATCGGAGAAGTCTGAGGAGAGAGCAAGTAACTGACAGATAATCTTAGTGCAGGAAGACGAGTGCGAGAATTATACAATTACCATACGTGCGCAGCTTCGACCTGTTGATGCGATACAAGGTAGTCACCCAGCGCTGTCAGGGTTGCTGACCACTCAGGGGACAGAGGACTGGAAACCATGGATGCCACAAGTTCTGGCCACTTCGACAGAGCGTTGGCAGGGATTTGTGCTGCCATTGCTGGTGAAGGAAAACTGGGCGACATTGGCGTGGTGTGCACAACAGCCGGTGTAGGGACTTGCAATGTGGCCGTTCTCGCGAGTAGACTAGTAGGAATGAACTCCTGGACTGTTTGTCGAGTAGCTTCATATCAAAAGCTTCAGTTCGAAAAATGATTACTTACCAGCAGTCGGTCCCTGACCAGAGAACAGACTATAGATTACACGAAGCCACTCTCTTCCGTTACTGGAAGGAGGTATGTGTTCTTTTGCTCGTCCAACAGAAGCCGTTCGCTGTGCATCATGAACGCCTAACTCTCCCTTGAGGAACTCGTTCACAACGTCCTTCCAAGCCTCCTTGTCGATGCTGCTTGCGATGACCATCGCGTGTGCCCACAATTTCTCATCCAAAGCATAGTGATAAGCTTGTCTCCTTTCACCTCTCACAAGAAATTCCTGTATCTTGTCTAACGCGGATGGAAGGAGCACAGAAACCGAGATGGGTGCTTCGCTCGTGCCAGGGTTACCACCGTTGAAGCCAGGAATCGTACCAAGGGTGTTGGGCATGCAAGAAGCAAAACCCAGTGTCGAGATCTCACTACCCTCAGATGTGGCAATACGAGGAAGCAGTGCCGTTCTTACAGCTGAGTCAATGTTAGTACTGCAACGAAATATCAGTTAAGGATGCATATCCATGGTCTAGCGACAGACCTTCCCGACAGTGCACCGTCGTTCTCAACCATGATCTTGAGCAGCTTGACTAGAACCAATTTCCCCTCAGTACGCTGCTTCTCGGGTCCGTCTGACATATATGTTGTCGCACGTGTCAGCTCTTCAATCCGATTCTCCAGATACTTGACGACGCGTGCCTTCTTCGTTTTCACTTGAGATGAAGCCCCGGTGCGCACGATACTGACAGGTGTACCAGGGTCAGAAAACAAGGGACCAGGATAAGTGGCGGCGAAAGGTTCAAGCGCAAATTCGGGGAGAATTTTATGCAACACACGTACACGCACATCCGTCGAATGACGAGATGATAGCGCAACATCATATCCAGTGACAAGGTCAGAGGAGCTGTGGAAACACGTAATCATCTTGCCACCAAAACCGAAACTGATCACTGGGGCTCGCGTAGATGTCCGACCCAACGGATCGTTTGAGCCTAAAAGAGAAGGGGAAGGTGCGTATGGAGGGCGAACCGTGGGTGAAATGAGGAGCTCTTGACTGTACGCAGACACCGCACCGTATGAGCTTGGTTCACCGGGACGGGGCTTAGGAACGAACCCGTCAACTTCGCGCTGAGAGGGGATTCCCATAGGCATGGAGGCAGTGGAATGCAAGGATCCATTGGAACTCGAACGATGACGATATTCGGACTGCGCCAGAGCCGCAACATTTTTGGTATGTGCATACGGGTCAGGGGCCGGGGAGGCCTGCCGCGAATGATGGAAGGGGGATGAAGTCCTCTCATATGTGGCATGCGATTTGGGTTCGTGGTTGTTTGCCGCAGTTGAAACTGTCGACTGATAGGCACTCTTAACAGATCCTGCATGGCTTGCGAACGAGCGAACAGAACTAGGAGATGTTGCTCTGTTGGGCGAGGCAAAGTGCGACGGCTCATATACAGAAGCTGGATGGGGAGGACCAGGATACAGATCTTGTTCGCTGGCATTGAAAGCGTTGCGTAAAGGAGAGGAAACCCTCTTCACCGGACTACGCAGGGATGACACATTTGAACCGTTAGATCCATCTCTGGAATGAGAAGGGGACCGCCGTAGCGCTGGACCTCGTATCATCATCGTGTCTTGGTGTTGATGCATCACCTTGCTTCTAGGTGGGGAAGAAGGTGGACTGCTATCCGGCTGCATGGGGCTGTTCAAGCTACCATGCTCTGCAGGAAGTAGAGGCGTATAGGGATCTTGAACAGCATGGAAAGAAGGAGATGTTGCCTCGGTATCTTCTGTCTGCAAACTTTCCGGATCGTCCCAGGGCATATCATCTGACGTGTAGGCACGACTCTCTGAGTGCAGGTCATGACTTGGCAAGGGATATATCTCGGTGGCAGGGGAAACAACACGTTGGATAGCGTCTGTAAATGAGCTGGATGAACTTTGTTTAGGAGTAGGTGTTTCATCAAGCAATTCCTGCTTATAAGAGTTTTGTGGGGGTGTCGGGGGATTCGCGTGTAGAGGGGCAGCCAATGGGGATGTACCATGTTGCGTGTAATTATTGCCAACAGGCGGTTGTGGAAGCTGCTGTAGAAGCTTGGGTGGCGAGGTAACACCCAAGTCGCCTGTAAGCTGACGTGTCACTTGCGCTCGTGGAGGTGGATGGGAAATTGGAGGTTGTGCCACGTTACCAGAAAGGCTGCCGTACCGAGTGCCATCGATGGAGGGAGAGGGACTAGGGAGTACAGCGGGAATAGGAGGGACTTGCGAGGGCTGGCTATACGAGGAGTACTGTCCCGAGGATGGTGCGCGTGCACTCACAGCACGCTTTGACACCTTCGGAGGAGGGAGAGGGGGGTCATATGCATTCGACTTCTGTGGACGATAGGATGCAGCCGACATCGCAGGAGGAACCTGAGCAGGAGGGGGAGGGATGCTGGGAGAAGCTGGCTTGGGTGGTGCAGCGTAAGCTGACGACGAATAAGGTTGAGAAACTGAGCGTGTCATAGGGTTGTACGGCTCGTATGTTGTCTGAGAGTCGGCAGGTGCAGCAAGTGGTTGTGGCGCGCGAGTGGGTGCGGTGTTAACGGTAGGTTTGTAATGATCATAGCTGCCGTGTACCGGTGCAAATGGTTGGCTTGCATATTGACTCCCGCCGTATTGTGAAGAGTTGGCAGTCCAGTCTGGTGTGTACTGGTGATAAGCGCTTGCAGCACCGCTAACATTACGACTTCCTTGCACTGTAACACATTAGCACTGCAGACACAATAAATTTACACAGCCGACACACCTGGTTGTTGGACGTACGAGGCCTGCGGTTGAGTCGAGTAACTAGGCGTAGCTGACCACCTTTGAGATTGTTCGTAGCCGGCAGCAGAGTATTGCGAGTTGTCGGGAACCTGATTTGCGGGAACACTGGCATCGTGGTCCACGGCAACTGACCAAGGGTCTTGTTCGAAAGGCTGGGCGCCCTGGGGAATGTCTTCAGCGAATAAGCTGGAAGCGTCCTGACCCATGTCAGATGAATAAGAAGCAGAATCATGCTGTCCATGCTCATGTACCACCAGCCCGGCAGGTGGTGTCGTGTCAGTCTCCTCGTTGCCAATAACCGAAAACGGATCCGGCCCAGAATCGCCACCTGAACCAAATAGCGAAGCTGCAGCTTCCACAGTACTCATGTTTGCAACGTTTCTATCCTGCAGGCCAGTCGAGCTCGTGGTCTTGAGAAAAGCAGGATGCTGACGTTTTGCTGAAAGCTTTTGCACTTGGCGAAGTGACGGTTATGGCTACTTTAGCGCGACTAATAATACTTTTGTTTGTCGCCGTTTACTTGGGACCCGCGGGATCATTAATTGTTCATCCGAGTAACATGCAAGACAAGATCCATGATGATTATAACTGGTGTGCTCAGGTATCTATACGATCGGTGTGTACCACGGATGACGACAAAGATGATAGCAACATGAAAGGTTTGAATATCGACAGCGAAGCAAATATTGTACTGAATGAATGTAAAGAGCGTGCAATTAATAATGTTGATTGTGTGGATAATCGTGGTGTGAGTGATTGCAGAATGAGGAAAAATTGATGCGAATATACCATAGCATTGCGAGTGGAGCAAAGAGAAAATAGCGAATGAAGCAAGAAAAATGGTCATAGAGCACGCTATTAGTTGGCTGGCTTGTGCAATAATGAGGGGTAGTCCGCAGGTTTATCCGAGGCCTTTGAGGCATTAATCGTGCGCTCTAGAAGACGTTCAACTATTGGATGTTGGTCAGATAATATTTCATTTATCTCGGTTGTATTTCATCAACGTACTAGAAATAAGATGCTTGCTGTAAGCACTCGAGTATCTGCGCATGCTGACGAGCTGAGGACGGATCTTGGCAATCAGGATCTCCTTCTGATCGGGTTCTGCTACGGTCAGTGCCCGCTGAAGGACGTAGTCTACATGAGCGGTCAGTAATTAGAACTTTAATGTAAGAACATAGCAACGCACTGGCAAATTGGTCCTTCATCATAGACACAATTGGGCTGACACCATCGGTCTTCGGCATGATGATCTCATCGATAAGGATACGACGTTCCTCCATACCAGCGGTAACGAGAGCTTTCTCACAGACGTTTGATGCGAACTTGTGGCGAGCCATATTGAGCATCTGACCGCGAAGTTTGGTGATGACTTGATTCCGATCTTGAGGCTTGCCTTGTTCGAGCACAAATTGGACAACATAGTTCTTCGTAATTCGTTAGCAACAGGCAAGAGTCTAACAATCATGAATACGTACCCCGAATTGATCCTGCATCAGATTGATCATATACTTATGCAGTTCATCCATCAGCGGACGAGTTGTCTCTTCAGGCAGGTGCTCAAAGCATCGCTGCAATACACGACATCCATATGGATGCGTGGAGAGGTCATACACGTTACCCCTGAATGAGTTGACGAAGCCCAGTCGCTCATGCGACACGCGTTCGATCAACTTTTGGATGACCTGCGGATACATCAGCCTAAAGCATTTAAAGTGTAAAGAGCGTACTGACGTGGTTGCCGTTCGCATCCTTTACGCATTTAAGTACATGCGGATCAAGTTCCCTCACGAATGAGGCCTGCTGATCTGGAAGAATAAATTCTACCGCCTAGCAAATTTGAATTAGACACGGCAAGGGGCTGCGAACGTGTACGCAGACCTTCTGCACAACACGACAGCCATACATCTGTAATGATAGTGGTAGAATATGACCCTCCATCGTGTTAGCAAGAACAGTCTTTTGAACTTGCGTCCCGTGTTCAAACAACTTTTGAATGACCTTGAGAAACCATTAGATGTGATAGCAAGCAAAACATCGCGTTATAAACATACATAGTTACCAAAGACATCCTGAATGAGTTGCAAGGCATTGTCAGGGACGATCTCATCAAAGACACCTTGTTTCTCCTCCGAGGTAGCTGTCTCAAGCTTCTGTTGGATGAAGCGAGACCCGTGTTGATCACCGCTAAACTCGACAATATAGCCATAGATATCCTGAGAGTTGATCAATTTACTGTCTGTCACAATTAAATTGAACACACCCTAAGCTCCCACTTGCGCGCTTTGTTCGCTCTGAACTCGTCCAACAAGGGACTGCGCAAAGCCGAACCAACATCATTCGCATCCTGACGTCGTCCGGGGCGTAAATTTTGATGATAAAACGTGATTCCATGAGCGGTATGACCATACATAGCGCCATTAGGAATCATGAATGGGAGCTGTGCACCATAATCAGCAGCATAACCCTGATGAGGAGTATATGAGATCATGGTGGGGCGCAAAATGTTTTGAAGAGCCACCTGTTGTTGCAGTCCATACTAGGGTTGAAGGATCAGGGGCGCCCCAGGTACAATCTCACGTAAATCAAGAACCTACCTGTTTCTTGTCAGGCATACCACCAGCGGGCGCGGCAGCGCTGAGCTGAGGAGTTGGCATCGGAGAGAGCGGAGGCATGGTTGGGTACATTATTGGTTGATGCGCGGGGTAATAATATTGCGAGGGCGTTCGCGCGGAGGCTGAATAATCGTAGTATACACTAGACTGTTGGCCAGTGGGGGCACTATGGTGCAACGGCTGTGGTGATACGCCAGGGTATAGGTTAGCCGCGGGAGTGGTATTCATCCCAGTAGATGAAGGGTAGAGTGAAGGGTCCGTCGGGGTACTGTATCCATATCCATAATCCATGTAGGGATCGCGTGTTGTGCCATTGGTATAATACGACGAATAATCAGCCTGAGGATAACTACCATACGGGGGCCGTCCTTGAACCATCTGCGGGGGTGGTCGCACCTGGAGGACAGCGGGGGAATGAGAAGCTGCAGCACCGGACGGTGAAGTGGCGGATTGGTGGCGGTATTGGCCGCTGACGTGATCGTCCTCGACTGCCATCCCTCTCAGACTCATAGACAATTCGTTTTCAACAACTGAAGACACCTGCAAGGAGTCAAAGCCACCATTTTGACCACCGAAGGCAGACGATCCATAGCCCGATGTATTTGAAGAAGCCGCATATCTATTGGAGACCGCAGTTTCCTTTCCGAGAGCATTGTCGAACCTCTGCGGAGAGAATTGTCCGGCCTTTGCCGAAGAGCGATCGTCCTTGAGATCTTTTAGCACGCCTTTGAGATTCATTGAGAACACCTACGACTCTTGGGCCTGACAACGCGGCTGCTTGCGCTGCGGTTGCTTGCCTTTGCCGAGCATGATGCAGGGACAAGGGGGAATTGGTGTCCTATTGAATGTTGAACACCGAAGAAACGCCGTCAAAGAATTGACTGACCAACTGCGAGAATTCCTTCTTTTGAGGACTTCCACTCAGCTCATCCCAGGTTCCGCTGGACGGCCTTGGCGCACTCCAGCTTTCTCCCAGATTTCCTCGGTAACCACTCTCGGCCTGTGATGGTGAGAGGTCGGTCACACTTGCAGCAGAGGATATCGATGCATTCCTCTTTGACGCCGGTGTCGTTGATCCCCATACCTAGATGATATCACGTAAGTAAAATGGACAGCTTCGCAGGATGTTCCGCCCACCTGCCAACCTGAATTGAGGCCCTTGAGTCCGGAGGCCCCGGCCATTGCGACGCCAAACATATTCGCTGTTGTTGGAGTCAGGTTCCTCTGTGACTGTGCCTTGGTAAGAATCAATCAAGTAAGGAAGTTGTAATCATACGTTATTCGGCGAAGCTGAGGGAGAGTGTCCAGACGAGCGTGTCGATGAGCCTGATGGCTTCCGAGAAGTGTCTCCAGGGTGAGTTGACATGGTAGGCTGCTGTCGGAGGAAAGTGATTTGCGCACTAGGTCCGGTAAGTTAAAGAGATGATGGTAGAAAACCGAGGTGGTAACTCACAGAAGAAGCAAAAAAAACAGGGAAGAGCGAATTATAGAGTTTTAAGTGGAAGTGTGAAAACGAATTAGCTGAAAAAGGGGAGAGTAAGAGTTAGTTATGCAATGAAACACGTTTTGACCCAGTTACAAGTGAAAAACCGGAACGGAGAACGGGAGAAACGCGCCTGTATAGTGGAGAATAGTTGTCGTAAATGTAAGCGATTTAACGAGGACGCGTATAGAGAAGTGCGGATCAATAATGACTTACGCAAATGATATAGGACAGGTCGCTCCCTGACTTGAGCAAACCGTAGCTAGTAAGCTAGTGGATGAAGAGGGAAAGAGGAAGACACGTCCCCAGGCGCGCGTAAGACGAAAAACAGAGCGATCGGATGCGTTCAGGGATAGTTTATTTCTACCACGACTAATACTGAAGGGGGTATGTATTCAGTCGGCTGGAGATTTTTTGGTTCCGTTACTTACACGGGAAAATGGTTCCGCTTGTCAAGTAAATACATGCACAGCAGGTGGAAGCTGGCACCTGTTTGACCAATAATCTAGGGTAAATTAGCGGGTTCACGACCGAAAGTTATAATGGACCCTCATAATGGAACATTTACACACAGCCATCGCAGGTCCCCGCTCATTCGCCTATTCCCGATGAAATTTTTTTGAGTAGAATTCAACGGCACCGTGATCCTTCTCGACTTCCAATCATATCCCTGCTTCTCGCCAGAGATTCCGCTTACTCAACTTTCCCGGATTCCTCTACAACCAACCAGGTCGCTCGGTTCCGTTACGAACGGACTATGGTAACCGACAAGAATAATCGTTCGTACTAACCCCCAGCATGCTGAAGCGCCCAGTCACACACTCTTCCTGAATAGTGCATCGCTTATCTTGGACAACTTTAAGTTAGTCCTTGGCAGACGTCTGAATCGACAGAGAATGCATTATTAAAAATGGTGAGATGATAGATGCAATATAGAAAAGATACGAAACAGTAGAGCTGGCGTCTAACTCCCCCGAGGGTTGAAGAACCATGATGCACGCTTGGCTGCAAATGATCCGTTAGCATCTTAAGTGAACAGTGACCTCATTAATGGCACTAACCTCCGCTGTCGGAACCGCGTACGCAAGATTAGACGCCAAGTGAGCAATCTGACAAGTACCACAGTATCAACACTTACCTTCCGTCTTCGTTCTGGATGCGAGTCAAAGCGTTCCCTGATGACCCACCACCTGAAACTGGTGCAGGCGTAGCAGCAGGTCCAGGCGTCGCTGCAGAACCCCCGCCCCCCCGCAATGGCTTGGCGATACGCCCAAAGTTTATCGGACTGGAAGTTTTTTGGGCTACATATGCTGGCATTGAGATGTCATCAACCCAGATATGTCATTATTCGGCTTACCCCGCGCCTGCTCCAGTCGCTCTTTAACTGATTGGAGCTGTGTTTCAAACTTCTGGTTTTGAATGGCTAACCGACGGTCAGCGTCCTGCAGGAGAGTTTCCAAATTCTGTATCCGCTCATTTCGCGCGAGCAATTTTCGTTCGGCGATTCCGGCCTCCTTTTTCAACGCCGAGTTCTGGTCGACGAGCTGCAAGAGTAATTGAGCTCACAAATATAAACCTAGGGTAAGATCGAAACTCGCCTGTTTCTGAACTAGCGTCAACTGTTCCAAGTTTCGCTCCAGGAATGCCATCTTCTTCTGCTGCGCCTTACTATTACTGTTTCGAATCACGTTGTTGTACTGTTCCTTGATGTCATCCAGTTGGATCTCAAGCTCAACGACCTAGCACGTGCATGATAAGTAGAAAGATAAGAGAAACTTAACGTCTCGAACAAACCTTCTCGCAGCGGTTCTGCAGATCCCGTACGAGGGATTTCTTGACGCCATCGAACTCTGCCAACTGCACGTTAATTGCTTTCCGAGTTCGCTCGAGGTCTTGCGCGCTCTCAGCAAGATTCTTCCCTCCCTCGATGCCCGCAGAAGTAACTGCGAACGCACGCTGCACAAAGGATGGCTCAACTTCCAGCTAGGAAAAGGATAGGAAAGACCATACCTTAAGCTCTTCGTTGACGCTCTTCAGACTGTCAATGGATGCATTGAGAGTGCGAATCTCGTTCGACTTCAATTCCAGTTGCTGCTTAAGATCAGCCACTTCGCTGATGTTTGCGTCACGTTTAGCCGCGTATTGCATTTCTAGCTTGTTCTGTACGATGGATTGCATTCAATCACAATTATTCTTGACGCATGTCTGGCTCACCTTGAACTCGGCCATGGACTCCACGATGTCAGCATTGCTTGTCTCTTCATCATGGATGGTTTTCTCTGTCAGGAGCGGTCGTAAGGTGTGGATACCCTAGAATTTTTCACCACTGACCAAGCAGCTCCTCATAATCAGCTTCCAGTGATAAGAACCGAGCCTCGAGTTCGTCTCTGCGACGAGTAACCATTTCATTCTCTTCTTGGCTTTGCCGGAGGCGGTCGACCGTTTCGCGTACAAGTGAATGGCTTTCTGTGAGCTGCCTCCTTGCCGCAACAATATCATCGACGCTCAATGTCGAGAGAGCATTTGCAGTGTCGACAGTATCAAGCTTAGCAAGAAGCTGTCGAAGTTGTTCGTCTTTTTCGGAGAATGTGCCTTGCTATGAGCAAATGATGATCAGCAGCGTACACTTTTCAAGTAATGAGAACATACGGCATCGAATTTAGCCATCATCAACGCCATCTTCTCCTGCTTGCGCTTCTCCTTGTCCTCCGCCGATGCGTCTCTCTGAGTCGAGCGCAGATCGGTAATGACTTTCTTCAGTTCCTCCAACTCACTCTTCGCATCCTGATTCTGTTCTTTCAGGATGTCTATAGTTATGATTCCCTCCTTGTTTTCATAATCCAGGCGCTCGACTTGTAGGCGGAGCTCGTTGAGTTGAGTCGACATCGATTTATTCTCCTTCGAAGCTGCCGCCTCCTGCTCCTTGAGGTACGCCAACTCCTCGCGAAGTTCCTTGGTGAGCTTCTCTGCGGCATTGAGCAGGCTCTCCCTCTCGGCAAGTTGGTCGCTAAGCTCGTTCTCTCTCCTGAGGAATTCCTCCCGCTCGTCCTTGTCTAAGCCTACAACCGTCGGTGTCTGAGGTCGACTGTCGATAATCATCTCTGATCGAAGACCCTCTAATACAGGATTCACTGGAGTCATGCTTCTTGTGGTAGAAAGCGTCGGGGATGAAGTCGCTTTCTTTGCTGCAGCAGCGCCAGTAGTCGGCTTGTCAGCAGAAGTCCATTCGCTCGGTTCGACGTGGCCACCAGCACGCCAGATAGCAAGCTCTGCTTCTAATGACTGGATATATGACAGATGTCTAGTGTTTGCAAGCTGAGCTTTTGATAGAAGACCCTTGAGCTCCAAGGGAGAGAGCTCCGCATTAACACGAGCAGTGTTCTTGATTGACTTGGCTCGAATACCAAAACGGAGTGTTGAAAGCGTTTCAGACTCGTTGTATTGCGAAGGCGAGCAATTGATTATCAACGTCGTGCGCGAGTTACCACCGAGAGACTCTTGCAGTATACGGGTGAGTTTCGAATCACGATACGGAATATGTTTGACCTAGGCAATGAATTAATCATCATGAACCCCTGCTACAAAAAGGGGGAGGAAGCATCCCCTTGTATGCGTTCTTACGTACCTTCGAGTCTGTCAGAGCATTTATGACCATGCCGAGAGCAGAGAGCGACTTATTGATCTTCTTTGCTTCTTCCAAAGTTTGTCCCGAAGCACCGGTCTTACCCACTTTCTCGGATCCGGCGAGGTCAACAAGGTACAAATTACCACTTTTCTGAGCCCCCGTTTCGGTGTTGCGTTGCTGGATTGTGATGAGAAAAATAGAATGTGACCGCGAAGATTCAGCGTTCATGTCTGCCGTTACGAATGACTTAGAGGTTAACGCCACGCCGTGTGGAAACACTTACTGGTCGAAGTGACGACTCTCGCAGCCCCTCCCTGTCTCATTATCTCGTAGACCTCACGAGCACTGCTGACGTAGTAATCCGAAAGATTCTTTACATATACGCCTCTTGATTTTTCCTCGTGTACCTGAAGGTTGTCATTTTGGGCTGAAGTGCATTTTCATCACTGGATTCACATGGAAGAGTTCAAGATCTTACGGGCAAGAAGATCGCGTATGCGTTCGAGGTAGATCTCCAAGTAGGAGACTTTAACGACATACTCAAGGTGAGAGTCCGATTCTACGATTGATTTGAAAATCTGTTCCGTGATGCGGGGTATAATTCCCTTGAGATCTGATGAGTCAATATCCGCGCCCTAAGGAACAAAAGTCAGAAGTGCAATTCAATATGATATGGATTGCACGTGCCATCATGGTGAATGTCTTTCCACTACCAGTCTGGCCATATGCAAAGACCGTGCCATTGTAGCCATCCAAGACATCTGATTACCATATTAGCATTAACATTTTTCCATCAAATAATAAGACAGTGCATGAAAGGCACCCGACATCACAAGACGGGGGCGCCCTCTCTCACCTTTTACAATGCTACATTAGGAGGTAATCAGATGAGGTACACGACAAAGACGCGTGGTTCTCGGAGCCACTCACTCTTTAACACCGTAATCGAATACTTCGTGTTGTTTCGTGCCCATCGGAAAAACTCTGTCGAACGTGAATCCATCCTTCTCTGGCCCAGAAACGGCCTGCGAGTTCTTCATCTGCACGGTCTGAAGATTCTCATCGAAGGCAACTACGATATCGCCGCCCTCTCTGAGTTCGAGAGCATTTGGGGGCCGGAAACTATTCAGTCGCGTCAGTAAGCGATTAGAGAGACACTTCGTGCATCTTCATTAAACCCCGAAGCTAGGTTAAGACGCACCGACAGACAACCTTGATATTGGTCGAGGACGCCATGATGGATGGTGCGTGTAAGGAAGAAAGAAAATCTAGGGTACTTGTGTGACCAGTAGCTGCGGGATGAACGAGTGGTTCGAAGTCTAGAAATTAGTTTTC